AGGGCCTTCTCAGTGGTAGCCCCTCAGCTATGGAACTCCCTCCCCAGTGAAATTAAATTGATGCCCTCCCTCCTGACCTTCAGGAAAAAAACTAAAAACATGGCTTTGGGACCAAGTTTTTGGTCAGTAAATGGAAGCAGTGCAATAAGAGACTATGAAATAACATAATGATGACTTGGATCAGCCCTGGAATATGACCTGGACTGTGTGATTTTAATTGATTTTTAATGTTTATGTTTTAATTGTATTGGGTTTTAATGCATTTGTTTATTTATCTATATGTGTATATATATGCCGCATCAAATTGTTGCCTTTGTAGGGCCACTCAGAATCCCCTTCAGGGTGAGAAGGGTGGGGTACAAGTGTGGTAAATAAATAAATAAATAAATAAATAAATAAATCTGGCATGTTCAAAAGGTACATTTGTGGTGTCATTGTGAAGTTCATATTTAGCATCTTTTCAAGATATAAGTGAATCTGTTTCTAGTAGTTGCTTACTTTTTTGCATGTCCACTACAAATCTTTTCATTGTTGATGACTGGTACAGTTTGAAACAAAATATGTCCACTACATATGGTAAAATATGCCTTTTTTGTTTCCACATTTCCAGCATCTGTCAGTACAGTTGTACATCTTCGCTAATCTCTCTGGAGGGAGATACCATCGCAGGTGCATTTTGTAGACATTTTCTTTTAGGTTTTGATATATCATGTATTTCATTCTTCTCTTCCATGTCTTTTCCCATTGGCCCATTTTTATCTCTTGACCTATATTTTGAGCCCATCTAACCATGGAGTCTTTTACTGCATATTCTCCCATATGCCAGGTCAGTAATTTTTTGTATACATATGATATGAGTCCTTTTGGTTTCTGGAGCATAGCCACATCAAATCATGATTTCGCAGTCTGAAAGCCTATATTTCTTAGTTGTTCTTTGAATTTCTCATGCAGCTATCTGTATGGGAGCTAACTACATTTAAGGCCCATTTGGTTCAATTCTTCAAGAGTCTTCATTTGTGTATTTCCTAAATTTGCCTGGGTCAGCTTCCTATAGGTTAACCATTTCCTCTGTAGAATATTCTCCCTTTTGTAATATGCCTCATGTGGAAATATCTACCCCGTGTCTTTGTGTAAATTCTTTTTTTTATATCTATTTCAAGTATTTAAAATTGATCTCCATATATACTGATAATTGAATATCCCTGTTGGCTTTTCCATGTGTATATCCAAATATGCATGCCACCCAAACAGGAGATTTATACCTTCTAACGCTAATAGCTCATTGTCTTCCAGGGTCACCCATTCTTTGAGTCAGTCCAGACAGCACATGTGAAAGTAGAATTGTAAATTTGGAAGGGATAAGCCGCCTCTTGTTTTATCATCGTTAAGTACCTTCATTTTTACCCTTTTTCCCTCCTGCCCAGATAAATTTCAAGATATCTTTTTGCCAAACTTTTAAAATCTTTTAATTGGTGATGGCTGGTACAGTTTGAAACAAAAATAACATTTTCGGTAGTGTCGACATCTCAACAGAAGATATCCTCCCTAATAGGGAGAGCCCTCATTTATCCCATTCATCTATTTCTTTTCTTATCTCCCTCCACACGCTTTCATAGTTATTTTTAAATAGCACTGAATTCTTCTTTGCAATATATATTCCTAGGTATCTGACTTTCTGTACAATATTATTCTGTGTGTTCATTTAGTTGATGTTTTTCTGATTCTGTTAAAAAATAACTTTTGTCTTTGTTTACCTTGAATCCAGCTAATTCCGAGAAGTTTGTCAAGGCCACCCAATGGGGTTCAGGGCTGAGTTGGAGTTCAGAGTCGATTGGAATTCGAACCCAGGCTTGAACCTGCTCGAAGCCTCCAAAGCGGCCCCTTTCTCTTAAATAATTTTTATTAAGTTTTCAAGTATACAAATATACAATAAAATCACATGTCTAGTTTATAAGTCATAAATCGGAGAAAGAATAACAAGAAGAAAGAAAAGAGCGTGAAGAAGAAAAAAAATAGACAATAAAAGGAAGAACATAGAACACAAAACCAAACTATATATATATATATATATGTGTGTGTGTGTGTGTGTGTGTGTATACAGATATATACACATACACATGCATATATATACATGTCTACACCCACATATAGACATAAACATATGCATACATACACCCGCACATCTATACATTCACTCACATAAAGAAAGATATACTATCTAAACACATATAGATACAAACGAAACCGTCGTTCTCGAGACCTCCACCCTTCTCTAGTATGGCTTTCAAAAATTTCTCGAAAACAGCTTTTCAACGTTGTTTCTTTCCCATTGGCAGGCAACAGTGTTTTCACCTTTCTTTCATTCCTCTTTTCTTCCTTTTTCCTTCCCTTTTTTTCTTGTTTGAGAAAGCAGCCCCTTTCTCAATGCTATTATGTTGTTTATTCTGTGTGTTTTCTATCCTGCTTTGCGCGCCCAAATTTGGGCTCTCATTGGTTCCATGAGGGAAAAAGAATGTACTTCAAGCCGTTCAAAAAGCAACGTCAAAGGGCTCTTCCACACAGGTGTATAAAATCAACATTGAACTGTATTATATGTGCAGGTTCTCACCTACAAAGCCCTGAATGGTTTGGGACCCGCCTACCTGCGTGACTGCATTTCTGTGTATGAACCCACACGATCTCTCTGATCATCTGGAGAGGCCCTGCTCACGCTCCCACCTTCTTCACAGGCACGATTGGTGGGGACAAGGGAGAGGGCCTTCTTGGTGGTGGCCCCCCGACTCTGGAACTCACTTCCCAGGGACATCAGACATGCCCCAACATTGGCAGTCTTTAGGAGAAGCCTGAAAATGTGGATGTTCCAGTGTGCCTTCCCAGAATAAGGAGAACTCTCAACAATATGCCCTCATAATGCACTTTAATGCTGACTTAGGATGGACTGTGTTTCCTCATTTCTCTCTGAAAAATCCTATCCCAGTTATATTTTACCTTGTTCACGTCAGCATATTTTCATTTTAATCTATTACATTCGGCCCGGCCATTTTAAAATTGTTATATGCCACCATTGATTGTTTTTGTTTATATGATTTATATGATTTGTATTTTATTGATTGGGTTGTTGTAGGTTTTTTCGGGCTGTATGGCCATGGTCTAGAGAGGCATTCTCTCCTGATGTTTTGCCTGCATCTATGGCAAGCATCCTAAGAGGTAGTGAGGTCTGTTGGAACTAGGAAAAAGGATTTATATATCTGTAGAATGACCAGGGTGGGACAAAGGACTCTTGACTGTTGGAGATAGGTGTGAATGTTTCAACTGACCACCTTGATTAGCATACAATGGGCTGATTGCGCCTGGAGCAAACTTTTGTTGAGAGGTAATTAGATGTCCCTGCCTGCTTCCTCTCTGTTGTTTGTGCTGTTGCAATTTTAGAGTTTTTTAATACTGGTAGCCAGATTTTGTTCATTTTCATGGTTTCCTCCTTTCTGTTGAAATTGTCCACCTCCGCTCCCTCCTTGGTTTTTGCACCTACCTTCAGGAAAGGTGGGCATCTCCACCTCTCTCTCTCTCTCTCTTGGTCCAAATGGCTGAGGAGAAAGTCAGGAGAAGAGGTGACTTTTGGTGCACACGCCGGGGTCTTCAGGAACAGAAAATATATATCAGTGATTGGTGGGGGGTGGGGGGCAAAATACTGTTTGCTTACCGTTGAAAATTACCTAGGGCCGCCTCTGCTTATATACCTATGAGTTCCTGTCAAGCTGCATTAATTCTGCAGTGTTGTTGTTCATTCGTTCAGTCGTCTCCGACTCTTCGTGACCTCATGGACCAGCCCACGCCAGAGCTCCCTGTCGGCCGTTACCACCCCCAGCTCCTCAAGGTCAGTCCAGTCACTTCAAGGATGCCATCCATCCATCTTGCCCTTGGTCGGCCCCTCTTCCTTTTGCCTTTCCACTTTCCCCAGCATAATTGTCTTCTCTAGGCTTTCCTGTCTCCTCATGATGTGGCCAAAGTACTTCAACTTTGTCTCTAGTATCTTCCCTCCAGAGCAGTCGGGCTTTATTTCCTGGAGGATGGACTGGTTGGATCTTCTCGCAGTCCAAGGCACTCTCAGCACTTTCCTCCAACACCACAGCTCAAAAGCATCGATCTTCCTTCGCTCAGCCTTCCCTAAGGTCCAGCTCTCACATCCGTAGGTTACTACAGGGAATACCATGGCTTTGACTAGGCGGATCTTTGTTGCCAGTCTGATGTCTCTACTCTTTACTATTTTATCGAGATTGGACATTGCTCTCCTCCCAAGAAGTAAGCGTCATCTGATTTCCTGGCCACAGTCTGCATCTGCAGTAATCTTTGCACCTAGAAATACAAAGTCTGTCACGGCCTCCACGGTTTCTCCCTCTATTTTCCAGTTGTCAATCATTCTTGTTGCCATAATCTTGGTTTTTTTGATGTTTAGCTGCAACCCAGCTTTTGCACTTTCTTCTTTCACCTTGATTAGAAGGCTCCTCAGCTCCTCCTCGCTTTCGGCCATCAGAGTGGTGTCATCTGCATATCTGAGGTTGTTAATGTTTCTTCCAGCAATTTTCACCCAGCTTTGCATTCATCAAGCCCCGCACATCGCATGATGTGTTCTGCATACAAGTTAAAAAGGTTGGGTGAGAGGATGCAGCCTTGCCGTACGCCTTTCCCAATCTTGAACCAGTCTGTTGTTCCATGGTCAGTTCTTACTGTTGCTACTTGGTCCTTGTACTTATTCCAGAATATCAAGGCAGAAAATCCCACATTCAAAGCAGTTCAAAGCAGATCTTGTGGGATTTCCTGCCTTGATATTCTGGGATATAGGGCTGTGTGGAAGGGCCCTCCCTCAGGCCATGCAGTTCAGTGTGGCTTTTATACAGCGGTGTGGAAGGGCCCAAAGAAGCCGTCGTGGTCGTCGAGGCAAAGAAGCAATGAAGGGCTCGCGCTTTTTTTCCCTCCCTCAGGTCCCGAGGGAGAGGGGGAGTTCTCCTCCTCGGGCGCGGCTCTGATTGGCTGGAGCCGGCGAAGGGGGCTCGCTCTCGTCCAATGGGAAGGCGCGCCTCTGGCCTCCCCGGCTGGTTGCCTGAGGCGAAGTTCGAGGCGCCTCCAATCCCTCCGGAGAAGCCCGAAGGAGCAATGCTGCCGACGGCTTGAGAGAGAGAGAGCGAGAGAGTCAGTCCAAGTCGCCGCGGGTTTCCCTCCTTTTTTGGGAGCCTTTGGGCCTCATGGAGGGCTCCTCCTCGCCGCCGCCGGCCTATTCGGAGCTGAAGCGGAGCCCTGGGACCGAGCTCCGACTCGACGGCGCGGGAGGAGGAGGAGGAGGAGGAGGAACGGGAGGAGGGCCGGCCCCCGAGGAAGAGGAGGACGACGAAGCAGCAGCCGCGGCCCGGGCCCCCAAGAACTACCTGTGGCTCAGCATCTTCTCCTGCTTCTGCCCCGCTTACCCCATCAACATCGTGGCCTTCGTCTTCTCCGTCATGGTGAGCGGATCCCCGCCTCCCCCGCCCTCCCACCCCAAATATCGCAAGGCTGCGTCCACACTCTCGAACCGATGCTCTTTAAAACCGCCCGGCTCAAGGCCGTGGCGTCTGCTAGGACTTGGGGGGGAAATAGCTGCTTTCGAAAAAATTAAGGATTCTAACAGCCCACCTATCTGTCTGTCTGTCTATCAATCAAACAATCTAGATAGATAAATAGACAGACAGACAGACACACACACACACAGGATTCGATGATTCCTTAGGAAAGAGAAAGGCAACAAGGAGAAAAAGAAGGAACCTAATTGGATGCGTGCCTCCACTTTCAACCCGCGGCGACCCTATCAAGGGCTTGTCTTGTTTTGTTCTTTTATGGATTGGGTTTGCATGTTGGCTTTCTCCCAGCATGGGGCCCAAGGCGACCTTTTTTGGGTCACATTGGGTCCCTCTGGGGCTGAGAGAGTGTGACTCACCTGAGGGTTTTTTTTTTCATGTCAGGAGCGACTTGAGAAACTACAAGTTGCTTGTGGTGTGAAATAATTGGTCGTCTGCAAGGATGATGTCCAGTTGTTTCGATGTTTTACCATCCTGTGGAAAGCTTCTCTCATGTCCCTGCATGGGGAGCTGGAACTGACAGATGGGAGCTCACCCCGCTAACCCTGCTCCCAGATTCGAACCACCGACCTTTCAGTCAGCAGTCATAACCACGGGCTATTTACTCACCTGAGTGGCTTGCAGAGATTCCAAGGGACATCATTCCAGGGCTTGTTTGCTTTCTCTCTCCCCCTCTGTCTTTCTCTCTCATTCCATGTTTTCTGTTGGTGTTGCCCAGTACTGCTCTCCATACACCAGGCAGCTGTCCACTGAAGGTGAGATAGGAACATTAGCAGAAGTATATGTCCACTGAAGGAAGCTCCAAACATTAGAAAGGATGGGTTGTTGTAGGTTTTTTCAGGCTATTGGATCTTTGCCTCCCTCTGGAGCTGAGAGAGTGTGACTCACCTGAGGGTTTTTTATTAGAAAGGATGGCAAGGGCCACCTAGTCCACCCCACCCCCCACCCTGCCATGCAGGCAGACCCAAAATGTCCCCAAAAATGCCTGTTTTCCCTCATCCCCAGGCAGTCTTTGCTCTGGCTAATGACAGACCTCCTGCCCATTGTATAGAATAGTTGTCAATCAGTGCATGCAGTTGTGGATCTGAATGGCAGCCTGGGTAGATTGCTAGGAAGGTCTTCAGAAGTTTGTCTGGTCGAGCATGATATGCTTACAGATTTGGGGAAAGTTATTAGTGAATGCAACTCATTACAGTCAGAGGAAACCCTTCTCAGTGTGATTTCTTGCCATGAGTCTAACTTTGAAAAAGTTTCTCATGACTGGAAAGAAATGAGGAGAGGAAGAGAGAGAAATGGAAAAGTTTAAAGCGCCTTTGAAATGCTCTTGAAATAGAATATTGGTCAGGAATTAGAAAGCATTATCGATTATACCCTCCCACACAAACGTGATTTGTTCTCTCCACTCCTCTGATAGTAGAGTTTTGGAAAGTTACTTTTTGGGGATGAGATCTCTTGACAAAGGCCTTGCTGGCTGGAGGCATTGGAGAGGGAAGGTCTGAGAGACTAACTAACTTTCCCAAGCTCCTAAGCCACTGAAATGCTTCTGGTTATCACTTTGGCATTAAGAATACCACCACACTGTCAATGCACTGATGAATTCCTTCTGCAGTAACCGTCATGCTCTCTCATTATCGATTGCCAAAGGAGACGGCTGGGAAGGGTGTGCACGTGCACAGCGTGCCTGCAGAAGCAGAGACACCGACCACCGTTCCAAGAGAGTCCATTTAGCCAAGCTAATGGACTGCGGTGCATTACTTAGGCGATGGGCTAAATGGATAGATCTTTCCAAGCCCCGGGAGATCCAGAGAGGTTAGATGTCTGCCAAGGAATCCTTGGGCATGTGCAGTTTGAGATGTGGTGATGGGATGGAAAGGAAAGGCATTTGCTAACAACAGTGGCTCACCTTTCTCCACCCCACCACTCCCTGTGGGGGAAACACAAACTCTCAATGGCACAGGTTGGTAAAAAGATCCAGGAAGCTCTTAAAGATGTTCCTGGATTTCCTCTGTGGATAGTTGAATGTACGAACCTACCAAACTGATATCTGAAACTAGCACTGTGGGGATTGTTTTCTGGCATGAATGCTAAGTTCTCCCAAAGCTGGCACATCTATTTCAACCAGGGGGAATCCATCGCTTTCCAATGCCCATTGGCCCCCATCAGCATTGCCAGTGTGATTGAGGATAATGAGAGTTGAAGTCCAACATGTCACTGTTTTGTCACAAGCTTTTCCATTTGGAAATTCCTTTCAAAAGCAATAGAGTTAGGTAGAGCTTTTTTGGCTTTCAGATGCCATTCTTCCATCTCCTCCCACCCCTGGCTCTCTATAGTTTCTAGGGCACATACTTTTAAAAAAACAGTGACTATAATTTTGTTTTCTTTCCATAGGCCTTAAACAGTTATACCCAAGGAGACATAGAAGGATCAAAACGACTGGGTCACATTGCACTGTTGGTTGCCATTGCATCTATTTTAATTGGCCTTGTGATGATTGGAATCCTTTGCATAGTCCATTTCACTACAGTAAGTAAGCTTTGACCATTTCCAGTTTGTATTTTTATTTCACAGTGTAAAAGCTTATCTTATCCTGAGACAGACTCAGTCCTTCTGGCTGGCAGCAGTGGATTTTTTCCATTCTTTACCTGGAGACACTGGAGACCCTCAACAGGCAAGAAAGCCTCCAAAGGTTTAGGTCACACCAGGAGAGCTGGCAACTGCAGCTCATGGTAATTTTTAGGATGTAGAGTCTGAAAGGCAAGTCAACATCTTGAAAGGTGGAAGGAAGTGGATATATTTAGTTCAAAGAAGATTATGGGGGAACTAGAGACCATGCTCATATATTTAGAATGAAGATGGGAAATGATCACGCTTTCAGCCTAATCAGAGACAAGCACTATAGCTACAACAAACCTGACCTAATTCGGGGTCCTTAAGGCTACAAAGATCATTTTGAAAGTGACATCTCTCAAAATCTCCAGCCCAAGACCTTTCTAGAGTGATCATAAGTTAATGGTTTGTGTATGAGATGCATAAGCAGTGCTTTCCTCATTACCACAACCAGCAGAATAAATCATGCAACTTCAATTGCAGTGGTTCTCAACCTGTGGGTCCCCAGGTGTTTTGGCCTACAACTCCCAGAAATCCCAAGTAGTTTACCGGCTGTTAGGATTTCTGGGAGTTGAAGGCCAAAACATCTGGGGATCCACAACACACTGATCTATTGTGTTGTAAGATTTGCAGCTTCCCCTAGTGCAGCATCCAAGAGAATGTGGGTTATGTCCTGCTTTTGAGGAAGCAAACACTTGCAGACCCCTGACGTCTCAATGCAGTGGGTAAACTCACTCCTAAATAGCTTCTGCCCAAGAGGACCCTGGTCCTGTATGCTGGAAAAGGTGGCCCATTCCTGTGCAGTCTCTTCCCCTCCTGGATATCCTTAGCTGGGCCATTGACATCAGCAGCTTCTCCTCAGATCAGATTGAATTACCAGTTCCACCCCATAAGCCGCAGTGTTGTGGGCAGGAGACTTCCACAAGCCCTTTCAACACGGGCATGAACTTTCGACCTCTTTTTTTCCCTGCTGATGTCTCTGGAGGAGAGAATTTCTTTTCATTTTTATCATAACTAGACCTCCCTGGAAAGAGAACATCCTCAGATAAATAATTAGGTCTGTACACTTTAACAGGCTTAATTATACTAATGAAGGATTAGTTGACTAATTGCTGAGGGAGGTCACTTATAATTTAGGAAAGACTGTAAATTAGGTGAAGGCTTTTTTTGTGAACTGGAACAGAAGATTAGATTATTTTCCCCTTCTAATAATGAGTGACAGCTTTTGTGTATTACATTTTCATGGTTGTTTTTATAGCATCTCAAAAACTAATATTAAAATATTTCTGGCTTTCCTGCTACAGCACAGACACAGTTCACCTGGGGCTTTCCAGAGCATTTTATATCCCAACTGCTAAGCTCTAATGGGTACTCTAAGCAAAGTGTTGTAGAAAAGGCGGCCATAGAGATATAGAGTGCCCTTTGCCCTCTGTCCACAACTAAGCTGTGATGTGCCAACATGAAGTGAAGGCCAGCCTCCCCTCCAGGTCAGCATGTATTACAGCAGTATCATCTGTCTGACAACAGCAGCAGTTTCCTTAGCCCCTCCTCTGGTTCCGAAAGCCCTTTCAGCTTGGCGAAACAGATCTGTCTTCACAAGTCATAGAAAATCATTTTATTTTGCAGCCAGTGAAATGCAGTGACACAGGTGGAAGTGTTTTGTTTTGTTTTTTGTCATGTCAGGAGCGACTTGAGAGACTGCAAGTTGCTTCTGGTGTGAGAGAATTGGCCGTCTGCATGGATGTTGCCCAGGGGACGCCCAGGTGATTTGATGTTTTTATCATCCTTGTGGGAGGCTTCACTCATGTCCCCGCATGAGGAGCTGGAGCTGATAGAGGGAGCTCATCCGCCTCTCCCCGGATTTGAACCTGCGACCTGTCGGTCTTCAGTCCTGCTGGCACAGGGGTTTAACCCACTGCGCCACCGGGGGCTCCTGGTAGAAGCGATGGGATCACTTCACATTCTTTGCCAGGTGGCTTTTGCACTTCTGTGATAGCCTCACAGCTGAACTTTCTTGTCACTGAAAGAATCCTGCTTTGACTCCAAGGAAAAGTAACGTCCTATATACAAACCAATGTAGCTTTGTTGGGCATCCTTTCTAGGCCTCTCTACAGCCACTTACTTTGTTTCAAGCTAGGAGCACATTGATTAGATGGCTAAAGGTGAATTTACACTGCCCTATATCCTAGGATCTGATCACAGATTATCTGGCAGTATAGACTCATATAATCAAAGCAGATAATCTGGGATCAGTTCCTGGGATATAGGACAGTATAGATCCAGCCTAAGTTGTCAGGTCAATTTTTTAGAAACATTTTAGAGTACTAAAAAAGGTGTCTTGTGGTTAGGCAGCAACAATTAAATTCCTATAAAATATGCATTTATTATGTATTAGTTACACCTACCCCCTAGCTTTTTTCCAGTGAGTCATATGTGAAAGAAAGACTGTCTAGATATGCTAAGTACATGGCTGTATTCTCCATTTTATCCTCATGACAACCCTGAAGTGTAGGTCAGACCAGGAGTGAATTACTAGATCATCAAGTCGCTGTAAAAGCAAAAGAATAGGACTTCAGGCAAGATGACGTATTCCTGGTGACTTTACCCATAGACCACAATGGATCTAGAGTTGTCAACTGGACCCTATTCTTGCCCTTGTAACTTGACAGCAACTGGATGGTAAGAAACATGTAGATCAAGCTTGGAGGTTTGCTGTACTTGGTGCCAAAGTACCTGAAACAGGTGCTGGGGCCAAATCATGAGAAACAAAATCCATAGACGTGCTGTTTCGACACACCTGTAGGGACAAGAAGCTAAATGGGGCACTAACCCAACCAGTCAAAATTTGGCAAGCTCAGTGGGACATGCTTTGTTCCCCACCAGGCCACTTTCGGCATCTTTGGTGATGTCAGAGGAACAGGTGTTGGCAGCCAATCCACTCTTTGGTGGCCAAGGTCATGGAGTAGCAGCTCTGGTAATGGCCCAGGTATGTGCAGAAGGAACAGTTTATGATAACATTAAAATTAGCTAACATCAAACCATTTCCTGACAATCAGCTATCCATTTGTTTAGATTGCCTTGATGCATAATTTAGAGTTAATTGGCAAGGATAGGACAACTGCCCAGGGGAACTTAATGCTTTTGACTCAAAAGTGCATTGAGCCACTAATGCAGTGGGTTGTTTGTTTAATGGGAACAAGAATCATTAAATAATGTGTCTATTAGGGCATTGATGATGAATAATTAAAATTGGCAATCACATTTCTTCTCTTTCTTGCTCTCTTGCTCTGTTTCCCTCACCTCTCTTTGAAAAATCGTTATTTCTCCGCTAATGCAGTACGCCATCTGAAAGCCAAGATTTGGACCTAAAGAGTTACCATCTTCAAACCTGTGGGAAAGGTGCGAGGAACCCCCCCCCCCTGCAGAGATCTAGAAAAACAGATCCAGGTGGTTTGATTGAAATCCAATGAGTTTTGCTCAAAGCACCTTGCTGGTGAACAAACTGTTAGCTAGCGCTGGTTGCAGTGCTCTGCTACAAGGTGAGCACTTCCCCCCGCCCTGTTATGTCTTTGAAAATGCCACTATAGAGCAACGCATCCTCTCCTCCCCACCCTCAAATACAATGACTGCATTTTAATGTAAATTAGAAATGCCACCTCCATCTGAAGCACCCACCCTGTCTTGTTGGCATGTGCACGCATTCTGGTGTCTCCCAGGCTGGAGGTATTGGCCTGGCTGGACTTTCTGGATCGGCAATGGAATGTGAGCCAGAACCTGTGGGACCCTTTGGGTGGCCAGCTCGCCATTGGCTGCAGTGGGGCAGTGGCCTTGGGTGACAAAGGCTAGGAGGCGGCAGCAAAGTGTTGGAAGACAGCGACGTGTACCACAAGACCTGCTTTGCCTTCTCTTAGCTAGTCTACCCATTTGAGGGGTGGAGAAGGATAGTGTCTTATCGTCAAGGTACATGGACTGGGAGAGAGCACCATCTTCTTTGCATCAAACAGGAAAATGTCCTGGTCTCCTCTCTGGATGCACCTAAAGAGTGCTTCCATGGAACATACATGTGGACATCTTTCACTTTCTGCCTCTGTTTTTTGGACCGTGCCTCTGCTTATGTATTTGTGCTCCTCCTGTTGTGCATTGTTTCAGTGACTTTGTTATCCAGTGGATGGTGGCTCGTGTTGAGAACCAGGCCTGGGTTAAGAGTGCTGAAGGTGGAAACCATGGGCAGGGTGGCCAACCAACCAGGGAGATGAAATGCACTCTGGTCTGCTTCTGTGCCTTTAAGGAGACTTTGGTTGGTAGACATCAGACAAAGATGACAGCTTAGAAATAAAACACAGTCAAATGCTGTGCTGAGACCTGTAGCCCTGCAGATATAACTGGACTGCAGCTCCCAGCATCCCCCGCCAATGGCTGTCCTGGCTGAGAGTTGTAATCAAACAATATGCAAAGCCCCCACCTCTGTGCCTATAGCTCTCTCCAAAGTGTTTTTAAGGACACCATTCAGTGTCCATCTAGAAAACTGATGCTCTTAGGAACAGCTGAAAATTGAGAATCTGAAGTTAATTAGACTTGATGTTGACGTGATGGAGGACATATTTAAATCTTTCCCTTTCCTTGTGTCATCCTGGATGGAACTTGTAAGAACTTGTAAGGAACTTGAGCTACACTTTTAGCCATGATCCCATGGTCACAATAAAATCATGAAGGAATCTGGGAGGTAGTAACAACAGCCACCTGTGTCTGCTTGTGGTTTTTAAAACAATGAAATCATGTTTGGAAAGGAAAAATGACAAACACAATAAACTTTGTATATTTCATTGTTCAAGTAATGTTGCTGTTTCCGGGGGCTTTTTTGAAACATGTGGCTATCCTTTGCAGTATGACAGTGATAAAAAGTATGGATTCTACTTAAGCCAGGCATGTATTTGTTTTCCACAATATTTTCTTTTTTTCTTTTACATTATAAAATTTAAAAACAGGAGGGGGGAGACTCAAAAGTTGGAATCATACTCAGTGAACTGAACCAAGAGCCTCATGAGAAAAATCAGAAGTGTCATTTACATCTCTTTACTCAGAAGTGTCATTCATTTCAATGCAGCTTCTTCCTCGATATACATGTGAAGGATCACAACCTAGACTAATTGAAATCCAGACATTACACAAGAGGTCAACATGAAAACAAAATATGCATGCTAAAAGCCAATCCCATAGGACTGATAATGGTGACAAAAAAGTCACAATTAATAGGGTTCTTGAACCATAACTAGAGAAAGTCTGCACTGAAAACTCAATTTTTTACTGTTATCTTCAAGTGGTTTGAAGAAAGTGTGAGTCATGTTTCCCTTTCATGTTCTTTAATTCACTTTAATACTCTTTGCTATCACTCAAGAAAGCAAAGTTCTAAGCTCTGATCAAAAGTCCCTTTGATGGTCATATTTTTTCCAATCAGAATGAAAGATGCCCTTGTGAGTAGGAGGAGGAAGAGACAGAAAAGGAGATGAGAATGGCTAAAAAGAAGACTATGTATAATGTAAACTACCCTCTCATAAGCAGCTGTGCCAATCTGTATTAACCAACTGTTGGTTATGCTGCTTGGATGATGATAGGAGAGGGAGTCCACGTTATGGGAGACTGCTTTGTCTAATGTTTTAAAAAGAACCACTTTCTGAATTATATATCAAGACTGATAGCTGAAGTAGGCGATGTGCTGAACTTCAGCTTCAGTCATTCCTATGAAAGCCTTCTAGGGCTGATGGGAAACATATATATAGGTGGAGAAGTGGGATATAAAGCTGAATAAAGTGAAATAATTCCCTCCAATTTGGGTGAAAGCATTCAAGCTATTAGTTTCCTGTTTTCCCTCTGAGTGGGGAAGGGTGATGCATAAAATGTGGCTCCAGCTGCCAAGCGCCTGCTTCTTTACCTCCGCCCCCGCCCCAAAAGACAGCCTGCCTTTGCCCCATCTCAAGAGAGCTGCTCAGTGGCCAGGCTCTCTCTTTTGCCACTTTACTGGCAGAGGCAGATGGACACCAAAAGTGCTGCCCTCAGCTCTTGGATCAAATTAGCCTCCTTCAGGTCTTTCGGACAGCTGGGTGCTGCAAAAGAGCAATGCATGTGTAATCCTGATATGTAACCCTAGAGCGGGGCTGCTAAATATACGGGATCAGAGGTCCGGTGGAAATGTTGGCAGGAGGCGACATGCACTCACCTCCATTGACCATGCTACAAAGGCTCCTTTGCCAGACAAAGAACTGGATCTTTCTCTCTTGGATGGGGGCCCAAGCTGGATCGAGATCACGGTAATGCTGTCTCTGGAATCCTGTTGACACCGGTGCCAGCACTTTCCTCAGAATCAAGCTGCAGGCAGGAAGGAAATATCCTATGTGGCAAAGCATAGGTTCAAATGTGAAACTACACCTCAACTCTCCCAACTCATAGTTTAGCTGCAACAGCCATCTGCATTAACATTGAATGGCTGGTTGAGAGGTGTGGGAATAAGGCAAGCACCTAGCTGTGTCCTTGTGACCAGACATAGAGGAATGACATCATAGGCTCCTCTGGAGGTCTTGGCAACAGATCTAATGATTCTGCATCCTGGTACAAGTGATTGAATACTCCCCAGGCAGCTGAAATCCACTGGAAATGGTTGTGGTTGGGAATATGTCATACCTATGGATGAGTAAATCCAAGGGACTGTTCTGTATGCACAATCACTTAACTATGTAGCTGATAACAGCCCATGTATCTAGCCGAGGGTTCCCGATTGGCCAGGCTGCCACCAGGGGTGGCTCAACCCATTACACAAAGTAAGCATTTGCAGTATAGTTGATTTTGCCCAGGGGTGCTCTTGGGGGAAAATAGACCTTGACATATGCGAGTTGTAGTTACTGGGATGTATAGTTCATCTACAATCAGAGCATTCTGAACTCCCCCAATGATGGAATAGAACCAAATATGGCACACAGAACTCCCACGACGAACAGAAAATATATATCAGTGGGGGGTGGAGGGGTGCCAAAATACTGTTTGCTTACAGTTGAAAATTACCTAGGGCCACCTCTGGCTGCCACATGGATCCAGCTGCGGAAGTCTCTAGTTATATCTCTGGGTGGATCAGTGCCAAGCACTGCTGCCAAGGGAAGCTGCTCTGCCTGTGAAGGCCATAGCCACCTTCCCTTCCCTTCCTCCTCTGGACGGATTCTGCCATGCTGTTAGTAGGAGGGATGCATGTGTGTTAGTTATGAGTGCAATCTCATCCGGATGCTAGGGAAGTCATTAAACCCAAGCCACCAAAGAAAAGGAACCTCTCTGATGTCAAAAAGCTCCCGGAGACTTCCCGGGTTTACCAAAGGCTCCGGTTGCAGCACAGGTGCGGGTGGGCCGTGACATTCGAAAACACGTCCGAGGCCATGATTTATTTAATGTATTTTCTCCAGCCTTTTCCCCATAAGTGGCTCCAGAGGAAACAAATCAGGGCTCAAAAAAATCCAGCGCAAAGGTGAATTAAAACAAATTAACTGTGTGCCTTCAAGACATTCTGGACTGGTGAACCTACAAAAGAGAGTTGTCGAAGGCTTTCATGGCCGGAATCACTGGGTTGCTGTAAGTTTTTCGGGCTGTATGGCTATGTTCCAATAGCATTCTCTCCTGACATTTTGTCTGCATCTATGGCAGGTATCCATAGACCTCACAACCTCTGAGGATGCCTGCCACAGATGCAGGCGAAATGTCAGGAGAGAATGCTTCTAGAACATGGCCATGCAGCCTGAAAAACCTACAGCAACCCTACAAAAGAGTTTCTTGGCCAGATTCTAAAGAAGCTTCTTCCATTCCCTTGAAATGTCCCTCCATAAAGCCCATGATCTCCCAGTCCCTCTAGGTTGTGATGCTGCTGCCAGCCCTCTCTTGGTCCTCTTTGCTGTGTCCATTACTGAATAAGCACAGACAGGATCAGAAGCTCAATAGAAAACTGGCAACAAAGAGCGAGAGTCCCTCTAGGCATGCACAGAATACTTTTCTTCCCTTCCAGCCTCCCCGTCACTCCCTAAAAGTATATATACCCTGTTCCAATTAACAGTCGCTATAGTCATTATTTGAAGGCTAAGTAAACACATGGAGATTGAAGAATCGAGGTTTCTCTTGCAATTTCCCGACACTTCCCTGATCTTGAATCCTGGCCAGGCTGCAAAATAAGGAAACGGGGAATACATTGTTAGGGGTGTATCCTTTTGGGAGCCCTGTATGCGGGATCATTTAGGACGGAGGAAGGAAGGTTGCTCAGTCAAGACGAGGAAAGAGCCAGCAAGTGCCATGCAAGGCGGGAGGGAGAAACGAGGAAAGTCGACGCGGTCCCTTTAAGACCGGCACGCTCCAGCGATGCTCCCGCCCCGCCTCTAGGGAACCCCCGGGAAGTGCGCATGCTCAGGCCGCCGGAAACGGAAGTGTCTATAAGGAGCGTCCGGCGAGAGGACGGGAGGAACGGTCCTTGCTGCTGTTGTTGAGGGGACTCGGAGGCAGAAGCAGCCAGCGAAGGTGAGGGTTAGGATCTTAGGGCTCTAGAGCATGTGCAGAGGGTCTGTGCTCCAGCCCCGCATTTCCAAGGAATTGATTCTCCTCCTGCCCACTTCCTTCACCGTCCAACACTCACATCCATTGACTTTTCTTAGTTTCAAAGCCCAGGATCCCTGCTGCCTGTAGGATTATGAGAGTTGTAGTCCAAAATAATGCCCCTAGGGCAGGCATAGGCAAACTTCGGCCCTCCAGGTGTTTTGGACTACAACTCCCACGATTCCTAACAGCCTCAGGCCCTTTATTGAGATTGTTAGGAATTATGGGAGTTGTAGTCCAAAACGCCTGGAGGGCCGAAGTTTGCCTATGCCTGCCTTAGGGTCTCTTGTGTTCTTTTTTCTAGCACATCAGTGAGTAACTTCAGCCTTCCAGAGAAGAACTGCTGTTCCCATCATCGCCCCCACGTTCCACCATCTAATAATATATTATAATGTAATGTAATATATTGTATGTTGTTGTTCATTTGTTTCCAACTCTTCGTGACGTCATGGACCAGCCCACGCCAGAGCTCCCTGTCGGCCGTCACCACCCCCAGCTCCTTCAAGGTCAATACAGTCATTTCAAGGATACCATGCATCCATCTTGCCCTTGGTCAGCCCCTCTTCCTTTTTCCTTCCATTTCCCCCAGCATCATTGTCTTCTCTAAGCTTTCCTTCTCATCATGTCGTCAAAGTACTTCATCTTGGCCTCTAATATCCTTCCCTCCAATGAGCAGTTGGGCTTTATTTCTTGAAGTATGGACTGGTTGGATCTTCTGGCGGTCCAAGGCACTCTCAGAACTTTCCTCCAACACCACAGTTCAAAAGCATCTATCTTCCTTCACTCAGCCTTCCTTATGGTCCAGTTCTCACATCCATAGGTTACTATAGGGAATACCATTGCTTTAGCTATGCGGATCTTCATTGCCAGTGTGATGTCTCTCCTCTTCAATATATTGTATATACATATAATATTTATAATATAATGTAATACAATATAATAATAATATATCATAATTATATATTTTATATTACATGTAATATTACTAATAATATTACAATATAATGGTATAGTTGTTGTTGTTCATTCGTTCAGTCGTCTCCGACTCTTCGTGACCTCATGGACCAGCCCACGCCAGAGCTCCCTGTCGGCAGTTACCACCCCCAGCTCCTTCAAGGTCAGTCCAGTCACTTCAAGGATGCCATCCATCTTGCCCTTGATCGACCCCTCTTCCTTTTACCCTCCACCTTCCCCAGCATCATTGTCTTCTCTAGGCTTTCCTGTCTCCTCATGATGTGGCCAAAGTACTTCAACTTTGTCTCTAGTATCTTCCCTCCAGTGAGCAGTCGGGCTTTATTTCATGGAGGATGGACTGGTTGGATCTTCTCGCAGTCCAAGGCACTCTCAGCACTTTCCTCCAACACCACAGCTCAAAAGCATCGATCTTCCTTCGCTCAGCCTTCCCTAAGGTCCAGCTCTCACATCCGTAGGTGACTACAGGGAATACCATGGCTTTGACTAGGCGGATCTTTGTTGCCAGTCTGATGTCTCTACTCTTCACTATTTTATCGAGACTGGACATTGCTCTCCTCCCAAGAAGTAAGCGTCTTCTGATTTCCTGGCTACAGTCTGCATCTGCAGTAATCTTTGCACCTAGAAATACAAAGTCTGTCACGGCCTCCACAATTTCTCCCTCTATTTTCCAGTTGTCAATCATTTTTGTTGCCATAATCTTGGTTTTTTTGACGTTTAGCTGCAACCCGGCTTTTGCGCTTTCTTCTTTCACCTTGATTAGAAGGCTCCTCAGCTCCTCCTCGCTTTCGGCCATCAGAGTGGTGTCATGTGCATATCTGAGGTTGTTAATGTTTCTTCCAGCAATTTTCACCCCAGCTTTGCATTCATCCAGCCCCGCACATCGCATGATGTGTTCTGCATACAAGTTAAAAAGGTTGGGTGAGAGGATGCAGCCTTGCGTACGCCTTTCCCAATCTTGAACCAGTCTGTTGTTCCGTGGTCAGTTCTGACTGTTGCTACTTGGTCTTGTACAGATTCCTCAGGAGAGAGACAAGGTGGCTTGGGATGCCCATCCCACCAAGAACTTGCCACAATTTATTATGATCCACACAGTCAAAGGCTTTAGAATAGTCAATGAAGCAGAAGTAGATGTTTTTCTGAAACTCCCTGCCTTTCTCCATTATCCAGCGGATATTGGCAATTTGGTCGCTCGTTCCTCTGCCTTTTCTAAACCCAGCTTGAACATCTGGCAACTCTCGCTCCATGTATTGCTGGAGTCTTCCTTGCAGGATCTTGAGCATTACCTTACTGGCATGAGAAATAAGGGCCACTGTACGGAAGTTTGAGCAGTCTTTCGCATTTCCCTTTTTTGGTATGGGGATATAAGTTGATTTTTTCCAGTCTGATGGCCATTCTTGTGTTTTCCATATTTGCTGGCATATGGCATGCATCACCTTGACAGCATCGTCTTTTAAGATTTTAAACAGTTCAGCTGGGATCCCGTCATCTCCTGCTGCCTTGTTGTTAGCAATGCTTCTTAAGGCCCATTCAACTTCACTCCTCAGGATGTCTGGTTCTAATTCATTCACCACACATACATAATTTAATGTATGTATATATATCTTGTAAGCCGCTCTGAGTCCCCTTTGGGGTGAGAAGGGTGGCATATATATGTCATAAATAAATAAATCTTTGGAGACTCGCAAGCATCCCGGTCTTGGGATCTTTCAAAGTTGGGGTAAATGAAAGCAGACAGTCTGCGATTCACCTTGGCTGAACAGCAGCCTCATTTCTCTTTTTTAAATGAGGCCTGTGTGGGTTATATGACCCCTGAATGAACCTCTTCGGCTGCATATAAAGCCCCTTTCCCCCCTCCTTAAGATCTCTTGAGAACAATTCTTAACTAGCTCCAGGCATCCAGTGGTTTTTATAATTTTATCCTCATTTGGCAAAACGGAGATGTGTAGCTCTGGCTGCAATTGCTTTGAGGACCTTGTACATTACTTTCCGTTCGGTCCCTCTTAAGCCATCAAGAGGTACTTCTTGATATCACGTGTTCTCTAGAGAGGCACACAGGGTTTTTTTCCAGGAAAGAGCTGTGCAGTGACTAAAGGATAATCACAATTATTTACTTGAGAGGCAGTGACTAAAGGGTAAGAGTTGTCATTTGCTCAAGATGCCAGGAAATTGCATGCTACTTTGATTAGCAATTTTGAATATTATTTGCTGTACAGCCTAAAAGCTTTCAGTGTATCCGTTGCAGTTCCAAGAGATTTCAAAAGTAGTTGACATTTAATTTATTTATTTTTGTTCTTATTAAATAATTTCAGACGTTATCCTTGGGCTTATTTGATTTCTCTGGCCTCAATGTTAAGCCAGCACCCCTCTTTCGGCCTTTTCCTTTTCCAGTGTGTATTAGATTGCGTTGTTGTTCCTCTACATTGGTGTTATGGTATCCGGTTGTTGTGACCGTCAATAATTGGGAAGGATTTGTGGCTGTCTTTTTTTCTCTGTGCCTACAGCAGAGAAGACATGATCATATGTCATAAGGAAGAGGAGCAGGCTCGTATTCTGCAGCCCTAGAGACTTTGAATTCCATAGAGCCATGGGTTCAAATGTTAGGAAAAGAGATCCCATCTGAACATTAGAAAGAAATTTCTGACCGTAAGATGAGATATTCAACAGTGGAACTCTCTGCCTCGGAGTGCAGTGGGAACTCCTTCTTTGGAAGCTTTTAAATAGAGGCTGGATGGCCATCTGTCAGGGGTGCTTTGTGCTCTTCCTGCATGGCAGGGAGTTGGACCAGATGGCCCATGCGGTCTCTTTCAACTCTGATTCTGTCATTCAGGATCTGAAGAACAATGGGGAATACCAGCAGCGAACGTTCAGGAGTGGAGCGCCAGGGAGGCCACAAAACTCCTCGCTCGGGAGCCAAGGATGGAGACCGGCCTAAGATCTTGATGGATAGCCCTGAAGATGCTGACTTATTCCATTCGGAAGAAATGAAGGTATGATGTCAGCCTTTTTTAGCCAGCAAAATGGGTTCTGCTTTTCCTTCTGGAGGGTGAACAAAATGTCTGCTCCAGCTTCCAATTTTAAGAGTGCCTGGAAAGAGGAGGTTTGAGTCTTCTTTTAAGGAGACAGCTTGGATTTATTTCTCCTAGTAATGTGTTCTGAGCTGCTGATATTTACAACCAAAAGCACAAATGGATTTCATGAGCAGCTTTGTCTCCTTTGGCAAGAAAAAAAAATTGGCTCTTGAGAGTAAAACAAAAGCCGGCTGGCACACTTCCCTTAGCAGGAGGAGGGGTTTATTACTGAGTGTATTTTCGAATTGCTCCTTCACTCCCGAGTGCTCAAGGTGACTTAAAGCAGAGCTGTAAAATACTAACATGCAAGGATCGTAAAAGACTAGAATCCAGAAGATAAAAGGTAAATATGACAGTAAAAGAGGAGAGCCTTCAAAAAATCAAGCTGCAGCATTTATCGTTGAAAATTGAATCGTTGAAGTGGCATGTTTTCAGCATCCTTATTTAACACTAGAAGCACTACACCACACTGGTTCTTTAAAGATCTACCTCCGTGATTCCCCTGCTGATGGCATTTTTTGGGAAATGGGATTTAGCTTTGACCGTTGAGCTAATGGTTGCGTTCAAGAGCCAAATTGTCATGCAACACTTAGGAGCACCGGTTGCGCAATGGGTTAAGCCCTTGAGCCAGCAGGACTGAAGAGTGACAGGCTGGAAGTTTGAATCTGGGGAGTATGCGGATGAGCTCCCTCTGTCAGCTCCAACTCCCCATGCGGGGACATAAGAGAAGCCTCCCACAAGGAGGTAAAACATCAAAAAACATCAGGGTGACCCCTGGGCAGCATCTTTGTAGACGGCCAATTCTCTCACACCAGAAACAACTTGGAGTTTCTCAAGTTGCTTCTGACACGAAAATAATAATAATGCAACACTTGGGTCGGCCAGTGAACTCCAAAAGCCAGCACCCCCCTGCTCTCCTTTCTAGGCTTCTTTGGAGAAAGAAGAATTCCTAGCTTGGCAGCATGATGTGGAAGTGAAGGACAAGGCCCCTACGCAAGCACGGCCGACAGTCTTTCGCTGGACTGGAGGAGGGAAAGAAGTGTATTTATCTGGCTCTTTTAACAATTGGAGCAAACTTCCACTGACAAGGAGGTAAGCCTCTTGGTAGCAGAGCCTGTGTTTGTGTTTTGGCATGGCCAAGCATATCATGGCTAGCTGTTCTGGTGCATTTTGTTGCTCTTTTTTGAGATGGAGAGGGATGGCTGTAGGAGTAGCAGCAGATTGGTAGGCCTTGCAGGCGTGGCAAGTTAGCCATTGAGCCTCTTAAGATCATTGATAAACAGGGTGAATTTCTCTCTGTCTTTTTTCACAGCCACAATAATTTTGTAGCAATCCTTGATCTTCCAGAAGGTGAACACCAATACAAGTTTTACGTGGATGGGCACTGGACACATGATCCTTCAGAGGTAAATCCAAGGGATCACAATAGTGATTTGCGACCTCATTGTACAGGCTAATTTGACCATCGTATGCTGGTTCCTCCCCCCTTTGTCACGGAGCCCATCTCACAATGTACATCTACTTCCAGTGGGGCTCCATGGCAAAAGGGGAGAGGTACTGGTTCATGCTGCCACGGAGACAACACAGGAGACTCCCTGTGTTGCATTTGCAACTATGGGGGAAGCCAGGCAATGGACACTACCCGCTGTGGGATGGGGACAAGGTTAAGTCGGGCAATGCAAGGTGTGGGGCAACAGGTTCTCCACATCCACTGCCAGACCCCTACAAGTTTGCCACAATGTGTGGCGAATCCATAGGTTAATATAATAAGGTTCCGAGGCTTTTTCCAGAGAACTACACTTTCCCTATTGAAGCGGCTTTCCTGGGTATCAGTGCTTTTCAGGGCACAGTTGACATGGCTTAAATCCACACTATATGAAAGATCCATCTTCTGCTCTGAAGGTGCCTGAGTCCTTGGAGGAGGGCTTTAGGCCCCATCACCATCCCAGGCCTGTTGGGTGAGGACCTTCTTGGTGGCCGCTCCCAGGCTCTGGAATTCTGAAGGGCTTTGAATGGTCCAACCTTATCATTCCAAAAAGTGACAATATCACCCCTTTGCTGAGGATGGGAAGGTTCACAGCAAGCAGGAACAGAGCAGAGCCGCCTGTGTGTTTCCTCCTAGCCTATAGTTACCAGCCAGATGGGGACCCTCAACAATGTTATTCAGGTGAAGAAAACAGACTTTGAAGTCTTTGATGCTTTAATGGTGGACTCTCAGAAGTGCTCCGATGTGTCTGGTGAGTATTGGAAATTGTCAAAGGAACCAGGAACTGAGAACAGGACAGCCAAAGGGGGAGAGAGATAGCATTGGTTAGGGCTCCTTTAACCATCTTAACTCTCTTCTTGCCTACTACTCAATTCCTGCCTGGCAGAGCTCTCAAGTTCACCCCCCGGGCCCTACCACCAGGAACCCTACATGTGTAAGCCCGAGGATCGGTTCAAATCTCCACCTATTCTTCCTCCACACCTGCTGCAGGTTATTCTCAACAAAGACACTGGGATTTCGGTGAGTAGAGGACTCCGTTCCTTAAGAATCAACAAGTCCAGGCTTGGTTGGGGTAATATTCTCCATCAAAAGGTTTTACTTCTCTGAAAGAGTGTGCAATTTTGTGCTTATCTGGTAACTGTGTGAGGAAGGGAACCTCTTGTGACCCTCACAGCTTTGAATCTTGAATGCAAGGCTCCTAACTGGTTAGAAATTATTTTGTTATAGTTTTAATTGGTTTTATATTAATTTTATTGTGTGATAGTAAATGTTTTCAACTGTATGTATGCTCATGGCATCTAATTATTGCCAATCTATACGCCACTCTGAGTCGCCTCTGGGCTGAAAAGAGCGGGATAAAAATGCTGTAAATAAAGAAATAAACTAAGGGGTTGGCTTTAACTGGTTTTTCTTTGCCATTCTCCACACCCTTAGTGTGATCCAGCACTGCTTCCGGAGCCTAATCATGTCATGCTGAACCACCTCTATGCGCTCTCCATCAAAGTAAGTGAGACCCCTTGCTTTCTCTTATCCTTCATCACAGGAGGCAAACCTGTGGTCCTCTGCATGTTTTGGATTTCAGCTCCCAGAAGTTCCAGCTAGCATGGAAGAAAGGGCTTTAAATTGCTGGAGTGCTGAAGCTCACCACTGCCAACCTGCCTTTGTGATTCTACATATTGATCTGTCTCTTCTCCTGCTCTTCCCTAGGATGGGGTGATGGTGCTCAGTGCCACCCACCGTTACAAGAAAAAGTATGTGACCACCTTGCTGTATAAGCCCATATGAACTGTGCATGGGGGCCTTGGCTGATGGAGCAGCATGGGCAAGAACCCCAAAGTGTGCCTTTGTCACGGGGAAGACTTGGTGTCCAATCATACAGCTTTTTTTTTAAAGAGACCAGATTTGTTGAATTTGTTGCCTTGTGTGCACATTGCGCTCTCTTTCTCTTCGTCTGTCTCCTGCTGCGGGTATCCTTCAGCCCAATAAGCAGATATACGCCTGTTTTACCAATGAAGCATGACCGTCCAAGGATTGCCCTACAGTCCTAGCCTGTCTATTAAAAAACCAAAGCCTGAGGACATCAGGGTTGCAGAGCACATTTTTAGCCTAGCGTTTTGAGTTGCCAGTTAGTAGCAAAACATTCAAGGGGTTGGGAGAATCCAGGCTTTCTGTATTTTGATTTTACAAGTGCCATCTTCTTCCGCTTTTCAACTCTGGGGAATAGATTTTATATTAACTATGCTCCATAAATGGTAAGAATTTGAAGGAGAATAGTGTTCCCTTTCCCAGAGTTGAGAACCCCAAATAATTTTGCTACTTGTCTGAAATGGCTACAGTCGTTCTTTCCAAGGCCAGCCAAGGGATGAGGTCCAGCAATAATACAAGGGAAGGAAAGCTGTTCCCTGTCTTTGAATGCCAATGGCCACGTTGGTGCCCCAAGTAAATACACTCCCCCACCTCCTTCGGAACCAGCTTGTGCCTTTTTGCCAGGCCAGTCAAGGAATTCAGGGACTTGGTAGGCCTTAAAAGCATCCTTTCTGAACTCTGCTTTTACCAGTTGAGCCTCTTTCCAAAGCCTTCAGGTAGCTCCGTTGCTTTGAGTAGCTAAACAGCCTCCAGAACAATATTGCGTATAAACTATTATTTGATCTTTTATTATTGGTCCTCTTCAGCCACAATTTTTTAAAAAAATAAATGAATATATAGAGTGAATGAAGCGTGTGTTCTTTGCATCTGCTGGTGTCAAAAAATACTCTTTCCCAAGGGGCTCATGTATTCAGTTGGAATCCATAAGTCAGTGGTTGTCAGCCTTCCTAATGCCGCAACCCCTTAGTATAGTTCCTCATGTTGTGGTGACCCCCAACCATAAAATTATTTTTGTTGTTTCTTCATAACTGTAATTTTGCTTCTGCTATCAATCGTAATGTAAATATCTGATATGTAGAATTTATTTTCATTCACTGGACCAAATTTGGCACAAATAATACCCGATACGCCCAAATTTGAATACTGGTGGGGTTGGGAAGGATTGATTTAGTCATATGAGAGTTGTAGTTGCTGGGATTTATAGTTCACCTACAATCAAAGAGCATTCTGAACTCCACCATCAATTGAATTGAATCAAACTTGGCACACAGAACTTCTATGACCAAGAGCAAATACTAGAAGGGTTTGGTGGACATTGACCTTGAGTTTTGGAGTTGTAGTTCACCCACATCCAGAGAGCAGAAGGAGGGCTTTTGGTGGGAAGATTCACCGTCTTGTTTCCAAAAAGGAAGAGAAGGACAGGCGGAGTGATCTTCAGCCTTGTCTGCCAAAGGGGTTCCTAAGACCATCAGAAACATGTGTTTTCTGAAGGCCTAACTCTACTGTTTTGGTCCTTTTGTGTTCCTCCCTCAGAAACCCATTCTCCCCCAGAAACACATTCTACGTATCTCATCCAGGGTTTTATCAGTTTTATTCCTAGTACATTTGGCCCGCCCACTGTGTTCTATTTCTCTATTATGTTATTTTGAAACTGTTTATTTTGTTATTCCACGTATTTATTTTGATGGTATTTTCGCTTCTTGTATTTTATTTTGCTGTACTGTAATTTTGGGCTTGGCCTCATGCTAGCTGCCCTGAGTCCCCTTTGGGGAGATGGTGGTGGAGTATAAATAAAGTTTATTTATTTAGTATATTACTTTCTGATGGTCTTTGGTGACCTCTCTGAAACCCCCCTCATGACCCCCCAGGGGTTCCGACCCCTAGGTTGAGAAACACTGATTTAACTTTTCCGAACTTTAGGAGGCGTTAGGCGTTACCCCATTGAGAAGGCTTTTCTCTCTGCCTTATTTTCCTACACGTGCAGCATGATTAGCACAGCAACATTCAAGGGTTACGATTTCCTCCACTGTTGTCATTGCCACAATAAAACCCACTAGCAATTTTTGGGAATGGCATTTGGCCCACTGGCTTGGGAGGAAGAACCCACAAACAACAGTCCCACCTACACCTTATACAGATTTTTCTGGCCACATGTTGCTCATTTTAATGCCTGCATCTTAGAAATATGGCAAAGCTGAGAAAGAGGCAGGAAGAGGCACCCAAACTGGGTAGGAAAAAGTCCCCACAAGGAAGGTTTTGGAGTTAGGGGTGGAAAATCATCACTGTATGGAGAAAGGGTACTTTTCCTAGGTTGTCTTTTAAACTAATGGGAGTCAGGGCCAGTGTTCCTAGAATTCACTGTCGCAACAGCCACTCACTTGGTTGGCATTTCAATATGGCCAGAGAGGATACAGCTGTCGATGGCCATTACTTACACTGGTGTAAGGATCCTCCTGTTTCTGCAGGGCACAGGGGTAAAGGAGAGGCTCTTTCCATCACTTAATCAGTTCCCCAAGCATCAGATGAATTACAAATTTCATCATGGACAGCACTGAAACAGTGAGTCTTAAATAAGTATATTTTGTGCACATGAAAAGAAAAATAAAGGAACATTTGTAAACAAGCTTGCAGTTCATTTATACATTCAAGATTAGGCACAACAGAAGTCAAAGCAGTTTGGTTTTCAATGCAGAGCATCACTATGCGCAATAGGTCAACCAAAGGGGTGGGTTTGGGGGGGGGGGTCTTGGGGGGGGGCTGGCTTCCTGGCGACCTGTTTGGAGCAGGCCAAGGGGGAAGGGGAGGTGCATCACTCAGCGGGGGCCGCACCTCGGCTCCCGCCAGCTCACAGTTTGGCATACACACACACGATCCCTGTAGAAGAAGACGTCAGACCCTGTAGAAACTGGCTTCGGTTTAAAAATAGAAATATTTACAGTGTAGTCGAAACTTGCATTCGCTTGCCAAGTGTTGCTTCGTTTGGTGATGTATGGCCTGAATTACGTTGTTGGTAGGTTTTTTAAAAACGCACCGCAGGGTGTTTGCGTGCATGTGTGTGTGCATGTGTGTGTATATATATATATATGTTGTTACAGCACCAGAGAAGAGGGAAAGGTCATTGAACAGTTATTGTCAGTCTACGATGCTGCACCATCTGTCCACTGGGACTGATGATGGCCAGCCCTGTTTAGGCCTGGATGTTGGGGGGCAGCGGCTGAAGAAGAGGTCAGCTCACGTTAGGGAAAACTGGTTCAAGCATTGAGGAGGTGAGCAAGGAAAGGAAAGCTCCCCATTGCGTGGACTGTTTTCCCAGTACACGTGATTGGAATTGCCATTGTGCCCCTTACCTCCCCACTCCGTGCCCTTTGGGGTGGAATGGGGGGGGGGGGCATAAGACCTGAGCAGGGCTTTCCTCAACAGCTAACCTGGGCAGATGGCTTTCATGAAGAGAGAGGAACTAACACACTGATGATGGCAATGGGAACTTGAGCACTTCTCTGAGTTAGTAGGCCAGGCAGCTTTGTCCTGCGCTAAGAGCGAGGCTCCTGCACCTGTCTTCCTGCAACTCAGCTCCCAATGTTACTTCTGACTAAGATAGTTCTATCCTACCTTTGCGCCGCACAGGCCTTCTGTATGGCTGACGGTAAGTGGAGATTAGGACATCACAACTCCAAAGGTCCCTTCTTAAAGGCAGTGGTGACTTCTGAAGGCTTGGGGAGGGGAAGGGGGGGCAGAGAGAGGGGACAGTGAAGGGAGAGGCTCCCCAGGCCTTATCTGTTGCTGCTCTTGTGGGAAGGAAAAGGTCACTGTACCATGCCAGACAGAGAGTTTGCGTGTTTTTATTTGGTTATCGGTTAACAAGTTCAACACTTTCCAGGTGTAAATTATTCCTTGTTCTTGTCTGCAGTAATAAAAAGGTGATGAAGGCAAATTGATTTTTGTTTTTGTTTAAATGCAGGCAACTTCTATTTTGTAATAAAGCCTCAGACCTCATTTCCACTAACAAGCGTTTGCTTGCACATTTCACATTACAGTATTTGTTCATGGGATCCCGGGGCGTCGGGGCAAGGTCCCTTGGGCAGCGGCAGCCAAAGGCACCTTTCCTGCAACCCCCCATCCGACAAAGGGCTCGTGGTTCGGAAAAAACAAATGCACACTTTACAATAAAAAAGTAGAAACGGATTTCTTCCCCCCCCCCCCTTTTTTTACGAATATAAAGTTTCTTGTAAATATGTACAGTCCTTTGAGCTATTCTATAGCAGGAAGCGTTTCACAAACAAGACACAAGATTTACACTCTTAGGACTCGACAAGCCGAGTTTTCAGGTCATGAGGAACTTTTTTTGTTTCCATGAGATGCGAAAACGCCGTAAACACCTTTCGAGACACCCAAGACCCAGAGGCAGAAATCTCCACATGTTTCCTGACAGACCATCTGGTATAAAATAGCCCGCTACGCAAGAGACCAGACCCTGTTAGCCACGACCCCACCCCACCCCCCAAAGGGCCCAGGCGCAATGGGAGATGGAGAGGCCTCACCAGTAGGGCAGCACTGGCTGGGAAAAGGATCAGGCCAGAGAGAGAGAGAGAGAAAGGGAGTGGAAGGCAGCTAAAGCTAATTGAACGGACAAAGCCTGAGTTGGAAAGAAATGACCCTCTCTGCTCAGCAAGAGAGGGCTTGTGTTTGTGGCAAAAAGTGATGACAAAAGGCTTGGGATTTGTCAAGGCTGCCCATTCTCTTTGCTGCCAGGAGCAGTGGTTTATGCCACACTGATTTTCTTAGTCTCTCTTTTGGGCATGGCTCTTATTTGCTTCCTACGGTTTCTTATTTGGAGCAGCTGAGTGCTGCTTCCATCGACTTTGGGAGCAAGGAGGCATCTCCTTGGCTTGGGCCTCTCCCAGGACAGTGGCACATTTTGCGAACAGGATCCTGCCCAATGCTGGCCAGGGATGGGAATGTCATCATGCCTCGTGGAATTTGTTTGTCGCGGACTCAAAGAACCAGAGCTCTTTCTCCCTTCAGTGCCTGTTTCCCCAGTAAACAAGGATGGTTATCGTTGCAGCATTAAATCTATAAAGGCTTTAGTTCAGTTTAACACGGGAGGTACAAGATACAATATCGAGCAAAGCAACTGAAAAGGAGACCGCAGCCAGGACGATGGTGTTGCAGTTAAGCATGCAGGGAGCTGCCATGCAGAAAACCTGGGTAAGGGGCAGGGGGTTTAACACCTCTTGACTGCAACGAGGGCAGAAGAGGGGAGTGGGCAGTGACCACGTGACTAGGTGATCAAGGGCTGTTAGGGGGGAGTTGAAACAGGACATTCCCTTCCTCGTAACCCGGCTAGCCACAGAGCTGCACCAAACGGCTATAGTATTCTCTCCTTCGTTTGGGGTTGGCTGGGTTTTTTTTAATTCCTTTTGTTTGGAATGTGACATTCCAAAGGGTTTTAGAAGCAGCAGATGGACTAAACTGATTGAGATTTCTCTAAAGCTCTGCAGAAGAAGCTAGAATGATGCTGGGTACTGAGACACAACCGCCGAGGCCTCGGCTGGTGGCAAGGCCTTTCCCAGACCTCCAGCATCGTTTCCCCAAATGCTGATAGCCTATACCTTTCCAGCTTGGGTGAGATCCCCACCCCGTCTGGCTTCATGGACGGGGATGGTTGAAGGCTCAACGCGAAGTATAAAAAGTGTATGAACTGCTTTTGAAAGAGCAACGGGAGTACAAAGTGCCCAAAAAGAGGGAGCTGGGGGAAGAAAGGAGAGAAAAACCCAACTGCAGGAAGCGGTAGGAAAAGAAACTGAGATGCGAGCATTTCCCTTGCAAGCAACTAGAGTCCTGGCGGATTGGATCCGGTTGCCAGAACCCTTTTGGGGCCCAGAGGGGTTGGGCTGGCTGGGGTGGCTGGGCCGCAAAGGAAGAAGCATGGCTGCCCACTCAGTACATTTCCTGGGGTCTTCCTGCAGTTCAAGGTCGGGGGAAGGCTTGTGTAGCTTATACTGAAGATTGGTCCCAGACCTGTTAAGGAAAGCAGAGGGGGGCGGGATGTAAATTGACGGGAAGGGACCCCTGGGACAGAGCTCAGGACATGCTCTCTCAAGCACAGCATCCCACTAAGAAAAAGAGTCTGCCTTTTCGACACTCAGAGCTCCACGGGACAGACGGCTTCGGCCAAAGTGCAGCGAACAAGAGAATCTTTCCAGAGAGAGACTCGGCACTCACGTCCTGGGTCCAATTCCGAGCCGTCTACGTGAAAGAGAGAGCATGCCCTTCTCCCCGGTTGGTGGGCGGGCCTGGGAGGATTACCGGCAGCCCCATACACATGCGCAGCTTACCTTGTTGACTTGGGAGAGGGGAGTCCTTGCGCCCCCCCCCTGCATCCTTCCCCGGCTGCTCTCCTCAAACAGCCTCCCAGGGGACCTCTCCCTGCGGGTGCTCAGGACCCGGCCAGGAGATTTCTCCCGCTCTAGCGGACGCCCGGGTGACTTGTCCCTACGCAGCTCCGTCCGTCCCTCTCGATAGCGGTGGGGTGTGCTTGGCTCCCGGGAATGGGCTGGACCTTCCGGGGGCCCGGGGCTGGAGGCTACCCGCTTGGTTATGTGCTCGTTGTAGGTGGGGGGACCCCTCTTATTTGGGCTGCTGTCATTCAAAAACAATGGACGCGGACAGCTGAGTGACAAAAACCTCAAAGTTACACATTTATCTGCAACAATTCAACCCTCCCCCCCATGCGTTCCCTGGCCCTATAGATCCATTGAGCATAAAACCGTCGCACTCTGTTTGATAAGCTACCAGTTCCCCCAAGAAGCCTCCAAAGGACAGCTTTCACTAGCCGTGTAACTTTCAGATGTAGTGGCCTGCAACTCCCATGACCCCCCAGCCAGGAAGGCCAAATGGGGAAGTTTTAGTCCTTCTGGAGGCCTTTGGACTGTGGAAGGAAGACAAGAAAACCTATTGCTCTTGCCTGACTTTACACTGGTTCCACTTTGGTCCTCTCATGTTCCTTGTCTTGGCTACCATCTCATGTATCATCCAATGGTATATGAATACAGAATTACTACTCTCCCCCCCCCCCCCCCCCCCCCCCGCTTTGCTCCCCCTCCCCTTTACCTCATTTTGTTTTGCACACTAGGACTTGCATTTTACCATCTTACTGCCTCTCCTTTTGCTTGTTTAGCCACTCTCAGATCCATATGATCTGGCTGCTACAGTCTGTATCCCACTGAGAGCTCTCCCTTAAAAGAGAACATTTCAAAAGCCACTTCTGTCCTTGTCCTTTTAACTGCTTCTGATGCTGTTGACTGCAATTGCATTCCTTTTCTGACCATCTGGACAGCCTAGGATTGCTGCAACTGTTCTTTCATCCTGCTAGGGAATAACACCTCTTCCATAGTTTTCCATAGAGGCCACTTTCTGCCTTTGATGGTTGTCTTCCAGTAGATGCTCTACCAACTCTCAGAATGTCCAAGTGTTATTTTAACGATGACACTCGCATTACCACCTGCCCCGCACAGCTCTAAAGACTTTCTCACAGCCCTCTTCTGAGTTTGAACTGCTCCTTTCCCCTCTTCTCATGACCTAGTCTCTCCTGACCCAAGGGCACCATCCATGATACTGAGTGCAAAAGGGTCTTGGCTTTCCTTGTCAGTACTTCTCTCCTTGACTGTCTCTTGCATGACTTGATGGCTCAAACTGCGCAGAGGGCACAAACACTCAGGCTTCCTTGCACACACCTTTTCAGATAAAGCTAAGGTTTCTTCCTAGGTCATCACTTGTCTTGACTAGTCCTTTCATTTTGATTGGCCCCGGTCACCTCAATTTGTCTCAAAACTTTACTTTAAAAAAGGTAGCACATGAAACATAATAAAATCCTTCTCTCCTCACCCACTCCATTCTGGGACTAGAAAGGAGGAGCTTTATAGTATAGTTGCTCTAACTCCCACCCTTTGCCATATTACTCATTTGGGGATCAAACATTTGTTTGCCTTGGGTTGACATGCCTTGCCTGCTCCTGCCTCAGAGACTCATGGACCAGGGGCCTACTCTGGATCTTATGTGATGCCAGACATATCCAGTAGCAACAATCCAATCATTTCCTACCTGCGTGTGGTAGAAGACGCCCGGTGGTGTTCATTGTTGGACTCTTTCACCAGATTCCCCTTGCAGCAAATAACGCGTAGTTTGTCTTGATACGAAGAAGCCAGGTAAATCGCGCCAGATGAAATGGCCGGACCCAGATAGCGAGGGCTGGGAATATCCAAGTGAGCTCGAGCTGGAGTTCTGAGGGCCGGGGGAAGAGAAGAAAGGGTTTTGAGCTTGCATCCCAGCAGATAAATCAACATTTCAGAACACCCGGGACCCCACTGCCATGGAAGACATGGACTCGCTTACCCAAGGGAGGCCCGAGCTTGAATCTCAATGACTTCGAGGGAATTGAAGTGTGTCACAAACAGATACGGCTCCCTGTAGGCTACAAGAGTGCCAGGAACAAAAATGAAACATTAACGGGAATGCAAGTGGATTTGCAAGAGAAGAGCATGAGCAGTTTAGTTCCAGGTTCAAGTTAGAAGAAGGAAAACCATCCCTCTGCTGCTTCTGAGAACCCTCTGGAGCGGTCCTCTCCTTGCAGCAGAAAGAGAGAACCAAACCCAAGAATGTCTCTTCCAAGGGATGGAAATGCCTGCCATCCCAAACGGAAAAGACACCCCCTGCCCATCACCAAGGAAAAGAACAGAAAACAAGTACAGGACAAACACCAGATATGGTGAAGGAACAGAACCAGAAAAATGTGAAACTCTCCAAAAAAGGGGGTGACAGGACAGGAGTGGAGTACATGACCAGGACTCTAGACTCTCGGCCCAAAGACAGGAGACAAAGTCCTCCCAACTCACAAAGAACAGGAATCTCCAGCAAGCAATTACCTTTTCTCCCCAGCTTCCAGGGAGCTTAGTTTAAATGTAAGAAACCTCAACAACAGTGGCATTCCCTCAAGACAGACTGAGAGCCTTTCTGGAGGAGTGGGTACCTGTCCCCTGAGCCCTGAGACTGAAGGCTGCTCTACTTATTAACCTGCTGCAAAGAGAGAATCTGGGCAAGGCAAGGTACTCATTAGACAGTGGGAAACACCCTGGAAAACCATCTTAGCTGGGAAAGATGATGGGTTTTGTTATTTCTATGATCTCCAGGATCCAAAAGCACTGGGCCAGGATGCATGCTCAGTAATGCAATGAAAAACAAAGCAATCAGCGCTTACCAAATGCCAAAGGCAGACGGCTCCATTTGAGATCATCTGAGCGACTGCGTCTCCCATAGGAGTCGACAAAGACACCAAACTCTGCAGGGCAAAAAGCAAAAATCAGTCGCCGAATTTCAAATGGTGAAGAGAAACCGAATAGAAACAGAATAGAAACAGGAGTCTGTTGGGAGACCCAAGTGTTTTGTGAAGCTCTGGTCATCCATTGTTTTAACCTACTTGGCCAGGAGACAGCCTCGCCAACTGGAAAGGAAGCAAGAAGGGCACAGCGCTTGCTCACTCTGGAATCGGCCCAGGAGGGTGAGAAGTGGGCCAGACCCTTCATTCTCTTCGCAATAGCACTGCTTTGGAGCAGCTGCCCCTTCCGCCGCTCCCACTAATGCTGGGGAGCAGAAGGAATGGAGGCCTAACCAAGACCCAACAGGGGACAAGTACAGTGAGTGCCCTCACTCATACCCAGCAGATGGGCCCCTCTTACATCTGGAAGAACAGCGAGAAGGGAGGGAGGGTTAAGAGTTGCAGCAAACAGGGAGGAGGGGACCAAAGATTTCACAGTCCAAGTATCTGTTTGACCTCAGGAGTTCAACAGACCCCCTCATTGTCACAAACCCCACTTACCATGATAGCAGAGCAGATACTCCTCCCTCTGACCCGCAGGATTCACCTGGATGATATTGATTGGAAAACTGTTGCTAGAGGAAGCAAACACAGCGGATGCTAAGGTGTGGTCGTTCTTGTCCAGGAACTCTAAGATCAAGAGAAGGAACAAGAGATCAGCACATTTCATTACAAATATTAGAACAAACACACCACCAGCCTCCAATTTCTCTCCACGGCTGTTAGCATTAAGGAAGTGCTAAGGAAGTCAGCCTTACCATCCAGTGTATACTGCTTCATCTCAATTTCATAAAACTTGTTTGTTCCAATGATGATGCTGTAAGTGGTGAAATGAATACAGCTGCAGGGCTCGGAGGTTTCAATCTCCTGTAAGTGGGAAACACAAAAGCATAGGCACAGCACCCACGATTAGCTACTTTGCTTCATTATCCAATACTCTGCTCAGAGTTTTAATGGGAACCATGGCTGCCATCACCTAAGGTTTCCCAGACCTGGCCTTTCTAAGCTTGAGTAATTGTATAGTTGGAAACTAATGGAAGCAAGGTCAAACGACCCACTGTTGGAATTGATTCTGAAGAAACACTCCCTCTGATTCTCATGAAGGAAACAGAAGGGCAAACCGTACCTTCCTGATGCAGAACTTGCTAAGGCTTTCATTGTAGCGCAGAACCACTACTTTGCTGGGCATGGCTGCACAGATGCAGAGTCCGTTCTCAATCTGCACACAAAAGAGAAGCTCTTTTAGAAACTATAGGAGATTCTTGCGGACCAGGAATAGCTATGAACAAACCACCTCCGTTATTATACAGAGAGAAAAGCACACTTCACTTGTTCACAGGAAGAAATTGTCTACACTCTCTTCTAAGGGGACACAATATGCTATTGCACAAGGACACACAATAATTGATAAACTTATTTATTCTCTTTCCCAGTGAATCTTCAGCACATTCTGCCATCAGTGTGGCTGACAAAACATACTGTCTCACAATGGGTGGAAGACATCGGCTTTCAAGGGTAGGAGGCTCCAGAGGCCCATCATAAGAAACAAGGAGGTTACCCCTCTCTGTTGCCATTGTTTTTGATATCACCATCTCTTGCTTGTACAGCCCTTTACAGAGTGAAAGAAGATGGCTCTGTGTCTTGAGGAGTTTGCAACCTGAAATTTAACACTGGACAAGGAGAAAAGAAGCAGGAAGGAGAAGCAGGAAAGCACAAGAGGATTCTTCCAAGTGCTTGTGTTTCGGTTCTGTAGGAAGTGGAGTTGCAGTAAGGCATGGGGATTTTGGGTTCGAGGGGGGGGGGGGGGGGGGGGGGGGGGGTGAGCTCAAGGGCCCTGTGAAATGGAGGAATTGGGAGGGAGCAAAAGGCAGACATTCTGGAAGGCGGTTCAAGGTGAACAGCACCACAAGGGGATTTGCACAAGTGGCAGCCATTCATGTATGTGGGAGAAAGTCCGGTAATAATCTTGGAAGGTAAAATTTAACTTGGAGATGGATTTGTTTTAATGGTGGTCATTGATTTAAATGATATATAGCAAGCACAGAGGGAGAAGAGCTGCGAGCAAAACCTTCCACATCAAATCCACCTGTTATCAACCACAGACAATTCTGCAGCAGAGAACCCAAACTTCCCAGTCATTATACTACTCTCTATGTACTATAAAAGACAAGCGCCTAAACATTCCCAGTAAAGGTGAACTTTCTTGGGGAGGTTTTTCGTTTGTTTGATGTTACTGTCTCAATGTTGTATACTTCTCTGAAGGGCCATGAACAAGTGTTTTAAAGAAATGGTTGATGGATGATCTTCACACCAAAGGTTTGAGGCTAAGTTTGCTAACATAAAGTCTTCTGATCTTACCTTGCCCACAGCAAAAAGATGGCATCCTTTCACAGCTTCGAAAACATTGGGCGAGACATCCGGCTGAGCCGGCAAGTGGGATTGTGCTAGGGACTGCTTCACTTTCTTCACATCCACCAGACACAGGGCCCTCTCGTCTCCTGAGAAGACAAACAAAGGGCAAGCCTTTCAGAGGAGCACTGCTTCATCCAGATTTGATTCCACAAGGCACTTTACGTCTACAGTGGTTGAATGTGCTCTGGCTGTATTGAAAATGAGGCAAAGGGATCTATTTTAAGATGTCCTGAAACATAATGCAAGGTATTTGCATTCCTTCTAGAAAGGTATAGCAAAACAGGATTGTTCCAAAGCAATGTAGCCAGTTCTGTATCATTACATATAGAAGAATGGTGACTTGCAAAATATTCAGATAGGTCAGTAATAATAAGGGCTGTAGGAGCACCAATTTCATTGGGAAGCTAAAAGGCCCCAAAGTATTGTGGCATCGACTGCTAAATTCTATATCTTAAGAGTGACTGAGATCCTATACTTTGGCATAATGTAAATATCTGCCATCTGATTTACCTCTATATTGAATACCTGCAGCAGAAGCCATGGTTTCTCTTGTCTTATCACTCTAGCTTGTAAAGAGAGAGTCTAGCCAGAGTTCCTCTGTCACAATGATGGTGGTTTGTTTAGCTCACTTGCTGCAGGAACAATTAGGTGGCGTGTATATGCACAACGCTTGTAAACAACGCAAGTGATATCATTTGGAACTCTGGCTTATGGCTAAGTGCAGCTCACAACGTAATCTCTCTCTTCATTTTTTTAAAAAGGAAGTGATTTTCTGTTCCTTACAGTTGCCATGATACACCTCAAAATGTGTGGGTGACATATAAGCCCAGAGTTGCTGAATGAGATCCCCAGCAGCAAGAGTTATGCTGAAGAGACATAGCAGAGGATGCGTTTTCTGTTCAGGCGCATGATAGGCCTTGCTTCGCTCTACCTGCTATCATGAGAAGCTTCTCCAGGTCCTTGATGAGGTGCACTTGGAAAACGGCCCCGATGCCAGGGACGTGGGTTAAAGAGTTCTTTAGGACATTCAAGGCATAAAGGCCTTCCTCGGCACCCACCAGGACCACCTGGATTCACAAAGCACAGAGAGATGCCCAATATAGAAATGTAACTTGCTATCCCAAAGCTAAACAAGTCCTTCTGGGAAACCCAATTCTTGATCCTCCAGTTTGGCAGGGCAACCTGTCCTTACCTGGTCGCTGAAGGGCAATGTGCAGTTGATGTCCAAGCGGTCTTCCCCCTCAAGCTTCAAGAGAGAATTTCCAAGGAGCTTCTGTGCAAGAAAAGGAAAAAGTGGGGAAAAGACTGAACATGGTACACAGGAATGGGTTCATGTCAATGTGTTTGCTTAAGAGAAACTCTACTTTTATTTTAGTGTTTTGAGAGAGAAAAAAGTTTATGTTATCTTTCCCTCAGTCTTGCAGTAAGGAATTATATGAGATGTGTGTAAAAAAACTTGGGTGAAGAGCTTTCAAACATATGCTGGGAGTAGAGTCAATCAGATGAGAAACAGAAAACAGCTACGAGCATTTCCCACGCTACGAACAAGATAAGTTCCGTAGGTTTGTTCTTAAGCTGAATTTGTTTGTAAATTCAAACAGGAACACATTTTAAGTGTAACTCCAGCTAAATATCTATATAAAGCTTTAGATAGCATAGGGAAGGGAAAACACCCCTGTGGTGTTTGATTTGCTGTCTGGGCCCCTGCTCAGAAGATTTCACCCTTTTTTCTGTCCCTGTGAGAATTGGATTTTGAAGAATGTGGCTTGTTGTGGAAACAAGACTTGGTGACAGAGCTTCAGTGGAGACAGCTTTTCCCCATGATGATAACTCTTCTAGGAGTGGATTTCCCTTTCTTCCAAGGGGAAGATTCCTTGCACTTCTTGTGTCAGCCCCATTCTAATCTAGGAGATGTTTGCAGGCCAGATGTTTGGAACTCAGGGACTGCCTATACATCCAAATAATAACCTGTGTTTCTTAAAAGCTAGAAAGCAAGAAATGGGCAGTAGCTTTGCTCTTTGCTGAGCTGGTGGAGAAAACTGACTGGCTGCCTAGTCTTTTACTGGTCAAAGAGAACGTCTTCCTCCTTTTTTCTAGAGAACACACTAAAAGGGCTCCAGCATTGACATTCCCACCCAGAACCATTCAACTTACAGCATCGGCCTCAGCTTTTTCCCGGGAAACTCTTCCTCCAGCCACAATGGACTCCAGTGCATTGACCCAGCGTTGCTTATCAGGAAAAGTGGGGGCCAGTAAATAGAGGGTCCGGCCAGGCCAGCAGGTGGTATGAGGATGAGATTCCAGTTTTAATATATATGGCACATCTATGTTGTTCCCAAAGAAAACACAAAAGATATACTGGTAAATGGAAGCAGGCGTGTTCCTTGACAAAACATGGACAAACTAGATTAAAGGGAAGGGACCATTTGTTTCTTCTTTGCTGCCAATATCAGTGGGAGCAGCACAAAACATGGGTTCTACTACAGGCAATTTTAAGCAAAGGGATCTGATGACATAAGGTTTGCCTAACCTGTCTTAGCTGTATTTAAAAGTTCGGTGGCTCCCACAGCCCCATGGACAGTAACATCTCCATCTGGAAGGCACAGCTCAAATTCCTCCACAGGCCTCTGTCCAGCTTTGGCAAAGATAGAAATGGAGACAAAGATAAAGGGGAAATGAAAACATGGCTGAGAAAGGAGGCTGCGGGGGGAGACCCTTTACATGTTAAAAATATCATCTCAGCATCATTCAGAAGACTGGAACAAATGTCAGAGTCATAACACTAGTAAATATAGGAAGCTGCCCTTGGTCCACACCGACTTGAGCTGTCAACTTTGACTGACAGTAATGACTCTCCAGGGTATCAAGCAGGAGTCTCTCCTAGCTTTGTCTTGGTATTTGCTGGTGCTCTCCCATCCAAGTGCTAACAAGGTCCAAACAATTTTAGTTTCTGAAATTAGATAGGATTAGATGTATCCGTGGTGGAAGGGAGGCACAGTAAGCCTGAATGCATCCAATGTTGTCAAGCTGTTCTATCTGAATTTGCATTTGTGACAGCCTACTTCTGATCCACTATGTTCTGGTATTTCATAATTCCTATCATTTGGATTTATTACTTTTTAATTATTTTATATCAATATCTGATTTGCTCTTTTTTTATAAGCTCTTGAGATTCAGGAGGTTACTTACAGCCACACGAGATATGCCTTCTGCCCCTAATTAAGTTGGCTTTGATATCAGGCTGGGAAGCACGACTGTACTATGATCTATTTCTCAAGCGATGCAAAGTGGACTGAATATTGGACTAGGACCCTGAGAGACCAGGCACCCAGCAACAACAAAAAGGGTCACAGATTCGACAGGCATGGTGGCTCCTTGACATCAAGGTAAAGTTATTTGAACAGGAAACATTAGAAGAACTGCTTAGTAGGCTACCAACCTACTTCCTCAAAAACCAAGGTTTAGTTCAGACAAAGCAATATAGATGGATAGAGGACAGGCCAAGTCAGAGAAGACATGAAAGCTAGTTAGATGTAAAGGTTACCTTCTCTTACTTCTGTGTCAAAAACCAGCACTTTAGTTCCTTCCAGGACTATATATTTCCTGTCCCAGCCCTGCTGCCCACGCTTATTGTTTCTGAAACACAGAAAGAGGACAAAGATGGCTCCAGATAGGTATTGGGTGCCAATCCCAGGGCATTTCATCAGCCACAAGGCAAATGCAACCAAGGTGTGTGGGGAGGTTCCTCCGGCAGCAGCAGCAGCACCAGCAGCAGCTCTGGGCCAGCCTTTCAGCGCGGAGACTCACGTTTATACCTTGGCACCTTCATCCATCCTTCTAGCCGCAGACTGGCGCTGGGCTCTTTCAGCTGCAGGCCCGGAGAGTTCAGTTTGTCCCGGCAGAAGGCCTCCGTGAAATGGGTGGCATATTCAGTGGGCAAGCCACAGGTAGCTGGCAGGCAGGCTGAGCACTTGGGGTGACACATCATCTGGCATTCTTTCAAACAAGAAAGGGAGGGAGGAGGGAGGAAGGGATGGTGAAAAAGCTGGTGCCAACTGCAATTAACAACGACGACAGCGAGTGACGCTTGTAAAAGGTTCAAAACAAAACGAAGTGGCAAGTGGAACCATAAAGCGGGTGCAATGGATCCTGTGATTATGAGGAGACACTGTCATTTATCAGAGGCAGCTAATATTCTGTTTCCATTCTCCACCAAGACAGTGCTCTGAACTAGGATCACTGTGCTTTAAATACAACAGGTACATTCAGTCTGGTGCTCTGCTGGGGTCGTTATTGACAAATATTTAGGGCTGTAAGCAAGAGGAATTCGTACCTTTCCCTAACAAGGCAAATAAAGAGACTGTTTTGAACCTCTGTACAACTCCACAGCGCTCTGACTCTAGATGTGGAAAAGTCCTGCCTTGAGAAAATTCAGTGTAAATGTCGTCATGAAAAGCACCAGTCTAATTTGTCAGCTGCAGAAGGCCTAACAAATGGAACAACAGCACAGCAATGTCTATTCAACCTCTACTGAATTCGGTGCCATTCACCCCCTGCCTGCAAATCATTGGACAAAAGGGGAAAACTCCAAAATAAACATAGGCTGCAGTTTGAGTACACAGAGCAGCAGGATTCTTTCAAAGCCAAGTACCAGACTGAAGAGCAGACAAATCTGTTTCCCTGCAGCCCCCCAAACTCTACTGGTAACTGGCTTCCCGTCTGCTTCCAGTTCTTATGGGACTTCTTGGGACAAATTTGTCCTGGATGAGTCAGCATCTGGGTCCTGCCCAGCCCCAAATCGGGAAGCCAGGGATCAACACACAGAGAAGGAGGCATAGTGTTCAGAGGATGAAGGACATTATCCCTCATCTGTTAGATGTTTTTTGGGCTGTATGGCCGTGTTCTAGAAGCATTCTCTCCTGACATTTTGCCTGCATCCATGGCAGGCATCCTCAGAGGTTGTGAGGTCACAACAACCCAGTGATTCCGGCCATGAAAGCCTTAAACAATACATTATCCCTCAGCCTCTCTCTTCTATCCTCTGGCACGACATACTTACCAAGACATTTTGATGCTTGACGTCCAAAGTGCACAGTATCCAAGCACACTGCGCATTTTGTTGCTCTCATGTTCAATCCCACATTGAACCGGTGAGGAATATTATGATGCATCCGTTCTTTCAGACGCCGATTAAACTCTGGGGGAAAGGAATGAATGGCAAAGTAACGTTTACAAAGAGCAGGGCAATCGTCAGCCCTTCACTCTTCCTACACTGGCCTAGTTTGTGTCTACTAAAAAGTCTTAACACAAAGAGCTCGCTTTTAAAGCTCCTGAAGTCATGTATATGTCACCATTAGGGCTAAAGTTAAGTCAGGACTTGGAAGCAGAAGTCCACTGCCCTAAGCAATCGAAGAAGGAAGGTACCAACACAACATTGCCGATTTATCAGCTTCTTAAGCAATTGATGAATTAATACTGAAATTAGGTTCTTCCCCATTTCCTTCTCACTTTTGTATGTTCCAGTTAAAGGCTCTGAGCCTTCTGAAATCATTCCCTGGACTTGAGCTTAAAACTTCTGAATTGATCCCTAAGTAGAATTAACTCAGTGTGGATAAACTGGCAGCTTTTTAAAAGAATAGCCTAAATATATATTAGAAGCAATTTCTGACATACTTTGGAAAAGGGATTGTGGCAGCTGCACAGAAATAAGAAACCACAGAAATCATTGTTAAGCATACAGTAAAAGTCCATGTGAAGTTCAAAAGGGGTGGTGACATTACAATGCTAGGGTTCAAAAGGCAGTACTATTTAGCCCTTGATATATAGTGGCCCCACTCAAAGTGTTAGTACACAGAAAGCGATGTTGTGGCAAATGTCACAGGTCTCTTCCAACTCTATGATTCTATAAGCCAGTCGTAAATCTGACGTTTACAGAAAACACAATTATTACCATTTGTACTAAGCTTGCAGAGTTCACATAATTTTCTCAGTAATTGTTAACAATCCTGTAAAATAGCCAACATTAGCCCCATATTGCAGAATGGCAAAGGCCACAAGCAGAGACTTGTCAAAAGCCACACAATACATTCATAGCCGGGGAGAGCTTTAAAACTGTAGACTTTCCCATTTCAGAACGATACAGCTGTTCTAGACCACACAACTAAACCACATGGACGAGTACAGAAGCTACACTAAAAGCACACTTGAAGCTGCACTTCAAACACTCATAAAGTGACAACAATCACCAATAGCAAACACTAGGGAAGAAAGCTCAGAAGGAACACTTTTGGAAAGTGAATACTTTTCTCATAGAGGAATTACTGGATGTCACTTTGGGGCTGGGGCCCAGGGATGAACGCAAATAGCTTTAGGGAAGCAAAGACCTCTTAAAGATCAATTCCTGGGAGGCACCAGTGGGAGGTATTGCTGCCTTTGTATCTTAGGGAGGGCTACCTTTGAATGCCTGGTTGGCCAGTGCAGCAAAAAGGATGTTGGCTTCTTCTTATGTTCAAAGGAGAACTTTGACCATTCTAGTCTCCCTCAATGGTTCCCAATAATGGACCGTCAAGAGAGACGATGCAAGGTACCTTCTCATTGTCTGAGCAGAATTCCTGGAAGGCGTTTTGCATCAATGGACACCAAAGAACTTGAGCAGAAAATATCTGATGGTCATTTACCAAAAATGAAGTTCTATTGTATCCAGTGGAGCCTATTCCATAGGAACCGTGCTTGGTTTTAGGCAATACTGCAGAGAACTTTCTCCCAACTACCATCCAAGGGTGAATCTGTGCTTGCCGTTTCCGATGGACTTTGAGTGAGACCATTGGTCTTCCTCAGCCTACTAGAGCTCAGGTAAGGAGGCCATGGGGCCAGTCCGGGAGAGGGCTGCGGTCCTGTGTGCGATGCTCTTTGCCCGGCCCGCCCCTCCGGCGGAAGCCTTACCCTCTGGTGTGGAGGACTCCTTTCTGCGGCTTGAGGGAGGAGCAAGCAGGCTGATGGGCGTGGGCTGGTGTTCTGGTGAGCGGACTATGGCAGACATGATGATCTGCTGCCGGGCCGTGGCAGGAGTGGATGGGTGAGGGTGGTCTGTAATTTTCCTATGGGCAGCTACAGATACACATAAATAGTTAGTGAATTCCTCCCAGCCCAAGGAGCAGCCGTGGTTCTACGCAACCTTAAGAGTTACGGCCTGCAGTAAGGCAAGGGTGGTGTTATATTTGGATCCTCAACAGCAAACAAGGAGGGTGGAGGGGAAGAGAAAAGAAAACACACATTTCACTGCTACAGAAGACAAAGATATGAGACAGGCGTTTGGGCTAAAAGCGACCCTCCTCTTCAGATGCAACTGTACAGCGGCCCCCTACCTTCCTCTCGAGCCGATCTGAGCTCAATGCGGGTTTTCTGCAGAGCCTCTTCCAACTCGGCCGAGCGGGCCTTCTCCTTCTCCAGTGCCACCTTCAGCTCATTGTATTGCAGAGGAACCTGTGTGGGTAAAGAAGGGTCCTCTTTCCGTCGACTAAACAGGCCCTAGCAACAGAAACACACAGACAGCTCCTAACTCCTAGTAAGTGGTGGTTTAAACTAGGGGAAGGGAATCCCAGCTAACTATAGACCAGAGGGTCTCATGGCACTCTTCATCTCAAAAGAGACGGTGGGGTGGGAGAAACCTGAAGCTCCCCCGGCCCAATTTGTGTTCAGTGTCTTCCTTGTGACATGCCTTATCCAACTGGACAGAGTCAATTCTGCCATCTCTACAGCCCTCTCGGTGATCCAGCTGTCTCAGGGCCATCACCAAAAGGAACCCAACAATCCCAAGCAAAAGCATCTTTGGTCGCTTGCTTACATACTTCAACATAAAAGCAGAGGAATATGCAGTTTCCCCAAATGCTCCAAACCGAGTGAGCTCAGGTGTAGCAATAGGCCCAAGTAAGTACTATTCCAACATTCCCCTTAAATTAGGGCATGTTTGTCATTTAGCAGGGCATAGCCCTGAACACAAAGTTTAATCATTTAGGGAAGAAACAGCTACTTCCATTGTACAGAAGGACAACCCGCAGGAGTCGCATTTTGGCTACCGATATTCTTTACAACCCAGATTTTGATGTTAAAAACCACATGTGCATGCCTGATACCCACTATTTATTGAGCTCACCTTTTTCTTTTTGGCAGGCTGATCCATCTTTGCTTGAAGGAAATCAATAAGCTTGGTCTGTTGTGAAATCGTGCCCTCCATTTTCACTTTTTCGTGGGAATAGAGAACCTTTGAGGATGCAAAAGAGGTAGGCGTCATAACAGGCGCATACTGAAATAACAATAATGGATACAGCATGGAATCCAGTACAGCATCCCCTTGCCCCACAACCCCCCCCCCAAAAAAAAACCCAACCAAATTGGGGGTGCACCTGAATATTTTCCAACTGGTACTCCAGGTCGCTTCTCTCCGTCTTCAAAAGATCTGCCCTGTCTAAGGCTTCCTGCAGACCTTGGGTCAGGCGAAAGATGTGGTTTTTCTGCAAGTCCATCTGCTGCTGCAGCTTTGCTTGCTATCAAGAAGGTCAGATCCAGAGATTTGTTAAGCCACTCACTGTCATTTTGAACATTTTAACCATCTTTTTAACCTGGGTCTATGAAGAAATGTGCCCCAAACAATATGGACAGATCTAAAAACATGAATATTTTCCAATGTGCCTTTGATTAATCGGTTCACAAGATGAATTGACCCTTTTAGCCTCAACTTAATTTTCAGTACTTGCACTTTACTATTGTCCCTGCCCTGTAGTTGTAATGCATGAATTTTACTTGGCCCTTCCAGCCCTAACTTATCATCTGGCTCTTGCACCTTTTTATCAGCCCTGTCCTTGCAGTTGTATTGCAGAAGCTACTGCCCCACCCCTATTGAAATGTCCATTAAACTCCGCTATTTGTTGCTGTATGATGAATTATGTTTTATGATGTTGTGTGTGTATGTGTGTGTGTATACAGACAGACAGACAGATAGATATAGTGTTATGTTTTAACTCTATAGTCCCCATGTAAGCCGCCCAAAGTCCCTTCAGGGAGATGGTGTTGGGATACAAAAGTATAGTTGTTGTTATTATTATTTTACTGACACAAAACCACAGTATGTCACAGCAAACGAGATCTATATGCTGAATTTCGTGTCAAAAGATCACAGGTCAAACACTTCCCAAGCGTCTAGGACTGTGTGATGTATTTCCGAATGATGCATGCAGATCCAAGTAAGGTGGCCTTTTGCAGTTGACAGATCGTGATTTTGTCGATGTTTACTGTTTCCAAATGCCGGCTGAGATCTTTTGGCACGGCACCCAGTGTGCCAATGACCACTGGGACCACCTGTGTTGGTTTATGCCAGAGCCTTTGCAGTTCGATTTTGAGGTCTGGATAGTGGCTGAGTTTTTCATGTTGTTTTTCCTCAATGCGACTGTCACCTGGTATGGCAACATCAATAATCCAAACTTTTTTCTTTTCCACAATCGTGATGTCTGGTGTATTGTGTTCCAAGACTTTGTCAGTCTGGATTCGAAAGTCCCACAGTATTTTTGCATGTTCATTTTCCACGACCTTTGCGGGTTTATGATCCCACCAAGTCTTTACTGCTGGTAGGTGGTACTTGTGACATAAGTTCCAGTGAATCATTTGGGCCACAGAGCTGTGCCTTTGTTTGTAATCCGCCTGTGCGATTTTCTTGCAACAGCTAAGGATATGATCTATGGTTTCATCAGCTTCCTTGCACAGTCTGCATTTTGGGTCATCAGCTGATTTTTCAATCCTGGCCTTAATTGCATTGGTTCTGATGGCTTGCTCCTGGGCTGCAAGAATCAGGCCTTCTGTCTCCTTTTTCAGGGTTCCATTCATGAGCCATAACCAGGTCTTCTCCTTGTCAACTTTTCCTTCAATTTTGTCAAGGAATTGCCCATGCAGTGCTTTGTTGTGCCAGCTGTCAGCTCTGGTTTGGAGTGCAGTTTTCTTGTACTGGTTCTTTGTCGGCTGTGCTTTGAGAAGTTTCTGATTATTGACTTCAATTAAAGCAGGTTCTTGGCTTTCCTTTACATATTCTGCCAGGGTATGTTTTTCTCCTTCGACTGCTTGTTTTACTTGTAAAAGTCCTCTGCCACCAGACTTTCTAGGCAGATAGAGCCGGTCAACATCACTGTGAGGATGTAGTGAATTATGAATGGTCATGAGTTTTCTTGTTATTCTGTCTAAATTGTCCAGTTCTGCCTGTGTCCAGTTTATGATGCCAGCAGTATATCCTATGACAGGTATGGCCCAGGTGTTTATGACCTTGATGGTATTTCCTCCATTGAGCTTGCTTTTGAGAATTTTTCTGATCCTTTGAATTCTTTGCTGGCCACAGTTTTCACATGTTCATGTTTGATGTTGTCCAGCTGTACTATGCCCAGATATTTATAGGCCTCTGGCTGGTGACACTTTATCGCTTGGCCATTGGGCATATTTATGCCCTCACTTTCAATTATTTTTCCCTTCTTCAGTGCCACTGTCGAACATTTGTCCAAACCAAATTCCATGTTGATATCAGTGCTAAAGATTTGGACAGTGAGAGTCAGAGACTGGATTTCAGTTTGGGTTTTCTCATACAGCGTCAGGTCATCCATGTACAGCAGATGTGAAATTTTGTGAGATTTCTTAGATGTTTGATAGCCAAGGTTTGTTTTTTGTAAGCTTTTGTAAGAGGGATCATGGCAATGATGAAAAACAGTGGGGACAATGAGTCTCCCTGGAAGATTCCTCCCCTGATGTTGACAAGTCCATAGCTTTCATTTCCAACAAACAGTTCAGTTTTCCAGTGCTTCATCAAATTTTCAATAAAAGTGCCAACGTTTTTACAAATCCCGATGGTGTCTAGGCACTTGATGATCCAACAGTTATTATTATTATTGTTATTGTTATTATTATTATTATTTGAAACACAACAAGATGAGTCAACAGCAGACAAGATCACTCTGCTTGTTGTATTGGATCACACGTCGAACACATTATTATTATTATTATTATTATTATTATTATTATTATTATTATTTGTAACACAACAAGGTGAGTCCACAGCAGACACTCTGCTGGCTGTTGTATTGGATCACACGTCGGACACTTCCCTAGGACTGTGTGATGTATTGGTGAATAATGCGTGCAGATCCCAGTAAGGTGGCCTTCTGCAGCTGGCAAATGGTAATTTTGTCAGTGCTGATTGTGTTTTAAGTGCAGGTCAAGGTCTTTAGGCACTGCACCCAGTGTGCCGATCACCACTGGGACTACCTTGACTGGCTTGTGCCAGACTCTTTGTAGTTCGATCTTTAAATCCTCATATCGTGTCAGCTTTTCCAGTTGTTTCTCTTCAATCCTGCTGTCACCTGGAATTGCAACATCGATAATCCATACTTTCTTTTTTAACACTATTGTGAGGTCAGGAGTATTGTGCTCCAAAACTCTGTCTGAATTTGGAAGTTCCAGAGTAGCTTGACGTGTTCATTATCTGTAACTTTCTCCGGCTTGTGATCCCACCAGTTCTTTGTCGCAGGCAGATGGTATTTGGGGCATAAGTTCCAATGAATCATCTGAGCAACGGTGTTATGCCTCTGTTTGTAGTCTGTCTGTGCGATCTTCTTGCAGCAGCTGAGGATGTGATCTATTGTTTCATCTGCTTCCTTGCAGAGTCTACATTTGGGATCTGTCGTCAACTTTTCCATTCTGGTTTTGATGGCATTGGTTCGAATGGCTTGTTCTTGGGTTGCCAGAATCAGGTCCTCCGTCTCCTTTTTCAGAGTTCCATTTGTGAGCCACATCCATGTTTTTTCTTTGTCAATTTGGCTCTCCATTATTGCCAGAAACTGTCCATGGAGTGTCTTCTTTTGCCAGTTTTCTCTTCTGCTCTGGATTGTGTTTTTACGGTATTCACTCTTTGTCTTTTGCATTTTAAGCAGTTTACTACTATTGACTTCCCTCAATGTTGGTTCTTGACTGCCTTTTACATAATCTGCCAGTGCATGTTTCTCTCCTTCTACCATTTGTTTCACTTGCAGAAGCCCTCTGCCTCCTGATTTTCTGGGCAGGTAAAGTCTCTCGACATCACTACGTGGATGTAATGACTAGTGGATTGTCATTAGTTTTCTTGTTTTTTCTGTCCAGATCATCCAGCTCTGCTTGTGTCCAGTTCACAATCCCAGCAGTGTATCTAATGATGGGGATGGCCCAGGTGTTGAGAGCCTTGATCGTATTTCCGCCATTTAATTTGCTCTTCAAATCCTTTCTGACTCTTTGGATATATTCTTTGCTGACCACATTTTTCACATGCCCATGCTTGATATTGTCCACCTGTAGTATGCCCAGATATTTATAGGCTTCAGGCTGATTGCATTTTATGGTTTGTCTGTTTGGCATCTCTATGCCCTTGCTGTGAGTAATTTTCCCTTTCTTTAATGCCACTCTGGCACATTTGTCTAGGCCGAACTCCATACTGATGTCAGTGCTGAAGATTCTGACTGTGTTGGTCAGTGACTGGATTATTTGTTGTTGTTGTTGTTGTTGTTGTTATTATTATTATTATTATTATTATTATGTTTCAGGAGGTCTGTGAACTGGACACAAAAAGTTTTCTTCCACCCTTCTATTTTTACCCTGACTTTGAAAATTGTGTTTAAGTGCAGTTTTGAGGTGAGAGTGAAAACTTTTCCTAGATAATCCAATGCTCAGAAATTCACCCGCGCTCCAAACCACAGAATGCACTACTGAACTAATTCATCTGGTGAAAACACGTCCAAGGCACATCAATGAAGACATACAACGACTGGCGACCACTGAAGCATTACCTCTTCCAGAAGCCTCTGCTTGAGCTCACGTTCCGTCTCGAGTTTCTGCTGCAGACTCCGTGCATTCATCTCGAGCATGGCATGCTTTTTCTCCAAATCGTTGAGCTAGAGATTTAGGACACATTTAAAAAGCAGAGACATGAAATGCTGTGAAGGAAGAGGTTTGCATTTATCTCTTTCTTCCTCAACTTCTCATTTATGAAGGTTTCCATGGTCTCATTCTCTCCTGTTTTCCCCTTTTATCATAAGGACCATTGACTTTGAAGGGAAGTTGGGCAAGAGGTCCCTTGGGTGCTCTGTGTTCCCACTCATCAGGGATCTGCTAGGGAACATAGGCCCTGTTTCCCCCTTTATCCAACATACTTGACACACTTTGCCCCCCTCGCTACCCAGCATGCCCACCACCTCCATCTGGAAAATATCTGGGGAAAAGGAAGAGACAGGGACTCCTCTACTTTTTGCCATTTAAAACTATCTACAGTGGAATTTTGTGCAACAGACCCAAGTGCCAGGCAGCCATTTTCTTTGCCCAAAGTGCCTCTGGGTCCCACATCTGGGAAATGACGAGGCACAGATAGCTGGGGCATCTTTTTGCGATGCACCCGAACTGCACTGCAAAAAGGGGTGTAAAAGGAAGGTTTTGGCCCTGTGTCTTTGGGGCTATTCAGGGTGCAAGGTCACAGTCTTGTACCCTCTGCCTGAGCCTCACACTTCCATAGATACTCCCCACTTTCTTTCTAACATCAGAGAGATGTGCGCTGGAAGAAGCAGGTGGACTACGTGCCTGAAGGTATTATATTCTAGAACATTTCAAGTGCGGCTCTGTTCAGGTAAAAGGCCCATTTGTTTGAGTTACAAAGACCACGAAGGAGGAGGGAGACAAGTGGGGAAAGAAACCTTTCCATTCACTGCAACTCAGTCCAATTACTGTAAATGCTTTTGTCACCCACCTTGTCTGAAAGACTCTCGGCTTTGAGTTTTTGATCTTTCAGTGCTTGCTGGAGAGCCAAGATCTCGGCTTTGTGTTCTTTAACAGCAAGCTCCACCACCTGACGGGATTCAGTGATGCGCTGATCTGCCCGGACTCTGTATGAAAAACATCAAGTACGCTTTCTTATGTTCTTTCCCTGTGATTGGCACTCTGCCTTGGAACATTAATTTAAGTTACAAGATACTTTTTTATCTCCAAAAATTGCCTGCAAAGAATCTTCTGTGGCTTCTGGATAGAATGGATTATCTAGATCAATCTGCATCGACTTCTGGAAGGAGAAACACTGATCACCTTATTGGACAATCTCACCTAGGAGATGATTTCAAGTAAAAAAATAGCCATTTTTAGAAGGCAAACGAGACCCTTTCTGCCACTTTTTGGCATCCAGGAACAGACTCAGCTCAAGTAGCACAATCAAATGCCAATTTGAGACCTCAGGAAGAAATCTGCCCCAAACAATAGTGACAGAACCTGGCACTTCGGATTGTCAAGCAAAGAGGAAGATGAGAAAAAGAAGACATTAACTGAAACAGCACTCCCTTTCCCTGACATTAGCCAGTCATTCTGTTCACTGAGGCTGAGCATCTTCTCCCAACGTATCTACACTGTTTCTTTATTTTGTTTCTATACCAGCCAAAACTTAAGTCCTTAGGCAACATACATGCAGGAGCAGAGTTCATACCTGCTTTGTTTCTCGGTATCCAGCATTCTCTGTAGCTCTCGAACCCGGCATTCAAACTGGCTCTTCTCATCCCCCAGAACGTTTCTCCAGGCCTCCCACTGGCGTTCCTTTTCAAGGAGTTCATCATTGAGTGCCTCCAGATCCATCACTTGCTCTTCCAGCATTGTGCAGGTTGTCTTTAAGGCCTCCATTGTCTAAAAACAAACACTTTGATCATTTTTCCTATCTGCACTTCAAAAACATGGTCCTATTCTATATCAAGGAATTTCCTTCAAGTTCTTTATGATGGGTCTCCTAAAATGCTTAGCCTCCCTAACTCAAGAGGGAGAAAAAACACAGCCTGGGCCTCTCCAAGTAAATACAAGAAAACCAACAGACAGTTGCTGTTGGTACTCACTCTGCTTAGGGGCCCAAAGGCAGCTAAAACAAAGGAAAAGGTATGGATCATGCCTATTTGGGCCTCTAGAGTTCTTTCTGTTCAGCAAAGAGGGGGTGACATGGAAGCAAGGATAGCACACTTCAAAAGGAACAATGAATGAAATTCTGTGACTGGCTCTCAAAAAAATTGTTCTAGCTCAGTTGAGACTTCTGCAAAAATAGAGCTGGATGTTAATGAGGCATTTGCTCAATTCTTGACTCTTGGCATCTAAGTCCCATTTGTAAGCCGCTCCGAGTCCCTTCAGGGAGATGGTGGCAGAGTATACGAATAACGTTGTTGTTATTATCAATCCAGCAAAATGACACTGGCTGCCTGGGTCCTCCCCAGAAGAAGCAGTTGTTCTAACTGCCTTGAAACTCCATTCTAAAAAGACAAGTAGCTAGTTTACCTGTCTAAAGAGAAAGTTTGTGTTTAATCTTTTGAATGGCCCAATTTTGTCCCTACAAGCCCAAGTGGCTTCAGGGCCTTTCCCCAGCTATGTCTTCTCCAATGTATTCTGGAGAGAGATTATAGCCTAGCCTTATCGTGGTATTTCTCAGGGTAAGCAAATGTGTTTTGAGGCGGCTTTTGGTGATATTTATTTTCCACTCCTTCTTCAAGGAGCTCATAGCAGCAGGCATGGAGTTATCTGTTTTAGTATTGAAGTTCGCCTGAGAGATAAAAAAAAATACAGAAGAAAACCAACCACAGAGATTCAAAATGGAATCAGGATTTACCCACCTTATATCCAATTATGCCAGCTCTTACATGCCAAGAAGATGCTCAAAAAAGCATGGAGGGAAGGAACTTTGTTTCACTTGTGTAGAGAAAGGTATCTCCTTCCGTTAGTGACTTTTAAAATAGGTGAGGGGCTTCCTTGGGGCATGTGGCCAAAATCCACTTGAGTCATGTATTCGGACAGACCATAGAGTCCATCTGTGGCATGGTCTCACCTGAGAGACCGACTATAGCTGGACAATGCATCTCCAATAATGTCATATGGCAAGGTCAGGTCTAAATCCTAAATAGACTACTGCAACGCACTCCAAGTGGTCCAACGGGTGGCAGCCAGGTTCCTCACTGGAGCATACAACCCCCTGTTGCATCAGCTCCACTGGCTGCCAGTCCGCTATAGAGCACAATTCAAAGTGCTGGCTTTAACCTTTAAAGCCCTAAACGGTTCTGGTCCAGCTTACCTGTCCAAACGGGTCTCCCTCTATGAACCACCTCGAAGGTTAAGATCTTCTGGGGAGGCCCTGCCTTTGATCCCACCCCTCTCGTAAAGCGTGGCTGGTGGCAATGACAGACAGGACCTTCTCAGTGGTGGCCTCTCAGCTATGGAACTCCCTCCCCAGTGAAATTGGATTGGCCCCCTCCCTCCTGATCTTCAGGAAAAAACTAAAAGCATGGCTTTTGGACCAAGCTTTTGGTCAGTAAATGGGAGCAGTGCAATAAGTGAATATGGAATAGTGCAATGTCGACTGGAACGGCTTCGGATTATGATTTTGGAATATGTGGTTTTAATAATTGGTTTTAATGTTTAGTTTAGATGTTTTTAACTTGTTGGTTTTAATGTATATGTTAACTTCATTTGTATGTATTTTTGTGCACCATTGAATTGTTGCCTACTGTAGGCCACTCTGAGTCCCCTTCGGGTGAGAAGAGAAGGGTATAAATGTAGTAAATACATTTATTTATTTATTGTATCAGGAGTGAACCAAGAGTACAGTTGTGAGGGGGCCGCTGGGGGGGGGGGGTAGAGAGAGAGGAAGTCATGGCACGCTCAGCGGCACGCTTGTTTCCCTCAGGAAGAAAGGCCTTCTCAGAGAAGGGCATCCCCTTTGAGGGGCCTCCAGCCAGCCATTAGGTCACCAATTAAAATTCCCAGTGGCTTCTCAAGTCATCGTTGGAAGTCCAAATTTTTGTATCTTAGGGAAGATGTTTTTCTGTCAGACTACTCTCGCCATCTAAAAACAGCTATTGCATGTAAGAGAAGAGGGACAGACATGGTACGCATACCTGATTATTTGTGGTGTTTTAAAAAAATAAACAAGCTTGACAGCAGCTTTGAAAAGGGTGTAAAACAGGTCGGGAAAATGCCACTGGAAGATGTTCAAACAAGCGTTTCCCAATAACAAAGGCTTCAATTATTTTTAAACAAAGCTAACTTAAATGTGTGTTTTTAAAAGCTTGAGATGCAATCATTTTTGTGTCACGGGCTTCTTACTGAAAAAACAACATGCTGAAAAGGAGCAATTAAAGTAATCAAGGGGTTGGGAGACCTTTCTTACTTTGAAGGGAGAAATTGCTTAGGTTTTGTTTTGTTTGTCATAGATGGGCCACAGACACACAAGGGTTGGGGGTGGAGGGGGAGAATTGGGTAGCAATGTGTACAATTCTAAATTGGATGGGTGGAATACATAAAGAAATTTTCCTCCTTCTCTTCACTGCAGCAATGAAAATGGTGTAGATTCAGGGAGCAAGTGAAATTACTTTTGCACACAATTCAAAAATTGACATATGTCAGGGGTGGGGAGCTTACAGTCCTGCTCATATTGCTGGACACCAACTCTCATCAGCTCCAGTGACCAGATAAATTATGGAAGTCCTGTAACTTTTGCTGGAAGCACCGTGTTTGTTTCTGTTTGCTTAGCAAATATGGCCATAACCAGAATAATAGTTGAGTGAAGGGAAGTTCTCTCCTACATATAAACCTATTACAGAGGCAGAAGACAAACAGAAGACAATAAGCCAAGATGGTGATGAAGGTGCTCGGATCTGCAGGACCAGGATAGTCCAAGTCCTGAATCCATTAAGAAACCACTCAAGAAAACATATGGGTCCCATCTCCATTTTAATAATTTCAAGATTGTCCACTTAAGATAATGGGACGCATTGTTACTTCTTCCTTGTGTGCTAAGAAACTGTTGCAAGGCTGCATTCTTTGCATTGCCCAAGCAAATTCTGCTAATGTGATACCATTGTCTCATTAGGTTTGCGGTCAATAGATCTCCCTCAGCAAGCCACCTTTCAGTTTATATTAAAGTATGGCATATTCCTAGTGAAGCTCATATTTGGGCAAATGCCTCGAGGAACTGGTCTTATACATACATACATATAAAAAAAATCTATGATACTGTTGCAAAATCTTGGACAGGGGAAATAGACTTTACTGAAAAATTGGAGAGATAAAATACTACAGAATATCCAAATGGCCAAGCTAAGTAATGGTATTAGAAGATGAAATAATGAAGAATTTATAATAAATGGAGGCTGGCATTTGGCTATCTGGAAAGGAAGACAAAGGTAGAGTTGACAGTAGCCACAAAGGGAATTTATTAAGATAAGAAATAAGAGTAGAAGCTTGTTAGATATGAGATCCACATTGAGTGGTATTGGAGTTCTTGGATGATGGGTTCATGGGTGTGGGGTAAGAGGGGTAGGGGTTTGATAACTGATAATTGTACAGTCATTAATAGTTTGTATATGATTTGCATTAGGTGGCTGTATAACACCCTGTTAATATTTTCTTTTCTTTTTATGTATGTTTTTCTTCTTTTTGTTTTTCATTGATACAACAAAAATAAACAAACATTTATCATTACCTATATATATATAAATGCTCTGTGCATAACGAGTACATTAAAAACAAAAGAACCAATGAACGAAATCACACCAAATTTGGCAACAAAACGTCTCACAACACATGGAGTGACCATCACTCAAAACATTATGATTTTGTCATTTGGGAGTTGTAGTTGCTGGGATTTATAGTTCGCCTACAATATAAAAGCATTCTGAACTCTACTAACGATGGAATTGAACCAAACTTGGCACACAGAACTCCCATGACCAACAGAAAATACTGGAAGGGTTTAGTGAGCATTGACCTTGAATTTGGGAGTTGTAATTCACCTACATCCAGAGACTACCATGGACTCAAACAATGATGGATCTGGACCAACCTTGGCACGAATATTCCATATGCCCAAATATGAACACAGATGGCATTTGGGGGAAATAGACCTTGGCATTTGGGAGTTGTAGTTACTGGGATTTATAGTTCACCTACAATCAAAGAGCGTTCTGAAGCCCACCAACAAGAGAATCGGGCCAAACTTCCCACACAGAACCCCTATGACCAACAGAAAATACTTAAGGTCATCCAGTCCAACTTTCTTCACCAGGGCAAGAAAATGTAATCAGAGCCTTCTGACAAAGGGCCATCCAGCCATAGATATAGATAGATAGATAGATAGATATGATTCACACACACACACAGATATAGTATCATAGATTTGAAAGGACTATGATATGTTGCATATTCCAGAGTAGGCAAACCAGACACTCTCCACATCAACACTGACAAAGAAACAACAAGAAATTCTGTTTACCACAAGCATAAATAAATTACATATATTAGAAACCAACACTTTCTCATTACTTTATTTTCCAGATCACCAGACTGGGCCACAGCAATGCCTGGCAGGGGACAGCTAGTATGTATATATATGTAACGTGAATTGTGTTATGGTTGTTCCAGAAGAAAAGAAAGGTCACCTGACAGTTTATAAAGTGGGCAGCAGCCCAAAGAAGTGTGTATTCTTGTCTATTAAAGAAATAAGGTCTGAAGACTCACTTGTTTCTGACTGGTGAGCTGCATTTCCCGCTCGGTGATCTCACGGCGGAGATGGTCAACCTCACTCCGCAGTTGAACCACCTCTTCACTGGCTCCAGATGCCTCGTCTAACTGTTTAGAGAGGAAGAAGTTCTGGTTGTTCAGCTCGGCATTGTCCTCGGTCAGCTGGTTCAATTGCTCCTCCAAGTCAGTAATCACCTAAATAAAAAGAACAATAAATCAGAGAACCTAGGATCAGTGGAGACTAGCTAGGTCTTCTGAAAAGGCAGCCCCACTCCCCTACCTAACACAGGGGTTCTTGTAAAACATCTCTTAGGCTGGCACAAGCCTAACTCATACATTTAATGCAGTGTCTAGCATGAAGACCTGCCATCTTCAGAAGGGTTTAAATGTAACATTGAGGTATGGAACACACTGCAATGTGACACTTTATGACACAGGTTTAAAAGGGACGCCTTTCTGGCAAGAGCAAGGGACTGAAGCCAGCAGTTGATGGTCCTCTTCCTCGATCTGTCAAGCCCTGATAAACGGCAGAAGCAAATGATTTCTCTCTCCAAGGCATATTTCACCGTATCTGAGGAAAAGGACAACTAACTTTCAAGATATCAATCTGAGAGTACTTTAAAGAGAGGATCATTATCTGGATGTCACCCAGAATGCTTCAGACAGTAAAGAAACACAAGGAAAACCAGTAAGTTGCCACACAACATTCTGATTTAGGAAAGACCTAAGTGTGTCATCAGCAGAGATAAGAAGAACGCAAGGAGTGCATCAATGTAAGCATTAAGAAAAAAAAGACCTATGTAACAATGGCTTTATGAAAATAAACCACGCCCATTATTTAAAGCAGTATTTTAGCTATGCTAAGACTTAAGTGTCCCAATGCAATGCTATCCTTGTTGGACATTTGGATAGAAATTGAGGGCAAACACGACTACAACACTAAAAAACAGGAAAAAGAGCTTATTTTTAACATCTAGGTGTATAATTTTCACCAGATACCAAAGCAACACCCGCTTCAACTGCATGACTACCATTTCATACATGTCCTAATACAATGGTCTTGTACTGATGGTGATAAACATAATAAGAAGCATCTGCAGTGTTTTCTTTGTGCCGGTTAAAGAAAGCAAGCAGCAGGTAAAACAATGAGACCAGAAAAAAGGGTGGGTGAGAATCGGCTTCCATAGTAAACAGAAAAATTAAAGTGTGACCCTTGCTACCACTCAGATGGTGGGTTCTGAAAGAGTATGGCTCCTGCTGCAAATATATATTTGTGCAGAAACAAACTGGTCTAATTCAGAGGAGCTGAAGATTGTTCTTATGCTTCATAAAAGACACAAAAGGAAAATCACCTCCTAATAAATGGATTTAAGAAAAAAATGGGAGAAAATGGAGGGAGGTAAAAAAGTGAAGGAAGAGGGAGAATCACACTTTTGCTTGAAAGTAGTAGGTGAGATGGGCCCAGTAGATTTTGACTGAATGGTAATTTCATGATGTTGGGTTGGTTTGAACTGGATTCCTGCAGAAGGTTATTTCCACCAAGGACAGGCTTTGAGCCCTCTTCACATCCTAAATCCTTCCATTCAAATACCTGTCAAGACCACCATCTTCTTGCTCTCTTCTAGAGGAAAGGTGTCAAAATTTTCTGCGTCCACCAGAGAAAATAAGACTTTTTCTTTTGCACTTCTGAAATACCAGTTACTGCTGGTTTCACGGAATAGTACCTGAAACTGGTCCTTCCCGAGTGTTGTGAGTTTGCTCTGCCTCTCAAAGAGATTCAGAAAAAGCAACACATTATCCTAATTCTGACCTGTTTAGGAGCTTCTCCAAGCAATTTGTCTGGCCACGCCTGGAGACCATTGTTGGACCAGAAGAAAGTTGGTCCTGATCCAGCAAGGCTGAGCTTTGGCAAACAAAACCTATCTCCGAACTCACAAAGGGACAGAGCCTGCATGGCAATTAAATGCAATTTTCCATGTCTCTTAAAATTCACAGTGGGAAGCTCTCCACAATGAGGCCATCACAATGCCGACTGAGCAGATGCATGGAGGGAAGCCCAGGTTGTGGCAAACCAGAGAAGTGGCAAAGAGAACAGCAAGGTCCCACAGCAAACCAAGGACAGCGAGTCCTAGGTTGCATCAGATGGAGGAAGAAATGTGTGGGTTTTAACATCATCTTTATCCTTTGAAGATGAGAAAAAGGTGTGCGGGGAAGGTCTGAACTGAACTTTCAGGACTACCTAATGAAGAAAGACCAGAGAGCGTTATACACTTATTTACTTAGGCGATCCCTCATAGTCTGAGGATGATGGTCCTCCAAGGTTCTGTCAGTGGGTCCATAAGTGACTGTGGAGCCCAATTCTTAATCTGCATCTTCTCCAGCAGTGAGGGCATTGATTTCCAGGTGGAAGGCAGTCCCGGTCGGGGTTGGCTTGACGCGCCTTCCTCTTGGCACGTTTCTCACTTTCGCCCTCCATTCGTGCCTCTTCAAATTCTGCAGCACTGCTGGTCACAGCTGACCTCCAGCTGGAGCACTCAAGGGCCAGGGCTTCCCAGTTCTCAGTGTCTATGCCAGAGTTTTTAAGGTTGGCTTTGAGCTCATCTTTAAATCTCTTTTCCTGTCCACCTACATTCTGTTTTCTGTTCTTGAGTTCGGAGTAGAGCAACTGCTTTGGGAGATGGTGGTTGGGCATCCGGACAACGTGGCCAGTCCAGCGGGGTTGATGGCGGAGCACCATCGCTTCAATGCTAGTGGTCTTTGCTTCTTCCAGCACGCTGACATTTGTCCGCTTGTCTTCCCAAGGGATTTGCAGGATTTTTTGGAGGCAGCACTGATGGAATCGTTCCAGGAGTTGCATGTGACATCTGTAGACTGTCCACGTCTTGCAAGCATATAGCAGGGTTGGGAGGACAATAGCTTTTTAAACAAGCACCTTGGTATCCCGGTCCTCAAACACTCTCTGCTTCATTTGGAAAAAGGCTGCACTCGCAGAGCTCAGGTGTTGAATTTCAGTGTCAATGTTGACTTTTGTGGAGAGGTGACTGCCAAGGTAGAGGAAATGGTCAACATTTTCTAATGTTACACCATTAAGCTGTATTTTCGGCATTGGGGAGGGATTGCCTGGTGACTGCTGGAAGAGCACTTTGGTTTTCTCGATATTCAATGACAGGCCGAACTACTCGTATGCTTCTGCGAAGGTGTTTAGAGTGGCTTGTAGGTCTTCTTCTGAATGCGCACAGACGACGTTGTCATCAGCATACTGGAGTTCTATAATAGATGTTGTTCTAACCTTGGTTTTGGCTTTCAGTCTGCTGAGGTTAAATAGCTTGCCATCTGTCCGATAGATGATTTCCACTCAGGGGGAAGCTTCCCATCAACAAGATGAAGTATCATAGCAATGAAGATGGAAATAAGGTTGGGACAGTAACACATCCCTGTTTGACACCTGATTCCATCTTAAATGGGTCACTTTGGGAGCCACTGCTATCCAGGACTGTTGCCATCATGTCATCATGGAGGAGCTGCAGGATGTTCACAAATTTGATAGGGTACCCGATTTTTTGGAGGATGGTCCAGAGAGCGCTGCAATTCACTGTGTCGAATGCCTTTGCAAGGTCAATGAATGCCATGTACAGAGGTTGGTTTTGTTCCCTGCATTTTTCTTGGAACTGTCGTGCAGTGAAGATCCTGTCCACTGTTTCTCTGGAGGGGTGGGAGCCGTTCTGGGATTCTGGGAGGGTGTCTTCTGAGAGGGGCAGAAGGCGGTTTGCAAGGATTCTTGCGAGGATTTTCCCAGCGGAGGTTAGAAGGGAGATACCTCGATAGTTTCTGCAGTCTGTTCTTTCCCCTTTTTTGAAGAGGGCGATGATGGTGGCATCCTTGAAATCTGCTGGGATTTTCTCGGTCACCCACACTTTTTCTATGAGCTGGTGGAGTTGTTGTGTCAGCTCAGGTCCCTCCTCTTTAAAGATTTCAGCAGGGATCCCATCAAGTCCACTGGCTTTGTTATTTTTTGTTGGCTGATAGCATTGCTGACTTCTTCCAAACTAGGCAGGGCTGCAAGCTCATCTCTGGTTTGTTGTTGCGGGATTTGTGAGAGAACCTCTTTGGCCACATTGGAGCTGCGATTCAAGAGGCTTTGGTAGTGTTCTTTCCAACATAGTGCAATAGATTTTTTGTCCTTCAGAAGTTTGGTTCCATCTGATGAGCGTAGAGGCTGTATCCCATGGTTTCTTGGTCCATAGATGACCTTTGTGGCTTTGAAGAATCCCTGAGCATCATGGGTATCTGCCAGGTGTTGGATTTCTTCAGCCTTCTTTGTCCACCAGATGTTCTTGAGTTCTCTTGTCCTTCTTTGGACCTCAGCTTTTGCACTGGCGTAGATCTTTTTCTTAGCAGCACAGTTGATGTCTCTCTGCCATGTTTGGAAGGCTTTCCTTTTCTTGTCAATTAGCTGTTGGATCTTGTTGTTATTTTCGTCAAACCAATCTTGATGTTTCTTGGTTTGATATCCAATAGCTTCTTCGCAGGCTGTGATGATGGAGGTCTTCAGTTTATTCCAATGTTCCTCAACATTTTGGGGGTGTTCTGTGAGTAGATGATCTTTGAATGCTGTTTGGAGAAGGGCTCATTTGGAGGGCTCCTGAAGGGCTTGGGTGTTCATTTTGCACTTTGTCTTTCTTCCTTGAAGTCTGCACTTGGGGGCAATCTTGATAGCCATTGTGAATCGGATTAGCCTGTGGTCTGTCCAGCAGTTGTCAGCACCTGACATGGCTCTTGTTAGGAGCACGTCACGGCGGTCTCTGGCACTTGTGATTACGTAGTCTAAGAGGTGCCAATGCTTTGACCGGGGGTGCTTCCATGATGTCCTGAGCTTGTTTTCTGGCGGAAGAGCGTGTTGGTGATGACAAGGTTGTGTTCCGTACATTTGGTGAGAAGCAGGATGCCATTCAAATTGCTGTTTCCAACCCCGTCTTTTCCTATGGTTCCTGGCCACAGGTTGAAGTCTTGCCCGACTCTTGTATTGAAATCCCCCAGGAGGATGATTTTGTCCTCCTTAGGTATCTCCGATAGGACGATGTCCAGCTGATGGTAAAATTTCTCCTTGAAATTTTAAGGAGAGTTCAAGGAGGAATCAAGGACAAGCGTTATACAACACCGCTACTAAAGAGAGAATAATACCCAGTTCATAAAAAGTAATTCCAACTCCCTCAGATATAACCACAGTTCATTCTGACTTAAATATTAAATTGCTCATACAAACTTATTAATCCATTCTGTCCTTTGGCCCCTGAACTCTTTTTATTAGCTATGGTGCTTCCTTTCCTGCTCCCTTTTGATATCAGTCTTGGCTTTTATCTATACATTAACCTGAGACCACTTGCCTGAAGGTAGCTCACAGTTTAAAAACTAGCAACATATATGTCAGTTACACAAAAAGCCCAAGAAACAAAAGAGAACGTATTTCTAGAACATCTTATCATGATAATAGTTCAGAAAACACTCGTAGTAAACAACCTTAATGTGATCCTGCTTCTTTCTAAGATTCCACTGAGAAAATGAATTGAGTAATATTTGATGTAATGCAACACTCCAAGAACCATACAGACACAAACCTTGCTCTGCACAACCAAGGGAACACAGAGGCACACATCCTCTGCATGGCAAATCAATTCATAAAGCAGTTTGGGATTGGGATGAGTTCTCAATAGTGAGAACCTGATCTCTATGGGTTGCTGCAAAATAAAGAGCTCAGTAACTTATATAACTTTTTGGGCGGGGGGGTGTTGTCCTGCCATTATAAGTAATAAATAATAATAAACTTTATTTATATCCCGCCCCATCTCTCCAGAGGGCCTCACAATTACACATGGAAAACAAAGACCAACACAACAGGTTGCTTAACCATTACAGTTTATGTTCATAGAGGAAAGAATTCAAACTACTCTACAATAAAAGTGTGACATTGTTCTGTTCACAATTCAATACATGCAAGGACAATACACTTAGGAATGGACAAATCACAGGGTTTTAACCCCTGCGGGAAACAAAAATGACTTTCATTCAATCTAAGCCACCCAGAGATCTTATTATATGAGGTTGGACGGAAATATTTTTCATAGAATTAATACTATGCTATGACTTTTTGCCAATGTATGGAAAGAAATCCCTACAAACCCTTATCATCAACTAACAGAATGTGACTTGTTTTTCCTAGAAGTTGTAATGTACAGTGTTCCCTCACTTATTGTGGGTGTTATGTTCCAGGGCCACCTGCAAAAAACGAAAATCTGTGAAGTAGGGACGCTATATATGTATATCGAGTTCCGAGGGTGATGCGGAAGTGAGGAGAGATTTAAAGGCACCGAGCACCTTTTTTGGCTAGCTATCTCTGCTTTGCTTTGCAATCTCTCTTGATTGGCTGCCATTCATAAACTGGGAGGCAAAAAAACCACGAAACAGCGACTCTGCGAAAAGCAAAGTAGCGAGGGGACACTGTACATCAGTACACTCTCTAGTTAAGTGAGGCTTCAGCTCTAAGTCAAAAACCATAACTCAAAACATTTGAACCATGAGTCAAAGAATCTGAAGAACAAAACTTGAGTAATCCACAATTCACTGCTCAGGAGGTGGGCTTATTTATAGGCCCTGCCTCAAGGAGAAAGATGTGAAAGCTTTAAGTCATAATACTTTTCAAACTCATTAACCTGAAGAATGGAAACAGAAAAGTACCGCTTGGCCTTGAATATTCAACCTCCTACAAAATAAACCACAAGACATTGAGCAGTGATTGCTGGTAGCGTCTGTGTTAGCAGAGCAATGCATCTAGTCTGGGTTTAACCAAGCTTTCAAGGAATTACTCTCTCCTAAAATAGGTTCGGCACATTGGATAGCTCCTTGAAAGCTTTCCAAAACTTGAAGTAGATTCATCACAATGTGGAGACGGAAGCTTTCAGCTGACACTGACTTATGCAGAAGCAGACCAAGAGAAGGGGACTTGGGACCTTGAATAAAATTCATCATTTCTTTGTTGCAAGGATGGATCATTCCATTTCTGGAGAACCAGCACAACACAACAGGTGTATTATTTGAGGATGGGGCACCAGCAGGGTTTAGGAGTCGTAATACACTGTTTATCACATACACACAATACAATATGGTTGCAAGAACCTTAGCCAGCCCAAACACTCTTGGTCTTTAATCGTAATGTTTGAGCTGGGAATGCAACTACAAGGTGTTATCTCCTCAAACAAGAAATACCAGTAAGGGCCCTGGAAACAGAGTCTCCTTTATCAACACGCCAAAGCTACAGGAACAGTAATACAACAGGTAGGGTGCGCTTTGTGCTTAAACTTCCCAGGCAAACACACTATGAGCTGCAGTAAATCAGATAGATAATTCAGTGTATCCTACAGTAGAAGTGTGTACATCATAAGCAAGGTCTGACTTGAGAAAAGCAAAGTCTGATTTCTAACAAGCCATAACAAATCATATTTACCAAAAACTAAGCTTTAAGTGTTGTTGTTATTATTTGATACACAACAAGATTAGTACACAGCAAACAAGATCACTGTGCTGGCTGTTGTATTGGATCACACGCTGGATACTTCCCAAGTGTCTAGGACAATGTGATGTATCGGCAAATAATTCAGGCAGATTTGAGTAGGGTGGCCTTTTGCAGCTGACAGATGGTAATTTTGTCAGCGCCGATTGTTTTCAAGTGCTGGCCAAGGTCTTTAGGCACTGCACCCATTGTGCTGATCACCACTGGGATCACCTTTACTGGCTTGTCCCAGAGTCTTTGCAGTTCGATCTTTAAATCCTTATTATTATTATTAATATTATTATTTCTATTCTGCTTTCTCTCTCTAAAAAGAGACTGAAATATACACCCATACTATGTTGGCAGATTTTTGGTAGACAAAAATTTAGAGACATATCACAATTACAGACTTGGCCCTGTATTCAGATTTTAAAAACTGGTGAAGGTTGTTGTTCCCCTTCATGGAATGCCACAAATTGCTTCCATTAAAAAGGTGGGCACTGTTGAAATTAAATCTGCATGCAGGTTGGTAACGATTTTTAGAGCCCAATGCTCTTTCTGCCATACAAAATCATGTCTCAGAAGAAATCTTTCAATCTTGCACAGGTGCCCATCACTGGGAAACCTTAAACAGAAAAGGTGGAAAAGGAAGAAAAGCATTTCCGCCACTTCTGGAAATAAAAGAGGGCCTTTGAAAAGCCCTAGTCCCCTTTCTGTACTTGAATGCTTTTCATCAAGATAGTCAATAACAAAAACATCCAAATGGAAAGCACTTGTCCAACATCAGGCGTCTTCCACCCACGCCACTAAGTGTTTGTGTGAGTGTCCAAGGTGAAGCCTTCAACTATTTTAAAAGGAATTCAGGAGGCTCACTCCAGTGATGGTGGCATAAGAAGGGGGGTAGACACTAAATGGATTCTTTGGGGTGCTTCCCTCAACATTCTTCAGAGATACCCTGTAACTTACTCGCCACCAGTCCATGGAAAGGGGTCCCAACAAGAACCCAGCCCTCGCAGGATTTCACGCCCAAGGAAATCTGGAGGTGACAGCTGGGTGTCCATAACTGATAATACTGTACATTTGGAGCAAATGCACACTCCTGCCATACTTCAAACAAGACCCTATCTGTCCCTTTTTCTACAATCAAGATAAAAAGTGGTACAAGAACACCACCTACAGCCACTTTGACAACCAGACTTCATATCAGAAATGTTTTAAATGTAGCTGGATGCCATCCATTTCCTTTCAATTCTACACTTTGCATGGATTTTTTATCTGTTTTTGTATGTGCGCATGCCATTTGTTGCAGTTGCAACACCATTCTTATTAGCTGCACTGCCATGAGATTTGTTGATTTGACTTCTTCCAAAGAAAGCTCAAACCCTGTCAATTTTCACATCAGGTTAAAACCTCTAAGCTGAGATTTACCTGAGACCTATCAAGACAATCCAATCAGTCTTAGGTCTTGCTAACTCCTTGAAGGCAAAGGTCTGTGTCATGAACCTTTGTCTCCAAGGAGCAGAATGGGATTGTTTCCTTCCTTGCCCTTGGTTTCAAAATAATTCAATGATCTGTATTTGATACTCACTGTGCAGCTATTACGAAGGGCTTCAAATTTACGCTGGATTTCATCTCTATGTGCCTAAAGGAGGTAAGAAGTTGATCATCAATTTTTTTCATACATTAGATTTAGAATCCAACAGCTGTTTCTTAATGAACTGCAGAGCAATCTACCAGCAAGCCAGGTTTAGGAGGCAGATGCTGCAGACTAGGAGTACTGCCAAGACAAAACAACAACAACCCAGATGTTGCATTGATTTAGGGCATCTTCAGGCATCCATGGACTTCACTACAGAGTGGTATGCACTATTTCTTGGAAATATATATATATATATATATATATCCTTGTTAAGGTAGCTGTCATTTCATATCCAAGTGGTACTCTTGTCTTTTGTTTGCCTTACATGTTTATTTTCACATCTGAACTAGAACTTCTTTCAAAACAGGCAGCTCTGCATGTATATACTCTTCTACGCACAAAAATAGAAAAACCTACAAAGGATGGTTATGCAAGCTTTCTCAAACCCTTCCGCCACAAACCTACCGTCCAGCCTGACCTTTTTCAAAAAGCAACAAAGCCAACTCACAATGTCATTACAGGGTAAAGGAAATCCAGCATGTTTCAAAGGCACAAAGCATCTCACTTAGAGGAAGCTGCAGTATGACATGCATCATTGAGGTTTATGAGCTGCAGGTGAACAAGACAAAGCTCATCTTCTAGCCAATAAGGCCCTCTCCCACCAGGCTCAGACTGTGGCAGAGGGACTTGTGGGTCATTCATTGCTTGTTGGAGACTTTGCTTGGATTCAACCATCTATTTTGCGGCCATGAGGTGCCCAATGCCAGAGTCAAAGGGGATTGGCTAGAAAATGAACTTTGTCTTCCACCAATCAAAGGAAAGAGTTCCAAAGAAGAAGCCGCCCCTCCCAATATTCCATATCAAATCTAGAGAGTGACAGAATGTACAGCAGCGTGTTCACAGGAGTCCAAGAGTCAGAGACGAATCCATGTCAGCGCGAAAGAAAATGAGCCCATGAAGCATGCCCCCTTATCCTATCAGCACAGAAGCCAGATGTTACAAATTGCTCGTGTATCTGAAGGAAAGCTAGAGCTATGAGCAAGAGAGAATTGGTCCAGACTCATAGAGAAGGAGTGGCCAACCTTTTTGGCAAGTGTGGCAGAAGCGCAACAGAAGCACCAAACTAGTCTAGTCATCCCTAGCCCCCTCGCTCCTCCCACTCCTTTGTCTTGGGGCAGTTTGATCCCATGTCTCCTGAGCTGGGAGCAGCTTGGGTTTCAGAGGAAGCTGCTTTATGTCAGGTCAGACAATTTGTCCTATTGATTCGCTCTAATTGTCTATTCTGACTGGCAGTGACTCTCCAGGGCCTTTGTAAATACCGGAGAAGACAATGTGCTCCGCCTAATCTTTTTGACAATTACATTAGAAGCAGCAGCAGCTGAGTTGCACCTGTGAAAACCATCCTATGCTGAAGGATCTCAAGTGCGAAAGTGCCCCAAACCCCTTGCTCTTGTGTCACTCATAGCACCCATGCCTCAGGTTGGCCATCCATAGGACAGAGCAGGACAAAACCCCTGCACAGGGGTTGTGTTTTCTAATGGGAAGTGCCCAGCTTGTGTGCGTCTTCAAAAGGCAAAAGGGAATGACCACTTTTCTTCCCCCAGGATGCCAAGACTCTAAGCAATGCATGCAGATATTCTCTGCTGAACCCCGCAAGCCCAAAGGAATAGCCGCAAAGGCAGGAAGGGGGCCCCTAATGAAAGGCAAGCACACTCTTCCTTTCATTAGCTTCCAATGAGACACAACATCCACTTTCCAATGCAGCTGGATGCAAACGCCACCGAAGACAGCCATATCGGTGAGGGACAGCTGGCAGCCAAAGCAGAGGTTAATAATCTCCACCACCCACAAACTTTGTGAAATCCCAAAGTGAAAATCCAACTTTGCTTTTGCAAGGACATTTAAAAAATATAAATCAGTCCCCATTGTATATATTGAGGATCAGTTTGGACAGCAAAAGACTAAAAATCTTCAAGTCACCACGCCAACAGAGAGTGAGAAAACCAAGATCATTGTTAGAGAACATGTCTAAGGCAACATTTTTCTGGTTAATTTCTTAAAGCTGATAAGCATGGTAGCATAACAGTATGGCTTTATTCCCATACATCTGTAAAACAAGAAGCTACCTTTGCAAGAATCACAATCTGAAGTGACTTACCTGGAACCCACCACTTCCACAGTCAAATATAACAATTACACATGGACACAATGCAAGCAAATTTCCTCAATAATAAAAGCATACTTCCTCAATGTGAAATTTGGAGTGGCAACCTAGGCCCTGTACTGGACAATACTATACTGGAAAAGCTACAGAGAACTGGCCTTTGAGTGAATAGGTTGACAGATCTGATCCTCAAAAGCTCTGCCTCTCAAAAGAGTATTTCAATGTGCAAGGTAAGTGATTTCAGTTGTGTAACCATCGAGAAGTGGTCAAAAAAGGAACTAGGGCATATGGTGTTCCAGAATCTGTTGGAAAGTCTGGGAAGAACAGGTCGCAGCTGGAAGCCATGACCAGCTGAGATTCTGAAATCAAAGAACAGCTCAAGATACAGGCAAGAATGTTCCTGAATGTTCAGAGGTAAAGCGGCTCACCCTTTCTAAGACACTGAGAACTCTATATTGAAAAGGCTCGATCTGCTTAACCTCTGTTCCAGATCAGACAGAACTGGTTTTGGCTGTATCTTTTAGAAGAGTGTACTTTGTCTCACCAGGAAGCCTCTTTCAAAAAGGACGGTTCACCAATGAAACATTTCTGCTTTTCCCTCTCTTTAAAAGTTTAGCTTTAGAAGCCTTTTCGGCCAGATTATGTACCAACATGTCAACAGACATGGCGTTGCATCTCAAAATGCATTGCAAAGGAAGGAGTTTGGTCCCCAAAGGAGGGCTCTAAAATCACTGTTGCTGGGTACCTTCATGGAACCCAAGTGGACATCAGATTAGTGACAGCCAGGAAGTTCCTTTCTCCAGGTGAAAATGTGTCTTGAAGGTTCTTTGGTACATGAATCGGCTTCCAGGTTTCTTAAACATGATCCATTTCAAGTAACAGTGCTACCTTCTAGCTCTCAAAAGGATGTCCCTATCCCAGTTTGGTCATACCTATTTCCATTTCCAAAGAAATAATATCATAAATGTTGATCCCTCAAGGGCACGTTCTGGACAACTCACAGCAGAATATTATCAAGCTAAGCCATCTATGAATCAGATGCAGCAACCCATGGCACACTTCTGAATACGGCCATTTCAAATGGACACTGAAAGAGCACATTTTTAGGGAGTGGAACCTCACTCTCGGCCCAGAATCCTTCAGCTTACCGTTAGAGCTTGGATTTCCTCTTCTGCCTCGGCTGTGGTCTCCTCCAGCTCAGTTTTCGCCTCCCGCAGCTGGCTTTCCAGGGCTGCCCGGGTCGCCTGCAAGCCGGAGATCTGCGACTCCCGCTCCTGGAGGGTGAGCTGCAATTCTGTGAGCTGCCGCTTCAGTTCCAGTTTTTGCTCTTCATGCTCAAGGCTTACCTAAAGAGTTGAAATACAGCATTGATACCTGCGAACGCCCAAGTGCAAGTCTACTTCAGATCTTCCAGCAAGGCCCAGGGGGAAACTGTGCTTCTTTCTGTGCCTTCTGGGAGTTAATAATGCAATAGTTTGAATACAACAAAATCCAAACTTCACAAAACAGTGATACGTTTATGAGCCAATGAAATTGAGCAATGATGGGGTTTTTGTGCATTTGAGTTGGCTTGAAAAGCCTATCAGTGTTTATGGGTTTTGAATTTTATTGTATTCACAGCAGAAGAAAGCTATTGATTTGTAGGCGTGTTTGCTTAGATAAGGTGGCCAGCAGAGAAACTTGGCAAACTTGTGAGATTATCGGTCTAACTCTGTCAACAAGACTCGGAACATCTAAGGTCATATAGTGAGAAAGTGCCATCTTTTGACCACTTCATGTAAATAGCAGGCATTTCCTGAAAACATTATTCTATTGATTTCTATTGATTTTCATATTAAGAAATAAGTTATAATGAAGTTTTAAAGGCTGAATTAACTAAAGGATTAGATTAGATCTTATGTTATAAGCATATGAAAGTTATAATTCAATTAGAGATTTAAGGATTTGAACTTTAAGAATCACCTAATGGAAAACATGTTATATAACTCAGCAGATGTTGAGTTCATAAAGCATTTGCCAGATTTGATAAAGATGTTCTTGGCAACTATATATTTAAACACCTGTTAATGATTGTACTAAGAAAATGTCAGATACTATCTGCGCATGTATGGGAAAGTTGATTTTATGTTATAAATACTGAAGCAATTGAGACTTCAAGGTGTCACAGCCCTTTGCTTGCTGTTCACCCTATACTCTGCAGAGATAGTAAAGCCTGGAAATCGACATGCTGTCTCCATTCTCTTCCTTCTTCTAAAGCACTCGAATGAATCAGGGTAACGTATGCCACAACAAATGGGGGCTCGTCCGGGATCTGAGTCAACAGAGAAGGAACAGAAATGAAGCCTCTTGAGGGCTTGATTGCCTTCACTCAGGGGGCTAGGCAAGGCGTGGATCAGAAGGGGCGAGAAATGGGTACCCACAAGAAAGAACTGGCCCGGCTAATCCGTGCATCGAGAACTAACAGCTTCGATTCCATGGCACCAGGTAAAGAAAAAGGCTAGCTTTAAGAAATAGGAAGGTACATGGGAAGTACCTGGGAAACATTTCACTATAAGATAGCTGCAGACATCAAGTGAAATCCTGAGTGATGTTTTCGCACAGAATCGCACTCATAGGTTGAAGGAACACACTTTCAGGGGGAAAGTGTCAAGTTTATTTTGTGGTTGTCTTGGTTTATGTTTTTGTGTCTCTTTGTTTCCTTGTGTCTATTTGGTCCACGTCTTCTTTGCTTGCCTCTTTGCTTTAATAACCCCATTTGTGCCTATAATTGTATATCGATGTTTGTCTCTCTGTGTCTGTTTGTTTCTCTGTCAAGCAGAAGGACTTTTGCACCTCCTCAATCGCCCCAGCCAGCTGAAGGGATATATGATGGTCTGTGGTGAAACAAGACTAGTGTGGCCGTACGTTTTCGTCTGGGACTTAGTTTTGGATAAGCAACTAGGATAGTTGGGAAGTGCAAATGTATGAAAAAACACTAAAAACAGAAAACATTATAAGGCACGCGCGGATACGGCAGACCGCCATTGGGGTCAAACCGATGTGTGGGTTGCCTTCTGGAGAGGCACTGGAGAAATAATGAATGTTGCAGGAGGAAGTGTGCCGAGAGGGAATTGGAAAGAAAGAAGTTGGGGCCGTGGGGTTAGAGGTCAGCCTCAGTGGGCCCGGTAGTGGCTGGGTTGGCTAACCCAGGTCAGGAGTTTGGTCTTACCAAAGCGGAGACAGAGGAGTGATAAAGACCTAGCATTTGTTCATCAGGCCATAGGCTGTTTAGCACTAGCTTACTGTCTTAACGTACCCGATGGAATCAAAGGAAAAGAGGAAAATACATAGTAGATTGGATATGCTGAAATATGTGGGATGTGAATGAATGGATTCCCTGTGTGTCTGGATGAATGTTGTGTAACATTCCAGTCTGGAGTTGTGAATGTATGTATGGAATATTGATGAACTCAGATTCAGATGTGTTTCATATGTGTTAGACTGTCTTGTGAGGTCGTTTTGTGTTTGTGTGTGTGTGAATGTCTGGTTGATTAGACTGAGAAAGAAAGATTAATTAGAACTTCCATTGTGTGTTTGAGGGAGTATTCAAAAGTGGCCACTTGAGTGTTCTCTCTAACACAATTATAAGGTAATTATAATTGAAAGTGTGGGCTTAAAAATGAATCTTTAGGAAAGTCAAGTTACCAGCTTTCTAAAATGTCCCACATGGAGGAGAGATATTGACAAGCTGAGATAAGTTTAGAGGATGAAAAGAACTTTGTGAAAAATGTGTCAAGAAACTGAGTGTCATGGGTTCAACTGCCAATGACTCTTTAAAAAAAATGAGATGTACCCCCATTAGGGTTTTAGGAATATCACCATCTGAACTGATATATGGAAGACCTCCTTTTGAAGATTAGACCATTGTAGGGCTATGTGGGAGAATTGGGAAACCAAGCACTAATAAAGGAGGTACAGACTTTGGAAATGGTGTTAATAAATTGTATAACTACATTGGCCTGTTGCAGTACACGTTCCCTGTTTCACCAGGGGACCTAGTGTGGCTGAAAGACCTGGAGGTGTGACCCCCCTGAGGCAGGAGTGGAAAGGCTGCTGCAAGTGCTGTTGACGACCCCCACCGCTGTAAAGCTAGAAGGTGTTAAATCGTGGGTGGACTACACCTGCATAGAAAGAGACCATACGGCTAAGGACCCAGACTTTCAGCAGATAAACTTAGATCAGGATAATCCAGTAAAGGACATACTTCAAAGATTTGGAGGCCAAGAGGGTCAAGCTGCCAAGAGCTGCCCTGAAGAGGAGGGAGTTCCGGCTACCGAGAGCTCACTCCCAGGGGTTAGGATACTGAGAGCTGCCTTGAAAAAAGAAGGAAGATTGGATGGACTCTTGGGGTTGGGAGTGCGCCATTGTGGGACTTCTCATTATATTGGGGATAGTCTGGTTGTGTTACATTTATAGACATATCTTTTGCGGACAAGCATATATACTTCAGCATGTTATATATCTATTACCTGATTGAGTATGCCCCTCCCGAGGGTGATACAGGGGAGATGGGAGCAAAATATATTCCACCAGATGATTCGGGATATAGCGAATGAGACAAAAGTCATTGAATGTTGGGTCTGCAGTCATGGGTCTTCTTCCCAACGTCAGGGATGTCCACTAATGGTAGGATCATTGCTGAGTGAAAAAGGGTGGAGTGTTTTACAACCCCAAAATCATGAGATGACTGAGAACTTGCTCAATCCAGGACAAACTCTAGTGACATATAAGGGGACCTTGCCTGAGGCTCCAGCATGCATCACTTGGGAGAAAGAGGAAAGGTGGACACAAGATCAGGGAGACCCTTTCCTGATGAAGCAAATAGATCTTGGTCACTACCCAACTTGTAATCTTATTTTCCATATGTTCAAAACTGAGGCTTCTGAGGACATGAGTCTCCTAGCCCGTTTGGAACACTCCCCACAAAGGGTGAGGCGATTTGATGGTCATGTCTCATCGGGACTGGATGCATATATTAAACAGGCCCAAGCAGTGAAGACAATGAAAGAGATGAGAATGGCCAGCCATAGCCGTGACCCACAAAAGGCACCCAACAAGGACTTGCCTCAGGGTCATGGGGAGCCACCCAATGAAGGGCCGCCACAGTCGTGGAGAGCCTAATCCCGTCAAAGTGGTGAAGGTGGTAGAAGCCAGCCAGGTTGCTTACTTTTACTTACTTTACTTAGGCGATCCCTCGTTGGACGAGTAAGCCAGGTTGAGACGAGGTCGTCTCTGGTGGCCAAAGGAGGGTTGTCTCCTGGGCTGCATTGGATATGTGGACAGTGGGCAGGAAAGATTTTGCCCCCTTTATGGACAGGTACTTGCACAATAGGTACCCTGATACCAGCAGATGTGACGATCTACCTAAAGCAGCAATCCCTAATGACTTGGAAAAGAGAATTTAGATGGCAACGTTTAAAAAGAGCCTATGATGAAGCATATGGATATGACCCAGACCGAACCTACTTAAATGAGGGTGAAAGGCTGGGAGCGATCCTGTTCCCTGCTGTGAGCGTAGCTCTAAATGTGAAACAAATTCGGAGACTCTCAGCACAAGTTGAAAGGTTGGCAAATCAAACTGTTGCTGGAATAAAGGCTCTGCAGACCGAGGTTGATTCATTGGCAGGAGTCCTAATGCAACACAAACTTGCTTTGGACTACTTACTGTCTGCGGAGGGAGGATTGTGTGTTTGGTTGAATACAACTTGTTGGCACTACATCAACAAGTCAGAAGTCGAATCCGATGTGAATAAGATACAGGAGATAGTTTTGGCCATCAGAGCTGGGTACGCCCCAAGGGGAGAGAAATGGTTCAACTGGTTGACTTCTTGGATGCCAAATCTACAGTGGTTAAAAGATCTCGTCGTCATAGGGTTTATTATTCTGATACTTGTGATCTTAGCTATGCTCATACTACCTTGTTTAATGTCTTGCATAAGAAACATGATTGAGGAAGTTGTTAATGATGCCAATGTTCGACATGGTAAACAGTTGCAACGTATTATATACATGGAGTTAGAGGAGATAAAGCAATCCTCCGAGGGAGTTAAGTTGATATAATCACAATTGAGATGTGACTCCGAAGAAGTGTCTTCTTCATCACAAAAAAAGGGGGAATGTAGAAGCAGTTAGGAGAAAATATAATAATAATATTAAAATCACAATACTTTATAATTAAAATATAAACCTACCTGAGTCTTCAAAAGGAAAAAGCGTTTCTCTGTGGCTCTTTGATTTTCCACTGAAAATGCCAGGGCCTTGGCCAGTGTTTGTTCTAGCCGGCGTTTGCTTAGATAAGTTGGCCAGCAGAGAAACTTGGCAAACTTGTGAGATCGAAATTATCGATCTAACTGTCAACAAGACTCGGAACATCTAAGGTCATATAGTGAGAGAGCGCCATCTTCTGACCACTTCATGTAAATAGCAGGCATTTTCTGAAAGCATTGTTCTATTGATTTCTATTGATTTTCATATTAAGAAATAAGTTATAATGAAGTTTTAAAGGCTGAATTAACTAAAGGAGATTGCCTTGATTAGATCTTATGTTATAAGCATATGAAAGTTATCATTCAATTAGAGATTTAAGGATTTGAACTTTAAGAATCACCTAATGGAAAACATGTTATATAACTCAGCAGATGTTGAGTTCACAAAGCATTTGCCAGATTTGATTTTATGCTATAAATACTGAAGCAATTGAGAATTCAAGGTGTGACAGCCCTTTGCTCGCTGTTCACCCTATACTCTGCAGAGATAGTAAAGCCTGGAAATCGACATGCTGTCTCCATTCTCTTCCTTCTTCTAAAGCACTCAAATGCATCAGGGTAACGTATGCCACAACAGAATGATTAAGTCCCAGAAAGCATTGATAATTCTTTTAGATTTATCTGAACCGGTGCTTGGCAGCTGTGACGCTTTGGATGAGGATGAACAAATTGAAATTGAATCCAGACAAGACAAAGGTCCTCCTGGTCAGTTGCAAGACCGAAAAGGGCATAGGGTTACAGCCTGTGCTGGACGGAGTTACACTCCCCTGAAGACACAAGTTCGCATTTGGGAGTGATTCTAGACTCATCGCTGAGCCTGGAACCTCAGGTCTTGGTGGTGGTTAGGGGAGCTTTTGCACAATTAAAACTTGTGCGCCAGTTGCGCCCGTACCTTGGGAAGTCAGACTTGGCCACGGTGGTCCACGCTCTCTTTATATCCTGAATAATTACTGCAACACGCTCTGTGTGGGGTTGCCTTTGAAGACTGCTTGGAAGCTTCAACTAGTCCAACGGTTGGCAGCCAGGTTGCTCACCGGAGCGATGTACAGGGAGCATACAACCCCTCTGTTACTCCAGCTCTACTGGCTGCCAATCTGCTACTGAGCACAATTCAAAGTGCTGCTTTAACCTTTAAAGCCCTGAACGGTTCCGGCCCAGCTTACCTGTCCAAACATATCTCCCGCTATAAATCATAACAAAGTTTAAGATAGACTGGGTAGGCCCTGCTCTCAATCCCACCATCATCACAAACGCGACTGGTGGGGACAAGAGACAGGGCCTTTTCAGTGGTGGCCCCTTGCCTGTGGAACTCTCTTCCCAGTGACATCAGATTGGCTCCCTCCCTCCCATCCTTTAGAAAGAAATTCAAAACCTGGTTATGGGACCAAGTGTTCGAACAGTAGAGGCAGCAATTGAGAATAAGACTCAAGTTGTATGAATGACAATGGACTGACCCGGACTCTGATTTTAAACCTGCATGATTTTAGAAAAAATGTCTTAGTAATGTAATGTTGTTAATGAAATGTTTTAATTGTATTCTTATTTATTATTGTGGTTGGCAATGAATGAATGCCTGCCTTGAAGCTGCCCTAAGTGCCCCCCCCACCCCCGGCCTGGGGGGTGAGAAGGATGGGGTACAAATATGTGAAATAAATAAATAATAAATAGATAAGGAGGTTTTTAAGATCAAGTCAGGCACCACTGTGGTTTTAGCTATGAATAGGTTTTTAATTGGTTTTGAGAGTTTTAAATGTTTATTTTTAATGCTGTTAATATTTCATTCTATGTTGTTGTTTGTATATTTTTAGGTTTTAAATTGTATTGTATTGTATTCATTTTACTGTAAGCCACTTTGAGTCTTTAGTAAAGGGAAAAAGCAGGATACAAATAATAATGATGATGATAATCATCATCATCCTATCACATATGCTGGTGGGTATCCCTGGAACTGCAATTCTGTTGACATTGGCCTGATCTTGAATTCAGTATTTATGCAATAATTTTAATGCATTTTCTCAAATGTGAGCTGAGACAACCTAGAAGCGGAAAAAACACATTGTTTGTTCTTCTGGAGGAAGATTTATTTCTAAAGCAAAAACCATGGTTTATATGAACCATGGCTTAGCGTGATGTACCATGACCACTCTCTTTTGAGTAACCTCTTACCATGATCTAGAAAAGCTTTGTTAAACTATCAGTGCCTCTTCTGCTCTGATATTTTTTCCTTGAGCAGTAGTTCAACAAGTATTAGGAATAAATCACTGTCAGAACCCAAAGCCAATTGTATCTGGCAATAAATGTTCAGCGCTTGTCATTTCTCAATAACTAAAAGCTTCCAAATATTTATGACAATTGGCTGGGATAAATAAAGACTGAAGATTGTCACCCCAAATATAGTTGTACATCTCGCTCTGAAGGGAAATGAGCATATAAATACTTGATGTCCAAAAGCACTACATGGTTAGCTACTGTTCAGTTCCTACTAACAAGCTGCTCTTGTGGACAGCGATGCAAAATTTTAGCAAAATAGCACCATGGCAAAGAAAGCCATTGATTCAAGCTGTTCGGGAGGTAAAATGGAAGGGTCTCATTTCCAGAATAAAGGGGAAAGATAGATATAAGGAGTTAAATAAGACTATCCTCATGACGGAACAATTATAGTAAATATAGCAAGAGTAGTAAACTATTCCTGGGTTGTGGGGGGTGAGGGGAAGGAAGAGAAATGATGTAAAACGAGATACAGGATGATGAAGAAAATAAAATGAATACTTTTTGAGAACCTTAGACAGATGGTAATCAGGGGAAAATGATTAAACGCTCAAATATGCTGAGGTATAAATATTCAATAGTATTCCTGTACCTTTGTATTATGTAATGAGAAGTCACAGGTAGAGGTTTACCCGGGGGGGGGGGGGGGGGGGGGGGGGGGGACGGAAAGGTGATGGGATTGGGGAAAAATACTTGTATTTTGACAACTGAATTTTGAAGATTGTATGTTTCTATGTATGTGTGTGTGTGTATATATATATATAATTTTTAAAATTCACAAAAAAATTCAAGCAATTCCCCCATTTTTTCTTATGCTAAAGTTGTAGATTCTTTAAGGAGTTTCAGAGTTTTTATCTTCATTTACTTCCAGAATGCAACATCCAAAGCTGCCACACTTATGGCACTAACTAAGTCACCATTAAATTATGGCTCTTTTTTGGTCTAAAATTCCCAGAAACCCCCAGAAAATTAAAGTGAAATACTAATAAACAGCAACACAAACAGTAGGAATAATTAAAGCCAGTGTTTACCTCTCGCAACCGAGTTTCCAGCTCCAACAGGCGCGTCTTATCAGTGTGGTCCTGATGCGTGATCTTCTCCAATTGTTCTTCCAGTTTATTATTTTGTGCCTCTAACTTTCCGGCTTGAGTTTCCAGGTAAAACTTCTGCTGTCGGAGCTCAGAAATCATTTCTTCTTGGGCTTTCCTGAAAAGTTGGGGTAGGGGGAGATGCAAATCTAGTTCAACAGCCTGTCCAGTCACTGAGAAGCACGGGAAAGGGGATGAACCTAGGCTGGTGCAGCAACGGAGTGGATCCTACCTCCTTACATGCTCATGGAAAAGAGTTCATTGAAAACATTTCATGAGTAGCACATTTGTCACCAGGCTGCTGGCAGAGGCAATCATGTCACTCGGCAGTCTATACTTTCAGAAAATGTTGGTAGTTTGTGTAATTAAAATTAGCTATTTCTACAACTAGGACAAAGTGCAAAAGAATCCTAACCAAACATGCTGCCCCTCCTCTCACTCTGAGCTAAAGGAACAGCATTTGCTTCCTCTCGCTTCCCATCTGGTCAGTGATATTCTTCCTTGCCAATCCTTAGCAAAATCCCAAGTTTCCATATCAGGTTGTTGAGAAAATGAGATAACTGGGATCCTTAGTTCAGAGTACTGACTTAACAGGAGATTCAGAGCAGCTGTGGCATCGCAATGTAGAAAGAGAAGCCAGAGGCAAACCCCATATACAGGATTAAGGTTTGGAAAGGATATGATAACTTTACTCTTGCCATGAAATTGAAACAGTGGAGCCCAGTGCAAAGTGGTTGTCTTTCCCCCTCCCACTGGACTAAAAAAATTCAAGATCATGTCATATAGTGTGAAGAAATAGTTATTTTTTCAGCTGAAGCTAGAAATCTGTGAAGAAAGCTAGGTGTTATTGTTAGCCCCAATTAGAAGAGATGTACGACATTTCCAGTGATTCGACTGATCGACTCTAATTAGGACTAACAATTGGATTTCAGCTAAAGCAATCTGTACTCTCTCCATTTCCCTCCTTCAGAACTTAGCTTCTCAAAAAATGAACTAAAAATAACATTACCTGGCACCTCACAAAAATGGGGGAAATCAGACCCATCACAGCTTGTGACAGTATCCCAAGTTAATAGGACAACTTAAGCTGGCCACAGCGGTAAATCACATAAATTGCCCACTGAAAGGGAGTGCATTTCCTTTCAGCTAGAGGGGAAAAAACACTCTCAAGTCAACGACTCTTTGTGAAAAGAGAACAAGAGTTTCTCTGCTGAGAGTAAAAGGCATTGCTAGGTTTCTCCGAGGAACTTGAACAAAAAAGACAACTCAAGAGCAGCGGTGATGCTTACATGTTTCTCTGCGTAAACAGGCTGCTGTTTGCTGCAATCTTATTAGCTTCAGACAATTCTACTATCCTCTGTTCCAGAGATCTAATCTTTGAATCCATTGCATTGATCATCTGAAAAACAGACATCTCCTATTAATGTGGCTTCTGAACTATGTTCTGGACACAGCCAGAAAAATACAATTTTTAAAATATAGCTCTCACAATACTCTCCTTCCCCCACAACTGAAACTGTGTCATTCACTAACACAAGATAGAGTCATGCCCAACAACTAAAAGTGTTTTGAACTTCTGGTCTGAGACCATAATAATTTTTAAACAATGTTGCACCCTAGCTTGTGCCACAGGAAGAGGCGGGTAATACATTTATTATTATTATTATTATTATTATTATTATTATTATTATTATTATTTCTACTACTACTACTACTACTACTACTACATTATATCTGGTTGACCATTGTGGAGGCAGAATGTGCAATAGAAAGGGCTTTGGTATGATTTAGCGTGGCACTCCTTATGTTAGATGAAATATCATCTGCAACACAATTAACATATGGAACCTCAAGAACCATGGCTACTAGAAAGGAGTGCTAAAGATGAATGAAGGCATGACCTACCTTGATCTGAGCAAGGAGGTCTCTTATGACGGTAACTGCAAAAGCTCACCAACACAGCAAGTTCAAATGGTTTTTTTCCCTGCCACAGAACCAATGACCTGAGTAGATTAACCCTACACTCCTAATATACATTTTTTAATATTATGTGTCTACAGGAAAACTTGCCAGGCTGCTTTGTGAACATCACATATGAACAGGATCCTTGCATAATGTTTGATGATCCAAATCAACCCAACATTATGATGTCTTCACGTACCGCTTTCTGTTCGGTAAGAACTTTGCATTTCTCACGGGCTTCTTCCTCATGTTTCCTCAATATATTCTCAAGTGCATCTTTGTCTGCCAGATCTTTTTTCATCTGATTGTCAAGCACCTAAAGAAACAGAAACAAACATTCTGGCCAAACCCATCCCAAAGATGGTTCCCAAGTAACACTAGCGCCAGTTCAAAGAAAATATCTAGAAATGTGAGCAGATGCCTTGTACCCAAAAGATTCAGAATCTGCAGACTTTCAGTGTCAGGGATTGAACAAGGGACTACTTCAGGTGCTCTGCCATAGAACTATCTCCTTCCCACTTCCATACAAGAAGCATCACAGCACTGTGGCAGAGTACATCCTGTGTTAATTGAGTCCTTGCCATCTTCTGCTACATGAATTCACATAGCAAGACTGATAAACGGCTGCCTCAAGCTTTGAATGCCACCACCTACATAGAAGGCAATACATCAGCAGAGAGGCCAGCAGTTTAATGCAGTGGAAAAGGTAGATTCTTGTGTTTGCATGTCAGTGGGAGGCTCTTCCCCCAATTCACATGAAGAACTACTGGGGGATATTGAATGTGGCAGAGTTAGAGGCAGATTTTACCTTTTGGAGCAGAAGATCTGACTCAGAAGTCTCACTTGACCCATCAAAAACACATCTGGCAGAGTGCACCCCACTGGGCAGAACTGTCTCACGCTCTACCACCTTTAAGAGTCCCCAGAATCCATTGCACAAAGCAAGCTATTGCAGCTTGCCTAGTGAGCTGCTTCTCTACAAAGGAATCCATAGTCAAGCAGGCTGGGCAAAGTGTTCCCAAGGCTCTTTGGTTGTTGGTTTTGCAGCCTTCAACATGCTTAAGAGTCCCTTCACTCACCTTTCCTCTCTTAATAAAAAAGCGTTCGTACTTCTCTTGGAAATCTTTAGGAGCAAAGACGCACCATTAAATTGCCTGCATGTGTCCCTTGCACTGTGGCATCCCTTAGCCACAGATCTGTAACTTTTGCTGTTGCTTTATGATATCCACCTTTTCCCTACCACCATCCAGTTCATGTGGCTCTTTCACAACATAAAAAAGAACTTCATTTTTTAGAAATAATTAAAGCTTCCTGCTGAAAGATTATGCATTTAAATGTTTAATGGTCCTGCATTATGCCGAAGCTGAAATCAAGCACTTCAGAGCTCTATGAAATTGCCAAGTCTGTGTCAGATTGACATCCATAAGTCCATTCCATCCCACATAACATTTCCTTTCATTAAGCATCATCTCTAGGAGACTCGCCTCACATTTTAAGCAAAGTGCTTTCAAGCAGTCCCCAAATTTCTTCTCATTATTGTGCAAATACACAGTGGCCATGTCCAGAACACCTAATGAACGGAGGAGGAAAAGAATAAAGGACTGAAAGGTCTTAATTGGGCTCCCTTAATTTAAGTGGTGCCTACCATTTCAGAGAGAGACATAGCGTAATTTCATGAAGGTGCTGCTGAATAACAGTGACAAAAAGAAGATGTGCTTTTGACTCATTCACAGTTGGCATGGCTCTGTGACATTTGGCTGGCAATGTGACCTGAGCACAGCGTTTCTTCTTCCATTTCCCCTCCCAACTACTCAGAACCTCTGTTTTTTCCCAGAAGAAACAGCAGGCAAGAGTTTGTCTCCGTTTGAACCAAGCAGGCAATTTGCATCAGGAAAACACTTCACAAACAAACCCTTATGAAACAGCATTAACAAAAGCATTTCTGGCACCCGGGGCATTTAAAACTTCCCCCAAAAGCATCAATTATATCTGGATGGGCATATGGGAACCCACAGAAATTGCTGAACTGCCTTACTATTGACTGAGGAAAACTGCCTTTTAGGAACAGGAGGGAGGTTGTACTTTGCTCATCCATGGTGGAGAACTTCTGATGTCCTTTAAAGAGCACACGGAATTAAAATAGTAAAGAGCTGGCACCATCAAGCCCCTCCTGCAAAACCAAGGGTCTCCTCCTTCATAAGACAAGGGTCATGGAATCTATGGGTACCTGCTCCAAACACCCATTTCAGCAACGGAGAAGCAAGACAAGCAGGAGATCCACAAATCATCACTATCTAGGGTTTTCTCCAGAGAATTGTGACTTAGCTAATCTGTGGCCAATGATAATGGAAGGTATCCTTACTTTGAGCCTTTCTTCATACATCTGTTCCTTCTGTTTCAGATGCAACTCCAGGTGCTGTGCAGCAAGCTGTGCCTCTCGATGCTTCTCCTCTAGTTCCTAGAAGCAACAAATTAAGCACAACCAAAGCATAAGGAAAGAATGGAGGAGAAGAGCACACTCATGAAATCCTGAAATCCAGACACACACACTGTTATCTTCATTTCATGAATTTATTGTCCCTTCTCATTTCTTTTTTCTTGCACTGAGTATGAAGAGGACAGTAACTGGCTGATGACCGACTCCTGGAAGCTACATCCCTGGCCACTGACCAGATAGCAACATATTTAAAAACTGCTGAAACAGATTTCCTTCCTAAGTCCAGCAGGCATTTCTTTAGCCAACTAACCATTGGTCCTGCTGTGAAGATCACACTCAGCTAAAGGATGGATATGGCGCCAAGCACGCTTTGGGCAACTTGGCATCAGACACAGTTTGTAAAAATGGAAGCATCTTCACCATCCTAAGAGTCACCTACAAAGAGCACTACAAAGAAGAAGGGTAGTACAGAGAACTTTCTTTATGGTGTCTGGGAGGAGGTTCAGGTGGAAGAAAGCTGGGCAACAGTAGTTAGTGCCTGAAACTACTGTACCACCTTCCTACAGCCTGAGGTTCTATGCATCAATCAGGGTTGTCACGCAATACCAACTATACTGTCATTTCAATTCCAAGCCACATTTCCTTCCAAGATGCCAGAAGATCTCCAGCAACATGCCACTCGATATCTAAGGGATTCCATTCAGAACCTAAGTCAGGTATCCTCAAACTGCGGTCCCCTAGCTGTTTGGCCCTCAAACTCCCAGTAGCCCTATCCAGCTTATTCAGTGGTTGGGAATTCTGGGAGTTGGAGGGCTGCAGGTTGAAGATGCCTGCCCTAAGTTGAGGCATTTTTCTATGCAATGATAGCCCAGTACTACGATGGATATACAGGTTTTCTTGCAAAGTGGATGGAAAACCCATCACAGGGGACAGGTGGGAGACCGAAAGTACTGACAGGCAGATTGCTTACCTGTAACTGTATTTCTTCGAGTGGTCATCTGTGAATTCACACAATTAGGTATTATTGCGCATGCACAAAGCACTCTTTGGAACCTTCTAGAATCACTAGGCAGAAAAGTTTTGGTGGTAACCCTGCCCACCATCCTGAGGCTATATAAGGCCTGGTGGTCGCTGAAACCCCTCAGTTCCAAGGCTGCAGCCCGTATTGAACTGAGGTGCCATGATATCTCTGTGAGGAGGATGGGTGGGTTTGCATGCATTCAGATGACTACTCGAAGAAATACAGTTACAGGTAAACAACCTGTCCTTTTTCTTCATGGTCTCTGTGAATCACACAATTGGGTGACGAGTAACCTGAAGTTATCAAAAGCGAGAGTCACGACACACTTAGCAGACCATCACCTTTGGTACAAAATCAAAGAGGTGTATTCACAAGAAATTTATTTATTTATTTATTTACTTCATTTCTACCCTGCCTTTCTCAACCCCGGGGAAAAGAAATAACCAAAAACTCTGGAAAGAGGCTAATGAAACAATGTACAATGTATAATTCAAATCATAAACAAAAATTGATGTTTGGATTTAGTGTACCATCAATAAAGCTTGCATGAATATGTTTTGACAGGTTTTGCAGTAATAGAATTTTGAAAAGTGTCACCCGACTCGTTCAAGTTCTTTGAACAGTAAACAAGGCTGCATGTATATGCACACCATATGCCCAACAAACATCACTTGGATTTGTGGTATACGGACCCAACAGAGCATGGCCATACATTTGAACAAAAGGCAAATTTGCAGATTCATTACATAAAGAATTTCTTCCCAGTGAACACTGCATAGCAAGTAAAACACCATTGATGGTGAATGCTATACATGATAAACAGAAATATAAGAAGTTACCCTCAAAATTGTCTCAAAGAGGTAAGGGAATTAACGAAAATCACGGCAGCAGTACAGAGCAACCAAGGGAGGATTCTTTCAAGGATCTGGCATCCAAACAGCAATGGGACACAAAAATGGATGGGGCACTCCACGTAGCTGCTTTACAAATGGCTTCTAGTGGAACCCTCCTAGAAAGGCAGCAGAAGTAGAAGCTGCCATAGTATTCCAAAAGCAATATGTAGAATACAGTATCTCCTGACATTGCATTACTTTTTAAAACTTTCACACCCAGCGTTTCCAATTTATTTATTTATTTGAAACATTTCTATTCTGCCCTTCTCACTCCAAAGGGGACTCAGGGCGGAGCACAACATATATACGGCAAGCATTCCATGCCGGGCCATAAAATAACTATAACTATACACAAACACTAAAATCAGTTATACAGTAGTCTCTCGCTTATCCAACCTTCGCTTATCCAACGTTCTGTATTATCCAACGCGGTCTACCTCCTGCCCAGATCCACAGCTGTTTCAATACATTGTGATGTTTTGGTGCTAAATTCGTAAATACAGTAATTATTACATAATGTTATTGTGTATTGAACTGCTTTTTCTGTTGATTTGTTGTAAAACATGATGTTCTGGTGCTTTCCTTAATCTCTCCTTATTATCCAACATTTTTGCTTATCCAATGTTCTGCCGGCCCATTTATGTTGGATAAGCGAGACTCTACTGTATCTATTTTGAAATCAATTGTTTAAAACCATTTCAAAACACCATGTTGACTCCAGTCAGCGGAGTGGGTTTCCTATTATTGCCTTATTGCACTGTCCCAAAGGTTTGGTCCCACAGCCAAGTTTTTAACCATCTTTCTGAAGGACAAGAGGGAGGGGGCTGATCAAATCTCGCCAGGAAGGGAGTTCCGGGGGGACAATCACTGAGAAGGCTCTCTCTCTCATACCCCCCCCCCCAAAAAAACGTGCCTGTGAACATGGCAGGAGTGAGAGCAGGGCCTCCCCAGAAGATCTTAGTCTTCATGGTGGTTCGTAACGGGAGATGTGTTCGGACAGGAAAACCTTTCCAAGGAGTATGTCCACAGAGAGGACCCTTCCCCAAAGTCTAAGCCTGCCTGCTTAAAGGCAATATAGACTTGGGACAGAGAGAAATCACTTGAAAGCATGTTCTCCTCCAGCGACTCCTACTCAGCTGCCCCTGCTTCTGTTACCATAGCCACTGACAGCATCCACCTACACTTCTCCAAAGCCCAGACAAAACGTTTACTTGGGTATGCTTTTGTCTCACTCCCATCTCTTTCAAAAGCCATCCCCACTTCCAGCAGAACCTCTCCTGCTCAGAAAAGTGATATTATTTCTTTAGCAACGTAGAAGCCTAGGAAGTGGCCTTCTGCCACATCAGACTACTTCATTCTGTAGTGATTACTATGACCAGCAGTAAGTTTTTTTGGTCTCTCGGGTAAATATCTTTTAGTTGTAAATTGCAAAGTCCAAGGATTCAACTTGGATCCTCTACAGTCAGCTAGTCTTGAAGATAGCAAACTCATACTATGCCACACTGCTGTACCTTTTCTCCACCGAAGCAACCAACAGTGGTTTGGGGGCTGATGTTGAGGGCTTCCAAGCTTTTAATTATAAGCTTCATTTCTTAAAGGCGAAGACAACCCCTCTGAGGATGTGGCAGTGGCTGGCCACACCCGAAAGTGAGACAGCTCCCAGCTTTGGAGTCCAAAAGACTCCAGAGAAGATACCCTGGATATAAGTGTTCCTCATCCAGCAGAACCGACAGGCATTTGGAAGATACAATCATTATTTTAATACTGCTAGCAGCCTCCCAGAATTTGGAACATGTCTATATCAGCCTGCATAGCTCACAAAATGGGCAGATCACTCCAGAAATGTGGAATCTCAGCTTGCTTGACTCTTGTCATCAACCAATGCTGGAGTCCATCTCCAGGACCACTCTCAGCACCAACACAACAGAGGAAGCATAATTTTGTATCTGAAGGCTGGTCTGTCTGACTCATCCAAGGACTCCATTAAGCAAGATCAGGTCTGCATTCGTCTACTTTGCCCTTTGTAATGTCGCTAATGCCCTGTCCGCTAAGAACCACTTCAGATCTTAGAGACTCTATGTGAAAAGCATTTCTTTGTCGGGGGGTGCAGGGAGGCATGGAAACCAAGCCTATTATCTCATCAATTTGGCAGCAACCATCAGCTCTACATCCTCCGTATATGAAATGAGAAGCTTCATCATTTTGTCTGGTATAAGTAAACAGGAAAACGATTTCTCCTTTCAGCTGCCCCCCTTCCCTTTTCCCGTTTTTTTTTTTTTTTTGGCTTTCAAATGAATTCTGTTCTAACCCAGATCCTCACCAAACCACAGAGGATGGGACAAAGCCCCACAAAGGCAACTTAGTGAATAGAAGCCACATCAACTTCTAGAGAAAAGAATTAAGACTATTGCAGCCAGCAGTTGGAATGACATACATTTCAATGCATCATCACTTGAATTGTCTACTTACTTCCTCTGTAAAATTATTCTGCATATTTACACTTTGAAGCACTGCAGAGGTTGCGGCTTCTATATTTTAATTCTGGAAACATTATGTCAGCCTCCCAGTATCCTTGCATGTTGCACATATACACTCAATACTAATACTTTGGGGATATGGCAGATCTCAAACATGGGAAGTATTTTTTTGCACAGTATACACTGAAATGATGGAGTGTCCTGCTACGTGATGCAGTGTGGTACTTCAAACAGGGATTAGACAAACGCATGGACAAGAATTCTATTAATGGCACGTACAACATGGCTACGTATTCTTTCTAGTATCAGAGGCAGCCCGACTCTCAATGCCAGTTGCTGGGAAACATGAGTGGAAGGGCCCTATTGTCCTTTTATCCTCATTGTCCTGCTAGTGGGTCTCCCAGAGGCATCTAATTGACCGCTATGGGAAGCAAATGTGGCCTCGGAAGAGGTTTTGTTCTGTTCCAGCATGGTGCATATTCTTAAGGGAGGCAAAACAACTCAAAGTTACACGAATTGATCACACAGTAAAAAAAACCAAAACCAAAAAAAACCAAAAACAAATCCAGGTTCCTATGCACCCAACTCCCTCTCAAACAAATGAATAACAATGTGAAAAAATGAGGATCCCAGCAAGCTTGACATTCTGCTTAGAAGAGAAAATGCATGGCAGAAGCTGAATTGCAAAACAATTTTCTGGGGAGAAGTTACAATGACTCATGTTGTTCTTCTCCGGCACAGAAAATGGAGCAGACATCGGAAAGCAGAGGAGCCTGCCAAGCCTTCCCAAGCTGGGCTCTACAGATTTTATTGTCAAACAACTCACAACACAGGATTGGTGAGGAGTTTAGGAAACATGCTTTGATTCGCAAAGCTTCTGTTGGAGCAACTGGGATTTCAACCGCTTCGATGGCAAGCATCGCATGATGGCACTGCAGAAAGGGTTCCACCAAATCCACAGAGAACTTGGGAGTGGGAGCAGGAGGACTGGGATGCAGAAGAGCTTTTACTGGGAGCTACATCATACCAGTGGGTTCTGAGTTCCCTCTTTGTTGTTCTCACTTCAAAGGTTGGTAGAATTATTACAAGAGGGTTGTATGTACAATGGACTTAGTTGCATTGCAGCCCTACTACTATAATCTTGAAATGGTCAAAGGAGTGGCATGGAGCTTGCTGGATGATTTGCAGCAGACCAGGGAGCTTCCAAAAGTAATAACCAGATCAGTCTTTCCCCCTCCAAATGAGTCTGTCAGATTTGTCCTTGTAAATGTCTAATGCTCCAGTTTATGGAGTGTATCGGGCAACTGGCTCTTCCTCCATTTTTTTTTTTACCAAAACCTTTGGCAACTATTTTACATGTTTCTCAAGATGAAGAAATTCAAGTGAAAAATATTTCAAAAATGACAGTTGATCCCACATTGCTGAAATCTGCCCATTCATGCTGCAATGCAGTGAGATAATAAACCTCTACCATGACAGTCCCTCAGCAGTTGGAATACAGTAACAAATTACCACATTTTCGTGCCATTGCCAGCCTTACTCATCCTACATCTTCACACACATGTCTTTTGGAGTCATTGCCTGCTCTTGCAATCTTATCCCCAGCCTCGACCATGTCTAAAAATACAACGCACCAGAATTTTATCTGCCATCTGCTGAATCTGTTGAGATTTTGTCTGGATGTCTTCTTTCAGTCGATTCTCTCTGCGTTCCACAGTCTCCAGGCGCTTCACTTGGTTCTCCAGAGAATGGCGCCTTTCCTGCCCAACGTTCAGAAAGAAAGAATTGAAGCCACATGGAAAAAACAGCCATGGCTGCCCGCAGAACACAAGCACAGGGCTTCCCACTTCAGATGAAAGGAAGAAGAGATTTAAAGCTTTCATTGCGGGTTAAGTTTAAATCTCAGATTCATAGTTCATTCACACTAACTAGAAGTGGCCAACAAGCCAAGTTTATTATGTTTAGAGGCCAATCTATTATGATATTGCTCACCTCCGCCTCAAGCAGTTTCTTCTTCATGCCCTCAGTTGAGTCTTCCCGGTTTTGCAGTTTCTCCAACTCTTTCTCAGCTCTCTCTTTCGCTTGGCGGATGTTCTGGAGGAGTTCAGTGGCCTCCGAGCTGGCCTTCATAGCCTAAAATAAGAGAGAGTAATGATGGCTATCAAAGCTTGCCATTTTGTACACGTGTAAAACTTTCTGCATTCTTTTGCAACCAACTACACAGTTATAACAAAATAGTCCTGTTGATCCAACAAAATATACAAAAGAGCAAAGTGCAACTTCACATAACATTTCCCTTGAGGAAATGGGCCTGTTTTAGTTGGGATGAACCATTGTTTCTAAAGAAGATACCGTACATTCCGGCATATAAGATGAACCCAACTTTTCCAGTTAAAATATAGAGTTTGGGATATACTCGCCGTATAAGACTACCCCTCTTCCAACGCACACCAAATAAAATTTTTAAAAGCATCAGATTTGAATTCAATATGGTAATTTTCCTATTACTGTACCTCCTTCTCTGCCTCGCAGATCTCACACATGCTCACCTGCACCGCTTCACTGCAGTCTTCAGGAGCGAGATCTGAGAGGCAGAGGAGGAGGTACGGTAATAGGATACAAGGGCAGGCCAATCAGGTAAAAGAGTTGTGTTTTTTTGGGCCCAGAGCCACTCTATCTCTTTTTTCCATACCCGGGCACCCCGGATGCCTGCAGCTTGCCCCGCCCTTCACATCACCCTCAGGACCGCATTAAGTCCATGAATCCTGATGAATGGATTTTCTTCTACCATACTTGTACAGCGTCGCCCTTAATGCTTTCATACAGTCGCTGCATACATCAGGGACACGGCCACTGCCATTTTTGAGCTCATCCCCGCAATATGCTGCAACCACAGATTCTCCAATCCAGATTGGAAGTTTCAGCACCCGCTCTATAAGACGACTCCCGGCTTATAAGACTACTCCCACATATAAGACGACTCCTGACTTCTGAGAAGATTTTCTTGGGTTAAAAAGTAGTCTTATACGCCAGAATACACGGTAATTGTCAATCCCAACTTTCTGAATCCCAGTTTCCATGTTTACGTATCTAACCCTTTGGAGAGAGAAAACCGCTTATTAACCTGCTCTTCTTCAATGAAACCATGGGGACCCTATACAACTGGTTTGCTATAGGCTAAACGCCTTAAAGGGTTCCCTTTTTACACTATAATTCCCAGAATCCCTAGGCAGCTTGCTAGTCTTGCTGGCTGGGAGCTAGAATCCACAAAGATCTTTTCAGGAATAAGCAGCTTCATAAGCCTAATAAGCTCCACTGCCAAGTACAAAAGGCTAGCCTTTCCTAAAGCTAAAGTTCAGTTTTAATGTTTCAGTATTGCTAAGCACATTGTAAGATTTGCTGGGGATGATCTGAGAGATTCCACTCATGCAACCCAGCCTACCATTTATGGTTTGGCACCCACCCCATTCATGAAAATTAGATCCAAATTAAGCCGCCACAATCTGTTGCTGCCTAGGGGTTCATTCTATTTTCACAATGTGGTCCTCGGTGCTGAAAAAGCTTACACCTCGCGTAGGGTGCCCAAATTGGCCCCCTCAAGTGAAATTCCCACCAAATATTTCAATTCTGTCGCAGTGTTGCTTTTAAAAATAAACATCAGATGAAGCAGAGAGGCACTGAGATCATCACAGTGGCAGGCTCCAGCCCCATTCCCTCTCCTCCAGCCACCCCTTTCCCTTCTCGATCTTTAGTGACTAATAGTGTTTTGGAATACAAGAGACCGCCCCTCTTGAAGGAAAAATCTTAAAGAGGAGAAGACTGAAAGGCATAGAAAAACAGAACACCACCCCCAAACTTTAAACAAATTTAAAGAACAGGATCTTTAAGATAAGTCCTCAACTCTTACCTTGGTCAACTTCTCCTGCAGCTCCTGGATTTTGACTTGCTGTTCTGCATTGATCTGAAGGAACAAAAGGAGGCAAAGAAAAGGTGGGAGAATACCTCAGGAGGCAGCCCTAATGCTATGTTTCATTTCCTTTTCCAATATTAATTTCCCTTTTATTTCCCTTTCAGTGTAATGACTATTTAACCCTCTGCCCGCACACACACTCCCTCTTTTGCATCAGCCTCGAAAAAGCACCTCTAACCTCCTAAGGGAGTGAAATGGGGACCCAAGTCAATGCAAGGTGAGCCAACACTTTGTTACAGGGAAGGACTAGGTTGCAATTTTCAGGTTAAATATTAGGGATAAGCTCTGAATCTTTTAAAGGAAGTTTGCTGAAAAACATTTGATAATACTAAGGATTTTTTTTCATGTCAGGAGTGACTTGAGCAATTGCAAGTAACTTTTGGTGTGAGAGAATTGGCCATCTGCAAAGACATTGCCCAAGTGATGAAGGATGTTTGATATTTTACCATCCTTCTGGGAAGCTTCTCTCATGTCCATGCATGGGGAGCTGGCAGAGGGAGCTCAACCCGCTCTCCCCAGATCTGAACTGGTGGTCTGCATAAGGTTTTAACCCATTGTGCCACCGGGGGCTCCTATACAAAGGATTAATTGGATTATGGCCCATTGTAAAACACATTGTAAACTGGAACAGACTCGCTGATGCCAATGGGATTACCAAAGAGATGCCTAGTAAGTTCCATCCCATTTCCATGGATTTACTCTAGAACTAGACTAAGCCTCTACCTCCCTGGCAATAAGCCAACTTTGTATAGAATTGTCCTATTAGTGTAACACCTAGAACAGGGATGGAAAACCATAGGGGGTTCAGAGATTATTCAAGAAGCTATACAGTACACAGGCAGTCCCCAAGTTACATACAAGACAGCTCTATAGGTTTGTTCTTAAATTGAATTTGTTTGTAAGTCGGAACAAGTGCATTTTTAAGTGCAACTCCAGCCAAATATATATGGGGGGAGAGAGCATTTTGGACAGCATACGGAAGGGTTAACACCCCTGTGACATTTGTTTTGCTGTCTGTTGCCCCTGTTCTGAAGATTTCACCTCACTTTATGTCCCTGTGATCATTGGACTTTGAAAAATGTGACTTGTTGTGAAAACAAGAATTGGTGATAAAGATTCAGTGGAGACCCCCTTTCCCCATGGTAACTCTGTCAGAAGTGAATTCCCCTTCCTTCCAAGGGGAGATTTCTCTCACTTCCTATTGTCTCATCCCCGTTCTTAAGTATGAGTTCTTTATAAGTCGGATGTTTGTAACTCAGGGGTTGTCTGTATATACATTTGTCAACAATAAAGAAACTTCTTGGGGAAGATGATGGATTCCACAATGCCTTCATAAGGGACCAATTATATAATCCCTTTTATGAAGAGAGGTGTTTCTGGTAAATATGCACTTCACCCCTTGTTTTTTGCAGAGTTCCCATTTCTCACCCTATAACTGCCATGTTTCTTGTTTCTCTGCCTCTGAGTGTCCCTATTTTTATGGTTTACTTCTCAATTTTTCTAAGATGCCACTCTTCGTATTTCTACGTTTTCTTCATCAGCACATGGGCATCTACTTCAATTCATACCGCTTGAAATTTCACAAATGGCCCAAGCAGCTACTCATTGCAAAACTTTGCAGACTTTTGTCACAGTCTACATTTTAACTTGACACCTTAGTCTCACAAGGTCCAGATCTCATAAGTATGGTCAAAATCATAAAATATACTACAATGAAAATCAAAACAAAATAACCAAATCTACTAAAAAGATCATTCTGTATTTTCTCAGTGAGACACATTCTCATCAACAGGATGGCATACAGAAAACCTACCCTTTCTAGTTTGGAATACAGCTCTCCAACTTCTGTTTTCCCTTGGTCTTTAACCTATAACATCACAGATAGGAGAAAATGTACAAATCGCGAATGATTCAAAAAGATATGGATATCTACACTATTCCTCATTCCCAAACTCTCTAAATGAACATTAAAACGTACCGCTTTCAACGGATCATAAAAGGTTTCTTTAAAAATTACTGATCTTTACAATAAAGCAATATGGTCCAACTAAAACTACTGTTCTGTTGTTCAAAATCATTCATTCCTTTTTCTGGCCACTTCAATTATTCAGCTGAATTTATTGGAACAAGAAGTGGTTGTGAGAGAAGTGGTCAGAACAGAATAATTCTCTTCGGAAGGGACAAATATATTTGGAGCAGATATATCAATTCCAATTAATTTACACAATATTAAGAAAAATTCCATTTCCCCCCACCATATGATGGATACACCCAAGCTAAAAAAATTATCAGGTGACAAAGTGAAAAGTAAATGATTTTTAAAGACAGAAACGAATGGCTGTCAGATGTCTCTGCGTTTGGTTGTTTAAAGCAACATCAAAGTACTCCCTGCTTCTTTCCAATTCTTATTCTATTCATGATCAAAAAGTAAAGCAACTTTTTTGCTAACAGAATTCCTGCAAAGAAATCCAGGTTTCTATCTATTGGATGCAAAGTATGCTCAATGGTGAAAATGCTGAAAGAGAAAAGTTTGGAAACCTGACCTTCGCTACCTTCTGCAGCCTGTTGTGACACTCGGTGGCTTTACGCTTGAACTCTTCTGCAGCCAGCCGGGACTCTCTCAGCTCCGATTCATAAAGATCGCTCCGTCTACGAGCCGAAATGAGATCTTCTTCTAATTGATTCATCATTAGCCTCATCTCTTCAACCTGGGCTTGGTACTCCTGTGGAATGAAGCCAGTTTGGCACCCTTTAGAGAACCCCAAGAAAACATGGCAACCAAGGCAACGCAAAGAACGGCACATGAAGGAAAACATCGTCCTGAATGAAGCACACTGTCTCCCGCGGCACAATATGTCTGTGTCCCCTTCATTAAGGAAAGAGGCGGGGCAAATGAACAGAGTGGCTTATATATTGAAGCCCCCTCTACCCATTCAGGTCCTCGGCGCAACAGTGACACATACCTGCTCTTTGATTTCCTGCAGCTTCCGACTCTGCTCTCGGATATCATGAAGGAGTTGCAGGGCTTTGTCATCCTCCTGAGATACTTCCATTCGAGCCTGCTCCAGACTTCGCTTTAAGCTCTGAAAAAGTAAAACGTTTAATACACAGACAACCGGGTATCAAGCTGCACCAGGGAGGTAAGCAAGAATGAATGAAGGACGTGAACTGGCGGTCTTTATATTTGCTCCCATTCCGCTTACGTCTTCTGCTTCAGCAGCAACAGGCATCATCTGGTAGATACTTCAAAGTTCATTAACTATCCTGTGGTTTGAAAATGAATTGTGGGATACAAACTGAAGAGGGTCCTTGAACTGTCGAACTTTCTATACTAAAGCATTGAAAGGACATGAACTGGAGCTCTGCAGGGAAGCACATGGATTTATGAAAGCAATTAATTCAATACTGCCATCTCCGGTTAAATTAAGGAATGGTATAGAAATCTGTGGTCAAAACCACGGCAGGAAACCTTGAGCAAGCTGAACTAATTAGCAAAGAATAAAGGAGCTCCATATGAGCAATGCTACTCTAGGCAAAAGGGAAACATAGAAAGTTCTTGTACACAAATTTGGGAACAACAGCACTGCCGAAGAATTACCTCTGAGTACAGACTACCTTGCACACTAGCCACCGAGACCCAAGCGGAGTTTCTTTTTGCCTGCTCTGTCATGTTGTCAATGGACTGACAGAGCTTGGCAAATTAACCCTCTCTATTCAATTAGACAGCTATCCTTCTAACGCTCCCTCCACTATAAGCCCTACCAACACAGCCACAGAACTCAAGGTTTTGGCAGACCAAGAGAAGTATGTGGCTCCAGAGGGACAGGGAAAGGCTCACACTGCATTCTGTGATGTAGGTAGCCAGGTCCTGTTCAAGAAGGGATCGCTGTGTCTCGGAGGCTTTCAGTTCCACCTCCTTTTGGCTAAGAACAGCCTCCACCTCCGATACTCTGCGGTGCAAGCGCGTCATTTCCTGCTCCATCTGCAACAAACATCGAAAAGTTTAAAAGCACTTTTCCAAGAGCCCAACAGTGTCAACACACAGCTTGAAAACAGAAGCTGGTCTCTGGGAGAACTGGGCTAGAATTCTGATTAAATTTAAATACCATTGTTTCTGCTCCTGGGAAATTCGGTTCCTTCTCAAGGAAAAGCAGTAAGTCTAAGTCACCCCATTCATTCACGCCGTTTGTTCACATTCAGTCATGCTTCGAACCCCAGTCAGCAGAGCAGCCACAATCATTTTTCACCTGAATTCTTATTATGTTTTCTCCCGTGACAGGTCACTTTAACTTTATCCCAAATCCATCTTGGACCAGAGGAGGGCTCCCCCTCATGTCCTTCCGAGGGAGCAGAGAGGTCAAGTCCAGAACAGGACAGGAAGAGAAAGAAAGAACAGCACACTGTTTTTGTTCAAGTTTTAGAATGTATTCCAGAAATGGTTTCTGTCAGGAAGAGTTAGAAGGTATTCTGGGTAAAAAGGAAGCAAGAGTTATATAAGTAGAGATGGAAGGACCAAGGAAGAGAAGAAGAGACTTCGTGGCACTCAGAGCAGAACCAGAGCAGCTGAGCGTCTGATGGCAAAGGAATGCCACCTGCTGGAAGCTAGTGTCAGCACCAGGCCAAGGAAAGGTCTAGGGAGGATCCAGAGCTTCACAGGCCTAGAGTAAGACATGGCCTGCACTCATCTCCCTCTCTCTGGTGAGGAAAGTGCTCCGCCGAAGCATCAGCAGCACCTGGCAGGTCCTTTGGCACACACCGCCCGTCGGTCTCTGGAGCAAGGAGGGAGGCCGGCCATGGAAATAAATACCTGGTGGCACTTATCTTGTGCGCCTTGCAGCTCTCGGCTCTTAAGGAGAAGTTTCTTTTCCATGGAGGTGATCTTGGATGGAGAATCAAAGCCCAAAGCAGCCCTTGAAAAAGAAAAGACCGACGTTACTCCCACATCCGCGTTTTTGAAACACACAAGGGAGCATCCTTCAGCACCTAAGCAGGTTGGTACAAAAATGTCACGGTCCCAACAACAGGGAAGTCACTTTGTGATGCCATTAAAGCCTCATAAAAAGATCTCTTGGAGACCAGTTGCTATATTATTATGTGGAAAATGGCCATCGCAACACTTTATGTCTTTTTATAATTGCAGCCTAAAAGTCAGACAAAAGGAAGAAATAAGTGTTGATAAGAAAATAACCACATGGAGTTTTCAAGCATTAGGTACAGCCCTCAGTTAGAGTACATTATAGCAATTGAACCTAGCGACCTTTCTTCTAACTTGCAGAGTCTGGTAAAGTGCTTGAAGAGCACAATAATAAAACTCTAGAAAGGGAGGGGGAAATAAAAGCATCTAGCAGGTTTACTTGATGGCTTTGGAAAGATCCTGGCCAGGTTCAACCTTCACTGCTTTTGTCTATCATAGTTTATTAGAGATAAATAATTCTGAATGCATTTCTATCATGCCTCACCTTTCCTCTTCCATTGGTGCACCTCGTTTCAGTAAATTAGTTTAATTAAATGTGGGTTTCTTACATCAGTGTTTCCTGGTCCAGATGTTACAAAAAACTGCTGTTTACAGAATTAGAATATCCTTAACAAAGCTGAAAGCACAAGGGGAGCAGTGGGAGGGGAAAGGAAGGGAAGGGAAGGGAAAGGCTGCACTGGCCAGTTTGTTCTTGTTACAATGAGTGATGGTTCAGAGGACCAAGAGAGGGACTGAAGTGCAGGAACTCATTCTATGAAAACAAAAGAACAATCCTCATAGGGAGAAACAACAATTGCAGGGCAAGAGGACCAGGACATCCTTGTGCTCCTGAATCTATACTGTGCTACTAAAAGCTAAGTCATAAGTCCTAAAACTTATTTTAAATTACTTAAAAGACAATGTCAGTTTAATCTAGCCCCTCAAATACAGTCTAAAGAATGGCGGGGATGAAATATACAATTATTTTAATAAAAGGTAAAGGTTTCCCCTGACATTAAGTATAGTCGGCGTTGTCTGTAGACGCCTCCAAGGTAATGTGGACACCATGACTGCATGGAGCACAGTTACCTTCCCGCAGAAGTGGTCCCTATTGATCTACTCATACTTGCATGTTTTCAAACTGCTAGGTTGGCAGAAGCTGTGCCTAATAGCAGGAGCTCACTCCGCTCCCCGGATTCAAACTGCCAACCTTTCGGTCAGCAAGTTCTGCAGTTCAGTGGTTTAACCTGCTGTGCTACCGGGGGGGGGGGGGCATTTTAATTATTAATGATATCTATGTCTTGCCCTTCCTCCAAGGACCTCAGGGCAGCATTACAAGTCTTCTTCCCCACTACCAATTACATCTTTGCAACTAATTGGCATGTAATTCTGAAAATGCCTTCCAAACTATAGTTCTCTGCTCAAACACACCTGGTATATTGAGATATTCATCATGTTTGCACTCTTCCCTATCAAAATACCCACCCAACAAAAACAGAACACACACTCTCTCTCACACACACAGCTGCACAACCTTATTTGAACAGGCAATTAATAAAGTGGTTGCGGATCCCCAGAGCAAGCAGGGAAGCCAGCTACGCAAATAAATACCTGGTGGTACTGTTAATAGCAAACATTTACTACTAGAGGAAATTGCACAAGAATGCAGAGGAACACACCATTTTCAATCTGTCAAGGCCCTCCTAAAAGGATAAATGGCTCTTCCATAATTTTACTGACTCTGGAGATCCAATAAGGCTTTGGATCAGAAAGCCCGAAATACTCTCCAGACTCCAGAGGAATCTGGAAAGGAACAAGATGTCTTTTTCAACTTCTGAACACCAAAGAAAACTCAGTGGTGTTGCCTCCCCCACCTAACTAAAGCTTTGGTTCTGTAAGTCTAGCTGAAAAACATACACCATATATGCCACACCACCTAAAGCTCAAAGTCACACTGTTAACATCTTTAAAAAGCAAAGTAAACCTTTTAGACAAAAACAAAAAACAAAAAACAGGCAAACTATGTAGTAGCCAAAGAAAAAAGCTCAGTTTAGCCACATTCCAAGAGACAAAGGCAGGCTTTGGTCCTTTGAACACCTTAATGAGGAAGCAAACGGCGTCGTTCCTATTTGTTACTTCATGTACTTCATCAAAAACAAGCCCTCTGCTGCAAGCTTTCCCACTTGAAAGGAAAAACCAATTTGCAGCCTGCCAGTCATTTGGGCTATTGTGGCTTTTGTGGTGTGCCTTCAAGTGGCTTCGGAGGTAAGCCCATCACAGGGTTTTCTTGGCAAGGTTTGTTCCGAGAGGGCTTGCCTTTGCCCGAGAAAATGCGAATTGCCCAAGTCGCCCAGTGGGTTTCCATGGCAAAAGTGAGGATTTGGACTCTTGAGGATTTGGACTCCCCTGAATTTAGTCAATAGACAACCTCATTCACTTCTGTAGCTTCCAGTGAATGGGAGTTCACCCCCACCCCTCATACCTTCCAGCTTTGTTTATATGCTCAGAAGTCTTTGTCAATTTTTCAGATTGACAGACCCAATCAATCATCTCTTGATAAGTGTCCCGATACGCCAAGCTCCTGCTTTTCTAAGCCCATGCTTCTATCTTTATTCCCTGGCTTCTGACCACTTGCAGGTCTGTTCCTTATTGTGTGGGACTTTGGGGCAGCCCGTGAGGTATCAAACCCAGCACCCCTTTGCTCAAAGGCCAGCAGAAAAGCTGCTGAGTTGAGAATCCGGAGATCAGCAAAACAGTCTGCTCTGGAGGCATTCAGGCTGAAGGACAGGGCTTTTTCAGCACTGGCACCAGACCTGGGGAACTGCCTAAAGAAGACCTGGTAAGTAGACTCTCTCTCATCACTGCTAGACACACTGGGAAAAGCTCTTTGTTCTACAAGGTTTCTCGATGTAGGCTCTCACATTCTGTTTGAACAGTTTTTATGCTGTTCTACCTTCTTATGTGCTTCTATGTGTTTCATTGCTTGTGTTGGAAGCTGCCTTGGAAGCATTTCAGTTTGAAAAGTGGGGTATAAAAGAAGGAAGTGAGAGAAGCAATGCTGTCTCTCATTTCTAAAAGCACATAGCAGCAGCAGACGTTCCAGACTGAAGCCTGATCCTTCTCCTTAGTGAAGGGCGACACCTGAAGTGTGAGAAATAACTAAATCAGGTCTATGCACCGCAACATTCTAACAGCCAAGAAGGGGGAGGCGGGGAAGCTGTTCAGATTGAAGAATCCCCCAAAAATAACTGGCAGAGAGACAATGCAATTTCAGTCTTACCAAAACACCAAGAAAAGGCTTCTTAAGAAAAAGTATGCAACAGGTCACGATTAAGCACTAGAGATTGAAGTCCCCATTGTGTTCCACCAAACAGACTTAATTTGGTGCATTCAACTCCTTCGCAACACCCGCTGCACATGTTTGACAGCCCTTCTCAACTGGAACCGAAAGTTAAAATTAACAGATCACAGTACCTATGTTTTGCTCTGTGGGACTCTTATTGGGCTGAACCATTTCTTTCTGGTGGCCAAGACTGCACTGTTTCTCAGTATTTCCCTGGGAGAATCGCCACACAGGAGAAAAGGAAATTTATCAGGGAAAAGATGAATTCAGAACAGGGGTCCTTCTCCTCATACCTGCATGGAGTCTTAGGTGGAAGTTTTGCCTCCATCCCGATACTACCTGCCATGGCTATAGCAAGCAGATGGGGAAAATACTCAATGTTAGGCCTAAATTAATTATGTTTAACTTCATCTCTGTGATTTAACTGAATTTACTTCCAGCTGCTCTCTGGAACCATGGAGAGTGTGCCTCGGTTAGTTTTCTCCCTCCTCCTCCTCCTCCACAAGCTCTCCTCCTTTTGTAATGCTATGCTTTAGATTTCGAGTCTGTTTCTGACATTTGGAAACCACTCTGGGTGCCTCTTTCTTTTTGTATAAAGGTTACACTCCTTCAACCATTTCCTCTAAGATTAATTTTAGCATTCATGAAAGACTAATTTGGAGGACTATTCAAGAATGCAACACCAGACAGGAAAATCCATACAAAGCTTAACTATCATATTGGTTACTTGTGTAAATGACTACCCAAATTGGGGAAATAATTCCTATGAGTATTTCTTAAGCAGAGGGACATTTCCCACAAGGATACTCAAGTATTCTGGGTATGAGAGAAGTGTGTTATAGGCATAGCAACACAAATACTACTATGTTCACACTTACTGCTTTAGAGGTACCATAGCAGTGAAATAAATGTTCAACAGTCTTGTTAAACCAGTGTTTCTTAACCTGGGGGTAGGGATCCTGGGGGGGGGGGGTCACGAGGGGGTTTCAGAGGGGTCATCAAAGACAATCAGAAAAGACATATTTTTGATGGTCTTAGGAACCCCTTTGGCATGATTGTAGGTTAACTACATCTACCCTAAATCACTGTCAATCCATACCAAATCCCTCCAGTATTTTCTGTTGGTTATGTGGGTTCTATGTGGGGAATTTGGCCCAATCTATCATTGATAGGGTTCAGAATGCTCTTTGATTGTAGGTGAACTATACATCCCAGCAACTACAACTCTCAAATGTCAAGGTCTATTTCCTCCATACTCCGCCAGTTTTCACATTTGGGCATACTGAGGATTTGTGCCAAGTTTGGTCCAGATAAATCATTGTTTGAGTCCACAGTGCTCTCTGGATGTAGGTGAACTGCAAAACTCAAGGTCACTGCCCACAAAACATTTCCAGTATTTTCTGTTGGTCACTGGAGTTCTGAGTACCAAGTTTGGTTCAATTCCATCATTGGTGGAGTTCGGAATGCTCTTTGATTGTAGGTGAACTATAAATCCCAGCAACTACAACTCCCAAATGACAAAATCTACACCCCCACCCCACCAGTATTCAAATTTGTGCAAATTGGGTATTTGTACCAAATTTGGTCCAGCAAATAAAAATACATCCTGCAGA